ATGCCATAAGCACTCTAGTTGATAGCGGGGCTACGGGGAGCTCGATCGACTGTGCCTGGGCCCAAGCACATGACCTCAACCTCAAAAAGGCGGCTCGACCCGTCCCGGTCTACAATGCTGATGGCACATGGAATAAAGGAGGAGACATTACAGAATACGCTGAGGTAAGGCTACGAATCGGGGACCATGTGGAAAGGATCGAATTGGCGGTAGTGGACCTAGGCTCTACCCCCTTGTTCCTCGGGCATGACTGGCTACAACGTCATAACCCTCTGATCGACTGGAACATGGGGGCAGTCATGTTAGCCCGGTGCACATGTCGCAAAATACCATTTTCCCTCCCCGACACTGACCCTTCCGCACAATGGGAGGAATATGAGGAAGGGGATACTATTCTGGTCATTGACTTTGAAGAAGCCTTTCACGTTCAAGCCATGGGGACTAAGGCCAACGAGTTGGCAGCACAGGCCAACGCAAAAAGGACTGCTAAGTCCTTCGAGGAAATTGTACCTGAGGAGTATCGCGAATTCAAGGACATTTTCAACAAAGAGAATTTCGACGAACTGCCCCCGCGTAAACCCTGGGACCATGCCATCGAGCTTGTCCCTAACGCTAACGCCAACTTAGACTGCAAGGTCTACCTCCTCAATCCGACGGAGCAGGAAGAGTTGGATAAATTCCTGGACGAGAATTTATCGACTGGTTGCATCCAGGCGTCGAAATCCCCCATGGCTTCACCCTTCTTCTTCGTCAAAAAGAAAGACGGGAAGCTTCGCCTGGTACAGGACTATCGGAAACTTAACGAAATGACCATCAAAAACCGCTATCTGTTGCCGCTCATTGGAGAATTGATGGACCGGCTGAAGAAGGCCAAATACTTCACCAAGCTGGACGTGCGTTGGGGGTATAATAATGTGAGGATCAAGCAGGGGGACAAGTGGAAGGCAGCGTTCCGAACCAATCGTGGGCTCTATGAACCCTTAGTAATGTTCTTTGGACTCACCAACTCTCCCGCCACCTTCCAATGGATGATGAATGACATCTTCAAAGACCTCATAGCGGCGGGGGAGGTGTCGGTATACCTAGATGACATACTCATAGCATCCAAAACCAAGGCTGAACATAAGCGGATTGTGTGGAAAGTACTCCAGATCTTGCGAGAGAACAAACTGTTCCTCAAGGCAGAGAAATGCGAATTCGAGGTGGAAGAGACTGAGTACCTGGGAGTGATTATTAGCGAGGGGAAAATTCGCATGGATCCCGTCAAAATCGCAGGCCTCCTGGACTGGCCGGTTCCCTGAAGGAAGCAAGAGTTGCAATCCTTCCTCGGATTCTGTAACTTCTATCGACGGTTTATCCGAGACTACAGTAAACACGTCAAGCCGTTGACTTCCCTCACCGGTAAGCAGGAGTGGAAGTGGGGGGAGGCTCAACAGGGGGCATTCGAAAAGCTCAAGGAGCTATTCCGGGAGGACGTAGTGCTAGCCATCCCATTAGATGAAGGGCGATTTCAAGTAGAGGCAGACTCGAGTGAAGGAGCGATAGGGGCTGTACTATCCCAGTGGCAGGACGCGAAGTGGCGGCCAGTGGCCTTCCTCTCCAAAGCCTTGTCAGTCACGGAGTGCAACTACGAGATCTATGACAAGGAACTCCTGGTCATAATGATCGCCCTCGAGGAGTGGCGTCAATATCTCATGGGGGCGAAAGAGGACTTTGAGATCTGGATGGATCATTCCAACCTCCAGTACTTCCGCAAGCCCCAGAAGCTTAATCGACAACAAGCCCAATGGGTGATGGAATTGGCGGAATACCAGTTCACCCTGCACCACAAGCCTGGAGCGCAGAACCGCAAGGCGGACCTACTGTCGCGACGGGCGGACCATGATCAGGGGAAGGAGGATAACTGGGATGTGGTGGTCCTCAAGGCTGAACACTTCAGGGCTTTAATTATGCCCACGGCTGAGGAGCTCCATGAAGGAATCAAAGTGGCTACGCACGACCCCCGTCGTTGGGATCGAGGGATCTCCGACTCTCTTAACCATGAAAAAGGGGTCTCGCATGACCAAGATCTATTATGGTACGACGGGCGGATTTACGTGCCCCAAAGCCGTGAACTTAGAGGCCGAATCATAGCCCTCAAACATGACCACATCACTGCCGGACATCCGGGGATTGAAAAAACGAAGGAGTTGATACTACGCGATTATTGGTGGCCCCGCATGCGCCGAGATGTGGAAGCCTACGTAAAGGGTTGCGACGTCTGCCAGCGAACTAAGGCAGACCGTCGACCGAGGAAAGCCCCTCTCCACCCCAACGAGGTCCCTCTGCGGCCTTGGACCCACATTTCAGTCGATATGATCACTAAGCTCCCGAATTCTAAAGGATTCGACTCCATCCTAGTCATCGTCGATCGCTTCTCGAAAGCCATTATTCCCGTTTCCTGCACAGAAGAGCTCACATCTCTAGGGTTTGCTAAAATCCTGAGGGATCACATCTACGTACCCTATGGTGTGATGCCCGAGAAGGTGATCTCCGACCGAGGATCGGTATTTGTCTCCAAGTTCATGAAAGAGTTCTATCGACTCCTTCATGTTGAAGGGAACCCCTCTACAGCCTATCACCCGCAAACGGATGGGCAGACCGAGAGGATCAACCAGGAGATTGAGAAATACCTAAAGATGTTCGTCAATGACCGGCAAGATGATTGGAGTGATTGGCTACCGTTGGCTGCATTCACGCATAACAACCGCCAGCACTCCGCGACGGGATATTCCCCCTACAAGGTAATATTTGGGAGGGACGGAGAGGTTATCACCAAGCCCCGAATGGCAACCACTGTCCCAGCGGCAGAGAAGCTAGTGGCGGAAATAGAGAAGGTGCAGAGCGAGGTGAGAAAATCTTTAGAAAAGGCAGCGGAGTCGATGAAGAAGGCTTACGATAAGCACAAGGATGCGGCTGTAATGTACGAGGTCGGCGACAAAGTGTGGCTGGACACAACCAATCTTCACCTCCCTCGCCCTACAAAAAAGCTCAGGGACCGTCGAGTAGGCCCCTTCGCTATTACGGCCAAAAAGGGGGCTTCAGCATACGAATTGAAATTGCCGGTGGGCTGGAAGATCCATAATTGTTTCAACAAATCCCCCTTAACTCCATACGTCGCCCCCGCGTTCCCTAATCAACTGCGTCCCGAAAGACCACCCCCAGAATTGATTGACGACGAAGAAGAATACGAGATCGAAGAAATTGTGGAACAGCGAGACAAAATCGTCGGACGGGGGGCCAAGCATCGAACCATAACCGAGTACCTTGTTAAATGGAAAGGTTATCCGAAGGAGGAAAACTCTTGGGTAAAACGATCAAACATGGCCAATGCGGAAGAGTTAGTAAACAAATACGAAGCGAGGATACGACGAATAAATGGAAAGGTAGCAAGGGCCGAGGATGGGTTGTCGTATAACAGCAACACCCAACAAGACTCTTATGCCTCTCCATCCTCTGCTCAATCCACAACCACATACGAGCTCGAGGCTGATGACGATGAATCCGAGATCAACTTGGAAAACCTCCAACGAATCCACGAAAATTGGGATTGGGATAGTGACCAAGAGGACGACGACGACTCCGTCGCCTACTACACAGACTCCACAATGCAGGAGGAGAGTTCAAGCTCATTCGGGACGAACGAGTCTTGAAGAGGGGGTAATGTTACGGTTTATTCATTTCTTTTCTTTTCTTACGCATTCATGCTTATTCTATGATGCGATTCCTACCGGACGATTCTCACAGTACTATTTTTAGTCTAGTCATCGTGTATTTAAGTAGTGCCTCAGCTGGCCTAAACCCCAGCTTCGGCTAAGGTTTAATCTACCCATCATCGAACTCCTTGTTTCGCGTCTATCTCGTTCACAGTTGACTTGTCTTTTCGCCTTTGACCTACCAGTGTATCAACTACCGAAGTGCGAGTAGTGATCCTGGTTTGATCTAAGTCGATTCGAGTTGGTTGTTAACACTAACACTGATTCAGATGGGGAAAATATGCCAGAAGCAAAGTCGGAGAGTGCATGAGACCCGGTATTAAAAACTGCTTCAATCCTTCTACCATTTTCTGCGCTTTTTCATCAATTTCAGTAGGCCTGTTCCTAGTCTCCGATCTCCCTGTAGATGCTACCACAAAAGATCTTGAAAAGATGACTAAAATTTATTTTACTTTCCTGGCTAAAATTTCTTTTCTTTTAAATCTATATTCATACTCTGGTATGCACGTAGACCACTAAAATGTCATCATAAAGTCACTTCGGACCACTTCCAACAAGCACAGTTTAAATTGAACAGCCATGTGAGACCTGATCTGACTCCGTAAAATTCCTTCTCCCTCAATAACAACCTGGCGAGCAGTGATTCTACCTCAAAGCATATCGGTTTCTTCAAGTATCATCTTTACTAACATAGTGGTGCTTCGTGCTTTGGTCTCTCCTGGAGTACTATGATTAGAATAATTCCACTGAACTCTCCTTGATGATTATCACTACATGGCAAGGCATCTTGAACATTTATCAATCACAAGGCTCAGGTCTGTGCTACAGATAGTAATTCCAATACCCAAAATCATGGCTCCTAGCACCTGATCAGCTAGAAATCCGTTCTTCTGTTCTTTGCGCTGTAATTGTTCTTTGTGCTACAGTAGGTTCGCATACCATTGGTTACCTGATTGGCCTAATCTGCACCAAATTTCTCACAGGGACTACCACTTCTGATTCTATTTCAGGCGTTCATTGGCCCCCTGGATTGACGACTTGACGACTGCTGAAAGATGGGTCAAGAAATGTGTTGGATACTGGGCACCATTCTCGTGAACTTTCTATATTGCTGAACTGCCTTGAATCCTTGATTGTGGGTGCTGTTTGCGATGATGAACATGCATAATCTTGAAACAGACTATATAAGGGTGTCGAGTGATTGGTCCTTTTGCATTTTCTGTCCCCAGCTCATAGCACCTCACAATGACATTTGCATCTGCAACCCCAGGCCTTACTGGCAAAGAATCCAGCATTGTATTTACAATTATTGACATTGACTTCAATCAGATAATAGTCTATGCCCTCATGCATGGTATGTTCACAAATGTTATGTGTCCTCTTAGACCTGGATTGACATGAAACTTAGGGATATATACATGTGTCTTCATTGTCACCTTGTGGAATATCTGTTAGTATGCTTCCACTATGCCTGGAATGGCTATATGAATCTCTACAGTTTCAAGCAAAACTCAAAACGGCACATGTAGAAATCTGATGGTCCTAGCTATCATTGTACTTTATGTCCTGTCTACGATCGCTTTTTCATTCACCTGGGTTTTTATCTGCTTCAGATTCATCGATAACGGTCAAAGTTACCTGGCTGAGTATCGGGGACTTTCAGACCTCAATAGCCAGCGGAATGTCGACCAGATAATTGGGGGAGTTACGGGTATCATCTGTACTGTTATTGCTGATGGTGCTATGGTACAAATCATATCATCTGAGAAAGTAAGGCTTTGTTAGCCACTAACTCTTATCGACTTAGATCAACTCAAGATCGTCACTCGCACTTCGGTGAACGATACAAGAGGGGTCAAAGTAGATGGGAGAGAGCCAGTCGCGAACTTAGATAGTCACGAAACGGGGAGCTTTGAGATAGGTAGATTAAACCTTAGCCGAAGCTGGGGTTTAGGCCAGCTAAGGCTCTTCTTAAATACACGTTACGTAGGCTAAAAATAGTACTGTGAGAACGTCCGATCAGAACTGCAGCATAGAGTAAGCATGAATATGTAAGGAAGAGAAAAAGAAAAGAATAAACCGTAACATTACCCCCTCCTCAAGACTCGTTCGTCCCGAATGAGCCCTGACTCTCCTCCCCACTTTGTGCGGATTCGCTGTAAAAGGACCAAGTATCATCATCGTCGTCATCATCTTCAGAGTCGAAGTCCCAATTTTCGTAGACTCTTTGCAAGTTTTCGAGATCGAGTTTGGAGTCTTCATCGTCTGGTATTTCCTGTGCGATAGGTATTCTGTCCGCTTTTTTGGTGGTAACTTCCCGCACTGCTATCGATGACTGTGAGTCGGAGTGTCTTGGGTTCGTGCACTCAGAGGAATAAACGGTTTCTATATCCGTGATGCATGGAGTGTCTGGATCGTGATAAACCAATCCCACGCCAGGTGGTATTTTGTCGTCTCTTCCGACCGTTCTTCCATGCTTGTCGACTTCCCAGTGAATTCTTTGTAGACGTGCTTCGTACTCGTTTACGAGTTCCTCCGCGTTGGCCATATCCGAGCGTTTGACCCATGAGTTTTCCTCCCTCGGGTATCCTCTCCATTTCACCAAGTATTCCGTTACCGTACGACGACTTCGTCCGCGACCGACAACTTTGTCTCGTTGTTCAACTATTTCTTCAATTTCGTATTCCTCTTCATCGTCTATCAACTCCGGAGGTGGCCGCTCGGGACGTGGTTGATTTTGGAAAGCGGGGGCGACATACGGCGTTAGGAGCGATTCGTTAAATCGATTGTGAATCCTCCATCGGATGGGTAGTTTTAGCTCATAGGCCGAAACCCCCTTTTTGGCGATGACAATGAAGGGTCCGACGCGACGGTCACCAAGCTTCTTGGTAGGGCGAGGAAGGTGTAGGTTGGTGGCATCCAACCACACTTTGTCCCCTGGCTGGTACTCCACTGCTTGGCCTTTGTGCTTGTCATAAGCCTTCTTCATCGATTCGGCCGCCTTTTCCAAAGACGCTTTCGTCTCCCTTTGTGCCTTCTCGATTTCCGTGACCAGCTTTGCCGCCGCCGGAACTACTGTCGGCTTTCGTGAGGTAGTGATGACTTGTCCATCCCTCCCAAACACTACTTTGTACGGGGAGTACCCGGTGGAAGAGTGTTGACGATTATTATGTGTGAAGGCGGCTAGCGGTAACCAGTCGCTCCAATCATCCTGTCGATCGTTGACGAACATCTTCAGGTACTTTTCGATTTCCTGGTTGACCCTTTCCGTCTGCCCGTCCGTTTGGGGGTGATATGCGGTAGAGGGATTTCCTTCGACATGAATAAGGGTGTAAAACTCTTTCATGAATCTGGAGACGAAGACTGAGCCGCGGTCCGAGATAACCTTCTCTGGCATTACCCCATAGGGCACGTAGACGTGATCCCTTAATATCTTGGCGAAGCCGAGAGAAGTAAGTTCTTCCGTGCACGTGATGGGAATGATAGTTTTGGAGAAACGGTCGACGATCACCAAGATGGAGTCGAACCCCTTAGAATTGGGTAGTTTGGTGATCATGTCCACAGAGATGTGGGTCCAGGGACGGACCGGGACCTCGTTAGGGTGTAGTGGGGCCTTCTTTGGGCGACGGTCTGCCTTAGTTCGCTGGCAAACGTCGCATCCCTTTACGTATGCCTCCACGTCTCGTCGCATCCTCGGCCACCAATAGTCTCGGAGTACCAATTCCTTGGTCTTTTCAATGCCTGGATGTCCGGCCGTGGCATGGTCGTGTTTGAGGGCTATGATCTGCCCTCGAAGGTCGCGGTCTACCGGTACATAAATTCGTCCGTCGTACCATAACAGATCTTGGTTGTGGGAAACGCCCTTCTCATGGTTCAGCGAGTCAGAGATTCCTCTGTCCCAACGGCGAGGGTCGTGAGTTGCCTCTTTGATTCGTTCGTGCAACTCTTCGGCCGTGGGCATGATGAGGGCCCTGAAGTGCTCGGTTTTGAGCACTACTATGTCCCGATTGTCTCCCTTACCCTGATCGTGGTCCGCCCTCCTAGATAAGAGGTCCGCTTTTCGGTTTTGAGCCCTGGGCTTGTGGTGTAGAGTGAACTGATATTCCGCGAGCTCGGTGACCCACCGAGCTTGTCGTCGGTTAAGTTTCTGAGGTTTGCGGAAATATTGGAGGTTAGAGTGATCCGTCCAAATTTCAAAATCTTCTCTGGCCCCCATGAGATACTGACGCCACTCTTCGAGAGCGATCATAATGGCCAAGAGTTCTTTATCATAGATTTCGTAGTTATGCTCCGTAACCGAAAGGGACTTGGAGAGGAAAGCGACTGGTCGCCATTTCTCGTCTTGCCACTGAGAAAGTATGGCTCCTATCGCCCCCTCGCTTGAGTCTGCCTCCACTCGGAATTTTCCCTGATCGAGGGGAATAGCCAGCACCACGTCTTCACGGAACAGCTCCTTAAGCTTCTCAAACGCCTTTTGTTGGGCCTCCCCCCATGTCCACTCCTGTTTCCCAGTAAGCATCGTCAGAGGTTTGACGTGCTTGCTGTAGTCGCGAATGAACCGTCGATAAAAGTTGCAGAAACCGAGGAAGGATTGTAATTCTTGTTTCCTTCGAGGGACCGGCCAATCCAAGAGACCCGCAATTTTGACAGGGGTCCATGCGGATCTTCCCTTCACCGATAATCACCCCAAGGTACTCGGTTTCTTCTACTTCGAACTCGCACTTTTCCGCCTTGAGGAACAAGTGGTTCTCTCGTAGAATTTGGAGGACTTTTCGTACGATCTTCCAGTGCTCCGCCTTAGTCTTGGAGGCGATAAGGATGTCGTCTAAGTACACTGACACTTCTCCGGCGGCTATGAGGTCTTTGAAGATATCGTTCATCATCCATTGGAACGTGGCGGGCGAATTGGTGAGCCCAAAGAACATCACCAACGGCTCATAGAGGCCTCGATTCGTGCGGAAGGCCGCCTTCCATTCATCCCCCTGCTTGATGCGCACATTATTGTATCCCCATCGTACATCCAACTTGGTGAAGTACTTGGCGTTCTTTAACCGGTCCATGAGCTCTCCAATTAAGGGCAACGGGTAACGATTCTTGATCGTCATCTCGTTGAGCTTCCTATAGTCCTGGACTGGTCGCAATTTACCATCCTTCTTTTTGACAAAGAAGAATGGAGACGCCATGGGAGATTTCGAGGGTTGGATTCGGCCGGTAGACAGGTTCTCGTCTAAGAACTTGTCCAGTTCCTCCTGTTCCGCGTGGTTGAGGGGGTACACCTTGCAATCCAGGTTGGCGTTGGCGTTGGGGATTAGCTCGATGGCATGATCCCAAGGTTTACGCGGGGGTAACTCATCAAAGTTTTCCTTGTCGAAGATATCTTTGAATTCTCGATATTCTTCAGGCACTATCTCCTCGAACGACTTAGCGGTCTTCTTGGCGTTGGCTTGGGCCGCTAGCTCGTTGGCTCTGGTCCCCATAGCGCGTACATGGAAGGCCTCTTCAAAATCTATCACTAGGATGGTGTCCCCTTCCTCGTATTCGTCCCATCGTGCCGAGGGATCGGTGTCAGGAAGGGAAAAGGGAATTTTCCTACACATGCACCGGGCCAAGGTAACTGCTCCGGTGTCCCAATCGATAAGCGGGTTATGACGTTGTAGCCAGTCATGCCCTAAGAACAATGGTGTGGAGCCTAGATCGACTACGGCTAGTTCGATCCGTTCCACGTGATCTCCGATCCGTAGCCTTACTTCGGCATATTCCGTGATGTCCCCTCCTTTGTTTCGGGTGCCATCGGCGTTATACACCGGAACGGGTCGGGCCGCCTTTTTCAGGTTGAGGTCATGAGTCTGGGCCCAAGCCCGGTCAATCGAGCTCCCAGTAGCGCCGCTGTCAACTAGGGCGCTCACGGCATGGATCTCTCTCGTGTCCAAGGTTTCCAATTGTACTTTTATTGACACGTTACGCCCCTTCCTTCCTCTAATGTACATGGGCGGCTTCTGCAAATCCTCCATCCATTGCCATTTTTCCCTGGCCTGAGCGGCGGTTTCGGTTTGTTCCTCCAACTGGTGACATAGTTGGTCGGTAACCTCTTCTCGGCGACGAGGGTGCACCCATCCGTTGAGGACCGCTCTGGCTGCCGCGTCCCCAGGGGCAATGCGTAATGCCCGATGGGTCCACAGGATCCCGTGAGGTTCGTAGTACATATCTGGAATGACCTTCTTGTCACGGGGAACCGCAGAAGGGGATACCGTCGCAACGGGCGCACGCCTTGGGGTTACGACCGGGATATCGGACCGTAAATGGGCTTCTTCGTCCTCCACCTCCTCCAACGAAACCAAATGGGTCTTGCTTCGAGGCGGCATTTGGTCACCGGGCCGAAGAGGGCCCCTCAGCGGCACTTGGTCACCTTCCGTCGAATTGGTAGGGGAGGGCTCACTGCCCTGTGTTCGGCCCTGGCCACGGGCGCTTGTGCGCGACGTTGTAACCCCTACTCCGGATCCGCTACTTATGCTCTTCCTAGACCCGGCGGTACTTCGAGTAACCCTTCACGGGGGCACACATATTGGCTCCCTCGAACGGTCCTCACTGTTTGCCGATGTAAGGGCTACTAGGTGAGGGTGGTCGTCCGAGTTCACGGCCTCAGCTGCTTTTCCGATGCTTCCCGCTGGAACAGACGGCCCCACAAACGAGGACGCAGGCCCAGCGGGCTGGGTTGTCGACCTTTCTCCCACTCCGGGGTGACCTCCCTTCGTCAAGGGTGCAGTCGGGACTTGACCTAGGGGGCTCTGCCCTCGAGGGGCTTTCCCTGTGCGGTGAGCCGGGGGTTCCTGAGCTCGGACGGCCCCTAGGGGTTCAATACTGGGCGCAGACTGCACGGAGTGGCGGGAATCCCCTCCTACGCCGTCGATGGTTGGCGATTCGTTTTCCTTAGTTTCTTCTACTGGTAGAGCGGCGAAGAAGTTGGTATATTGATCATAGGGAGTACCTACACATACAGATTGAGCCTTACTACAAGTACATGGGCGCGCACCAGTGGAAACTAAGTCCTTTGCCGACGCCGTCGAATCGCTTATTTTGATGCCGGCTGGTCTTTTGACGACTTCTCCTCGTCCTTGACCTCCTCAACCTTCGTGTCCTTCCCCAGTTCCTCCTTCTCGGCCTCAGCGAGTAGCTGTCGTAGGCACTGGGCGTTTGGCTTTTTGCGCTGTGGGAGTTTGACGGGAAGCCACTTGGACTTATCCGTTGGGCATTTATGGTCCCGGCTCCACCCGGTATTGCCGCACTTGAAGCATCGCTTGTCGCTTCGCAACTTGTCGATCTCCATCGGCTGCCCGGCACCGCCATATGTCGTTCCTGTGGCGTCCTTCTTGTCGCCACTCGAACCTTGGCCGCTGCCCTTCTGTTGATTGCCTCGACCTGAACCTCCTTGGTTCGAGGAGGACTTACTGCCCAACCCCTGGGCAACTCCGTATCGATAGTTGGCGTCTATTCTCAAGACGCGCGCCTTCCATTGTGCATAGGTTGTGGGGCGCTCGTTGTCCCCATGCATAACCGTATTTCGCACTGTGGGCCTGATGGCCGCTTCAACCGCTTCGAACATCTGCTTCTCATCTCTGAACTCCTCGCACTTGTGGGCTAGTCTTTCGAACTTCGCGAAGAATTCTACTGCGGTCTTGAAATCCGACTGGCGAATCTTCTTCCACTCGGCCTTCCATATCGTAAGTTCTGCCACTTCGCGGAATTCCTGCGTGAGATCGTGCGAGAATTCATCCCAGGTGGGGAACCTCCAATGCCCCCGCGAGTCCCGGTACCGATAATACTGGCCGACCCACCACTGCTGCGCGTCCCCCCGCAAGTATCCCTGTGCGAACGTAATTCGGTAGGGATTGTGCCCTTGATCGTTGACGGTATAATACATGGGGAACACCGCGAAGTATACTTCGCAGTGGTGTAAGAACCGCGTGATGTCCGAGGATACCCCGGTGAAGTACTCCGGCTGGGTCACCAGCTTGGGTTTGACGTCATTCCAGGGGTTGTTCACCCCTCCTGGCGCCAGCTGCCACGGAGGGATTGGATCCGGTGGCGAGGGAATGTGAGGGGGCAAGGGCGGCTTAGGGGGTCGCGAGAGCGACCGCAAGTTTCGATTTTCCCCCGGAGGGGGGTACCCCACAGGGTCTGGGTATCGCGGTGGATGTGGCGGCATAGGTGGCATAGGCGGGACCGTGGATCCCTTGCCTTTGTCGGGATGAGATGGTCCCGCGCCCGGGTCGTCCATGTCGTCATTGTCTTCTCCTGCACCCCCGAGGAATCCTTCGGGGAAAAAGCCCGACGGGTCCGTCGGGTGAGGCATGGGCTGAGGCCGCCTATACGGTTCACAGCCCGGTTGGGGTGCTTCTGGGTTCACCAGATTCCAGACAATGGCCGCCCTGTGCCAAGTTTCTACCTCGAGGATATTTTTCATGAGGTATACGTCGCCCATTCGCTTGGCGTGACGGTAATCCTCACTGGCCTCGGAGAATAGCCACTGCGGGTCTTTCTCCATGTCTTCCATCATGATTTCGTACAATCCGTGCCAAGGTAAAAGTTCGAAGATACCGGGCCTAGGCACGGGGCCCTGAAGAAGGACCTGCTTGACCGCCGCCATTACCGTTGGTTCCAGGGCCTGGTTTGGAGGCCGACTCGGCATCCTTGGCCTCCTTCCTCTCTCGGGCGAGGCGGTCGAGCTCGCGGTTCCTCCTCTGTCATACGATGTCGGAGTCGGGGTCGGTGATCTCCGCTTCGTAACTGGCCCAGGCTCTTCTTCTTGCCTCCAGGTCGGTTCCCGCTCTTCGGGCCGCTCCGGTATATCGGACGGCGGCTGCTCGTATTCGATTGTCGATCTCGGACTGGGTGGCGTCGTATTCGAGGGGTAAGTCCCACCAGCCATCGGGTCCTTGGAGGGCATCCTCCTCGGCTCGGCGGATGCGTGCATCATGCGCTCTTCCGCGCTCCATTCTGGCCTCGATTTCTGGGGATTCCCTGGTAGCTCGAGGGAGTCCGAGGGACTCGACGTACGTGTGGTATAGTAGTGGCCACGGACGCTGGGAGAGAGGGACCGGGTCGGCGAAGGCTCTCGCTGGGACTGACGGCTCCCAATTGGAGACTCCGGCGAGGCGCTCGGAAACGGTAACTGTTCCAAGTTCCTCGGTGTCGTACTCGGGGTATTCGTCCCAAAGCTCCCCATCCGTCGGCTCGTGCGTGGAGACGGGGGGAGTGAGCGGCGGGGTCTCGGCCCTGTCAGAGTCTGGACTGGGCTCTGACTCGGGCGCGTCTCGGGCCACAGTAGTTTCTTCCCTTGGGTCTGCGTAGACCCAACTGGTGTGGGGGTACCAGGCGACTGGCTCCCCTCGATCGGTTGACCCGGAGCCTGAAACAGGCTGTGGGTTAGTTGTACTGGTGGTAGCCGTGGAGGCTCCGAGGCCAAGGTCTCCGGGATCGTCGTAGAAGTCGTCACGACGTCCCCGGGCCGCCTCATAGCGGGCTCGGTCCCTGGCGATGTCGGCCGCAACCCTTCGGTCCCTTGCTTTTTCCCAGCTGTCGTTAATCTCGGCTGCTGTCCTCTCACTTCCCCACTCTGCGAGTACCCAGTTTCTCTGGGAGCGTCCGCTCCAGTTATCTCCGGTATAGGCTGCATCTTCCTCCTCGTTCGGATAGAGGTTGCTGAGGAGGTCTTCGAGTCTGATTCTTTCGAGCTCGGTGAGCTCGTCGCCTTCGTACTCGGTGTCAGGGCTTTCCTCGCCCATGACCAGAGGCCTGGTGCCTTGTCTTCTGGCTCCGTCGGCGCTTGACTCGCCCTCGACTGGAGAGACGTCGAAGAGGCCTGGTAGGGGCGAGTCTCCTCGGTTGAGGAGTACCCCCCGGGTATCGGTGATGTCGAGGGAGTGGTCTGACTCGGTAGCGCTTCTGTAGGAGTCGGTGCTCGACTCTGAGGATCCCGAGTTGGATCGCGACGATGCGTAGAGGGACCCTCCAGGTCCTCTGGGTGTGATGGGTCGGCCATCGTGTAGAGTTTGTTGTGAGGCCTCGGGGATGAAGATCACGGGTGGCGGATACGCCGGTGTTGTCGGAATGTAATGGAACGGCAGTTGTGCTCGTACTCGTCTTTGTTGACGGCAGCACTGCCGGAGGTAATACAAGCAGATGAACAAGAAAAAGACGGTAGAAAGCGCGGAGATTACGGGAATGGCGTCGGATAAGGGCATCCGTTCGTGGGCTTATTTTTTGGGTGAGCCTACGGTGAGGATGGACCATACGACGGTCAGAGCAATGATTGTTATGGCTGCGAGGGTCGCGATAATCAGGTTGAGGTCGGTCTCGTAGTTCGAGCCGGTCATCAACGGGATTTCGTCATCGAAGGATGGGTCAGTCAATGCCAGCAGTATTACTGCTAACAGTGAAGCTAACTTTAAGAATAGGTTGAAAGGGTTCATCGTGCCTCAGACGAGGGGGACGTATGCGCCGTAAAGTGCTACTAGCAGTCCTGCTAGAAGCGGTGCGGCGATACAGACTCGGATGAGGGCGAGGATGAGGAGTACAGTTACTAGAACTGGAAAGATGGGATCGTTGAGAATGTGGGGTGAAACCCAGGCGATAACAGCGGCTTGAAGCAGTAGGTCGAAGGGTGTAACCCAAAGGGCTATCGCGACAAAGAGGTGTATCGGATGAATTTTTGTAAGGTGTCCTTCCGTTGGTCCACCTGCGATACGCTAACAACCACGAGGTTGTCCTTTCGAACGTACGGCAGTGACTTCTCTGGTCAGACGGGGGTTTTGATTCGTAAGAGAGTTGGGCAGCGCTCTTTCTCGGAAGTGACGCTGAGCAACGTAGAACGAGCTTCGGCTAAATGTTAGCCACTAACTCTTATCGACTTAGATCAACTCAAGATCGTCACTCGCACTTCGGTGAACGATACAAGAGGGGTCAAAGTAGATGGGAGAGAGCCAGTCGCGAACTTAGATAGTCACGAAACGGGGAGCTTTGAGATAGGTAGATTAAACCTTAGCCGAAGCTGGGGTTTAGGCCAGCTAAGGCTCTTCTTAAATACACGTTACGTAGGCTAAAAATAGTACTGTGAGAACGTCCGATCAGAACCAGCAGCATAGAGTAAGCATGAATATGTAAGGAAGAGAAAAAGAAAAGAATAAACCGTAACAGGCTTATACTTAGTTCCTAACAGATTTCGCACTGCTGGGTTATTTGGGGTGGCCACTGGTTTATTGTATCCATTCCCATCTTACTTCTTATCTCTGAGACAGGTATGTATAAACTTGCAATTTTTGCAGATACCATCAGTGACATCTTATCCCTTAGCAGTCAAATCAGTCCAAATTTACCATCTCCTTATACCTGGCGAAGAGTTATCTAACAGTAGCATTGAATGGATGATGGTGTACCTCTCTCTCATCCTCACCACTACTTTGATGTGTACGTTGCTCATCGTATACCATATTCTATTGATGGGAGGGATCAAAGCTGGCCTGCAAACATACCAGGGGTGTCATCGAAGTTATTGTGGAGTCAGCCGCACTGTACTCTGTTGCCCTCATCATGTACATCTCCTTGATTGCAGGTGACGAACTGCGCCACAACTATGCAGATAGCATTACTGCCAGTGTTAAAGTAGGCCGAGTCTGTCTGCTTCGTTTGGAAAACTAATAAACCGGACACCACAGGGCATTGCCTCCACTCTTCTTGTCGGACATGTCGCCGCTGGGCATGCCCATCTGAAAGACACTTGTTTATCCTCGCTTCACTTTGGTCGCACCACTCAAGCCCAGATAAGTACTATAGGTGGTGTCAGTACTACACGGAGTGAAGTGTTCACAGATGAAGAAACAGTGGGTTCTAGCAAGGATTTTCCGATGAAAATGGTTCTCGAGCAACAGTCTGAAGCTAAATCGGAGAATGTATGAGACATGATCTGGTTCTTTATCTTTTTTTTTCGGCTCTGGCATCCTTTTGATAAGTGTCTATTTCGTGTAGCATTTTTTTTTGGCCTGCCTCGAGGGAAAGCTCTCTTTCCACCCACAATTTATTTAATATCTATTTCAGTATGCATATAGATCACTCACATTTGGTGCTTGTCCAACTGGTGTCTCTTGGCTCTTGGCATTCTGGTTCTTTAGCGAACTGTCGTGAATCATCGGAGCTTGAATGTGGCTGTGAACTGTGAACGTGCCCTGTTTAGGCAGGTCCTGCTGGCTGAAGTCCTTGCCCTGGGCTGGGGCAATTCACACTTTTTGGCTCATGGCCCAGGCGAAGTCACAGCCAATTCACAATTTTTCGCTGGCCGATTCACACTTTTGGGGCCCCAATTCACAGAATTATTCACACCTTTTGGCAGGCCGATCGCTCTTTGGCTGGTGAAGTCTGCATTCCCACCTCAGACTTTGCCATTCCCGATTTCAAAGCCATCTCATCTCCATCTCGGACTCTCTCTCTCTTTCTCTCATCTCGCTCACTTGTTAGGTAGGTCTCCTCCATGTCGATAAGATAGAATAAGATATAAAATAGAATAAAAGTGTATAATAATAACATAACAGTACAATTAAATTTTTACTTCTTCTTGATCTGTAAAGCAGAGTGAAGCGCATTGACAGTCTTGCTTCCTGTCAGCTCCTGACGACATGCTTCAAGGACCTGGATCACATCATCTGAGCTTTGGCCCTCTGCAAGCATTGTCTCGATGCACTTTACAAAGAAGTAGTAGTTGCCCCAGATTTTTCAGGCCTAGAGATGGATGTGATTTGTTACTTAGTGCAAATAGAAACTGGTATGCCATGCATGGAACCATACCTTGGCATCATTACGGGGTCTCCATGATGGAAGTCTCCCCTTTCCCATAGTGCCATTCTTCAAGCTACCCCACTTATTTTCAATCAGCTGTATTGGCGGCAGTCTTCCGATGTCCTCTATGATGGCTCCCTCACTCCAAGATTGCCAGATACTCTTCACATCAGGGTAATCTCCGAGACTCCTGGGGACATAACAGTCCCACAGCTTTACTGGATCCATTACTCGTGAAAATACAGACTGCCAATTTGTCTCTGATTTTTTGAATGTTGGTAGGACTTGTGGGGAGTATGCAGCGAGAGAAGGAATAATGAGATCATGAGATGAACGAGACTGGGGCTGGTCTGGTAGCAATGGTAGAATAGGGAGTACATAGTAAGTCTTCTGATTGATGTTAAGTATGTACGGTATAAAGATATCGGTTGGTCTAGAAGATGAGAGTGTAGGGAAAGTTGTTACTTCATTGCTTGCTGATCTCGTTGGGCTGCAAAATGGTGATACTGGAATGAGATTGCCAAATGGGAGATTTGAATCAAAGAGCTGACAAGGACACAGGGTTGGAGAGCTTGGTGGCGAGGACATGTGAACATCTTGATCATTTTCTAAAGCTGCAAAAGGAAATTAATCAGGGCTAGGGCTTTCAAATCCAACAGCTGCAACTCACCTCTCAATGGAACAGTACTTTCTTCAGCATGGTGCTGCACAGAGGCACTTGCTGAACATGGGAATCGGATGATGGCACCCTTACCTCCTGAAGGCTGCTTCGACGGAGATAGAGGATCCATGTGAGAAATCAAACATTCCATCAGGTGAGTTTGTGCCTGGGCAGTATCTTCAAGACCACGAAGACGAAGTGACATGGCTGAAACTGCATGCCGTGTCGGCGTCTCATGGAATAAGGTACTGATATCACTATCAGTGAGGCTTAAGTCCTCTTGCGCTTTCACTGCAGAGGGCCACTTGCTGAAGAAGGCCTTTGCATTGGCATCTTGAATAATCTTGATGCGTTGAAGAAGCCCTGAGTTTGGAAACTGCAGACTGATTGCAGCCATTGTCTAAATTAATTGATTCAAGGGTCGTCAGAAACCACAGTGGAAAAAGAGAAAGCAGCCTTACCCTCCAGAAGAAAGATTGCAGTTCCACAAGGAGCCGCAGAAAGTTATATGTTCCTTCATTTGGGCACCCACTCTCCTGTAAGCTCACTAAAGCCCCTTCAACAAATGGAAAGACCCTTTTCTGCAGTTCTACAGGTACATCTACACTAGCCCATGGAACTGAGTAGGTCTCACCAACTGCAAAACCTGCAAGAGCAACAACGGCCTGGAAATGGATCGGGTCAAAACACCGTGCGTGAATGATGAAGATGGATTACATACAAGCTTCAGAATTTTTGCTGTATAAGTCTCTCACCATTCATTACCGGCCCAGTTGCCTGTCGCATCGACCTGATCTGAAGGAACACTTTGGAAAGTAATTGTAAGTGCACAGAATAGTGAGACGAGTGACCCAAAAGAAACTTACCCCATATCTTCCAGGATTGTGGGCATTGTTCAGCGTGCAAGATGCGTTTTCTTCTTCGTTGTGACCGATGTTCGATCCAGAAAGTTCTGGTACATCTTTCCGAAGGCATCTCCAGTAAAGCATTTGTTCGACAGTTTTCCTGAACATCAACAATTGCTATGAAATTTATTTTGCAGTGAGTAAATGATAAATGAGCTCAGTATAATGAACTGACACTGCGGAATGTAGACGGCCTTGTCCAGTCCCATCCACTGACCTTAGAACAGAGCTGCTCTTGATCAAACATGTACTGTAATTGAATAGAGAGGGCACCAATCGGACACCGTAAGATATTTCTATTAGGTAAAACAAAGCTGTAAGAGGGCACCGTTTTCTGGGATCAAACATAGTCAGAATAGAAGAGAAAAAAGGTGAATGAATTGATACTAACCCCTGGTTTTGTGACCTTTGTTTGATAAAAAAGACTCAGGACCCCAAATAATTGATGTCCTTGACCAGATACCTGTCCGTTTGAGAATCGGAAGTCCGGGATGTTGACATGGTAGGGCTGCAGACATGACATGGGCAGGTTGATCACCTCGTCTCCACGGTTGAGGGTTGTTGCTTGCCAAGTCCATGCAAAATGCGACTTGATAATGGTTGGGACTTCACAGTGAACAGTAAGTAAGGAAGAAACTCTCGGGGATATTTAAAATAAGATAACGTACCTTGATTCTGGCTAAAAATCGCAGCTGTAATCTCGCTGAACTGGTCTGGCCGAAGCTCCTGGTCTAGAATCGTGTTCTTTGCGATGTCAAAATCTTCGGTCCTAGGTAGTTAGGTCATTAATGCTTTCTAGAAAGTGTGAAAAAGCCAAATCACTTACTGAAGACGGTGTCGTTGTGCCTGGATCATTACGGCCTTGTAGAATTCAACAGTTCGAGAATTTGAAGCCGGATGACTATGCTTCAAGTCAGGGTTGTCGTCCTCCTGTCGACCACGAACCCAACCAAGCATTGTCATGATCTTCTTGAGGGAAGACTGGAACAATGGCTATTAGCATAGGATCACACAAGCAGACAGATATAGATCACATACCGCTGAGAGTCTTTCGTTAGTCTGTTTTGGTGCTCCCCGCTTCATGAGAAGTTGTCGCATTGCAGCGTATTTGAGGTAATGAATAATTAAATTTGCATCAACAATATCGTCGTGTACAAGTCCATCATGGATGGCTTGGGGGATCCATTGCTACAGGGACTCTCCGTTAATTCTTCTCTTCCTCTGAAAAAAAAATGATGAGCAAGATACGTGCCTTCCACTGAGCGATGACTGCCTGCTCAGTAACCCGCCCACTTTTCCGTCGTGTCTGCAGAATGTACTCATCAGCCCATCCTGTGGCTTGGGCTGCTGCTGGGGGCTGAAAACTCATGGTGCCAATGCTACTGGTTGCTCTTACTCTTGCTACATTGTCACTACATTCCTCACTAGTCTCAGCCTCGCCTATCTCTATGTCACCGGCTTCATCTTCATCGCACTCATCTCCATGACCATGCCTAAGACCGAACCCTTCTTCAAAAGACTCCATCAGCTCTGCCGCATCCTTAACCACCTGGTCTGAATCGAGAGATCTGGCAGCCTGAATCAGATCAGAATCGTCATCGACCTCTTGAAATGCGGGGACTTGTGGGGATGTGAATGTCGTGCAGAGTGAAATAGTAGGTGCCGATGGGCCAGAGACTTGTCGTGATGACTGGGGCATGTTACTGCACAACAGCAGTGTTAGAAAAGCAACCCTACTAGGGGATATAAAGCCTACGCACCTCAGCAAAGCAAAGCCGTGTTGCGCAAGCCGGTCTATCAACTCCTTTTTCAAACCTGTACACTTTAACCCCCGAGATTTGCATTCTTCCTTCAGCTGCTGGACCGTACAGAGAGGTTTTGCCCTTGTAACAACCCTGTTGCTGAGGGTGAGCACTGCACAAGCCTCTCTGGTACCTGAAATACTCACAAGTCTCCTTCTTTTGAACCTCGACGTCGTGTCCTCACAGGTCCAATTGATGATGGCAGATGTGCACTGTCATCCGGTGGTGCTGGGTAAAGGGAGAGGATGACACGTCAGCGCTCAGCGTTGGATGGGGAAACAACCAAACGATGAGCTCACAGGTACCAGGGGTGGCCATATTCTCGGACCCAGTTGCTGCATTAGTCGTCGAGCTTGATGGCCGGGACATTGCCATGAGGACCGGGTCGAGGTTCTCCTCGGAGAAGCCAGCCATGCAGTAGCGTTACCAGAGCGGCAGAACAGTGGAAACAGCAGACGAAACCCAAAATCTTGCCTGCGGCGCGAAGGGGGTGAGAGTTAGACTAGGATTCCCAGTGTGTCACGCGAAGTCACACTTTTTGTGTGAATTGCCGGCCAGTTCACAGCCGGATCAGTGTGAATTCCCCTATTTAGGTTCACTTAAGGTTTCTAGATCTGTTTTCATCTACCCCTTCAAGCTTATACTCTGGTATGCGCACAACTAAAACATCAATGTATCACTAACGAAGTCACTTTGGACACGATTCTGACGAGTATAGTTTGAATTGGAGGGCCACATGAGAGCCTCCCCCATCAATACCAACCTGGCGAGCGGTGTCTCTTATCAGATCTCATGATTGGGACTACTCCAGGATGTTTCAGGACATTGTCGAAAGCCACCGACTATGGAACGTCGTACATCTCGTCCATTAAAGCTTTCGGGGTTGTTATATTGAATATCCTGCAGCAATGTCATCGACGACCGAACATGTTTGTACGACGTGGAAGAGATCGCAGGAATAATCGGGGTGTCAAATATCAGTTTCGGTAGTGGAGACGCTTGTGGTGGTGGGTGTGGGGGGTACGAGTCATGGTTTTGGGCGGGGCGAAATTTCTGATCACGATCGCGGATAGGTACGCTATGCGTCTTATTTACCCTTCTAAGCCTTTTTGACGACCGACAGAGAGCCTTATTCGTGTCTATGAATGTCCACCGATGTGTGGGTTTCATGCGTACCTCACCGGTTGAAGGATACATTCTATCCAAGGCAAAAAAGAACATTCAGCAAGAGACAGGGTGCTCGTTTTTTGCATGTTCGTGCCTTCAATTCCTGCAGGTCGCATTTGTATTTGAAGGTAGTTTGTATTGAACCAGCTCTTGAGTGTTCGGTCCGTCAAAGGTTCCTGATTGGAGACAGATAGCAATAGCTAGCAACAAAACGGTGTATATGTTGAGCCTTGCTATCGCGCGTGCGGACCTTATCGATCAATTAGCTTCGAAGGATTTCGACGCTTTGACCAACCTTTCCTTATCGTCGATGAATCGAGGTACAATTTTGTTACTAAAATAACGCTCATGCAGTGTTTGCGTATCACGATGATGATCAGCATGGTGGATCAGTAGAAAATCTACATCCTCCAATCATCGACCGGCGTCATCTTGGAGTCCGATGCTCGCCTGATCTTCAGGCTTGGGTTGGTATCTCCCTTTCAAATTTGTGCACAGGGTGCCGTTAAATTTTATCCCGTTGATCCACAATCACCCCGCTCATGACCTGTGCCTATGTTTCAAAAATTTTAAGGCTTGCGCTCATGAATCATGATGGCTCGGATGCTTTTCTAGGTAGCTCACGGCTGTTAGCGGGATGAAGCGATGGTGGTATATGAAGCTATATGAGCCTTTCTGCATCCTCTGCTTGTCCGAGTCTTCTACTACTTGTATTCGATGTCATCAGCGAGCAATTCAAGTTCAACCTCAGGCCTTACTGGTGAAGATGCGGCAATCGTTTTTGGAGTCCTTGATGTTTACTTCAACGAAATAGTCGTTTATGCACTCATGCATGGTGAGTCCCAAAATCTCCCGTGTTCATCTAAATCTGACTTCGTGTACAATAGGAATATATACCTGCATTTTAGCCATAACGTTGTGGAATATCTGTTCGTTTACTTATCCTTGCATCAGAGCAACGCTGTTTAACAGTCCCTTTTAGTTTCCAGCAAAACAGCCAAGAGCGGAGCCTCTAGAGTTCTCATGGTCTTTGCCATTGTCCTCCTGTACATCTTGAGCACGATTGCTTTTGCGTTTCTTTGGTTCTTCGTCCGATTCGGCTTCATCGACAATGGTCAAGATGCTCTGTCTGTCTTCACTGGGCTGACTGGCTTCAATAGTCAGTGGACTGCTGTTCAGATAGGCGTCGGCGTCACGGGTATCATTGGGACCATCATCGCTGATGGAGCTATGGTAAGTCCATTCTGAATCCCTCATTCTCCAAGAAAGTAAGCTTACAACACCTCCTAGATTTGGCGTTGCTACGTTGTTTGGGGTGGCCGCTGGCTCATCGTCCTCATCCCCAGCCTATGTCTAATCACCGAGACAAGTACGAAACCATTGTCAGACTTGGCAACGCCACTGACCTCCGTGAATTATAGTCGTAAAATCCCTTCAAGTCTATCACAACCTCCATGATGTCATAGAAAACGACGAGCTTTCTGAGTTTGGGAGCAGGATTGACTGGACGACGCTATACCTGTCCCTCATCCTCGCCACTACTTTGATGTGCACTCTGCTCATAGTGTACCGCATCTTGTCGGTAGGAGGAATCAAAGCAGGCCTTCGGACATACCGTGGAGTCGTGGAGGTCGTTGTGGAGTCGGCCGCGCTGTACTCCATCGCACTGATTATCTACATCGCTTTCATTTCACGTAACACGCTAGCAAATAGCTATATCGATGTCATCACTGCATCGATTAAGGTGAGTTCTCTCCTTTGTGTTGAGAGCGGACTGATGAACCCGACATGTAGGGTATTGCACCCACTCTCCTTGTGGGACGTGTCGCCGCTGGACATGCTCGTCCGAATGACACTTGGAAGGAGAGCCGTTTGTCGTCGCTTCACTTTGGAAATCCTCGCCGGACCCAGATGAGTACTATGAATTCTACGACAGGCGGTGCCATGCAGAGCGTAATGTTTCCTGATGCGGAAACAAATCCTGGAAATGATTCCTCCTCTGACAGGATTGCAGGACATACACCAGAAGCGAAGTTGGAGAGTGTATGAGACCTGATAGTGGCGGTTCACCATTCAGTTTCGCCATTCATTTAATATCACTTGCTCTGTATAACCCTACCAAGGAAATCGCGTAGAATGACTAGATGTATCTTCTTTTCCGTCCCGGTTTTAAGAAAAGATCTCCCTCTACACTCATATTTCCGGCGCTGGTGTGCACGTAGACTGCTGAAACTATTTCTCAGTGTGATGATCAAGGGTTGCAAATAAAGAAAGGTACCACCGCGATCCTACGGTGCGTATCAGAAATTTTCACGAAAAAGACAAAAGACAACGAATTCTGGCCAAGGTCACGCCGTGGGAAAGTTCGGGATTGGCAGAGTCTTCCTTCTCCGCCAACGACAATCTGGCAAATGGTGATTCTATCTACTTTGGAACTTGTCAAACTATCCTGGTCTCTGCAAGAATCGTCCTTTCCAACTCAGTATTTCTCTGTGCTTCGAGTCCCGGTCTCTCAAGGAGTATCCGAATACTTATTTGGAGCTACTCCTCCCCCTTGATGATCATTACACGGCAAGCCATCATGATCTTAAAATCTATCCATCACAGCCCTCTGGTCTGTGCCTATGATAAACAGGCACTGATAGAGATCCGTCCTTTCCATAGTGATCTTGGACCTTGGTGCTCTACTTAATTGTTCTTTGTGTTTCAGCAACGGCCCCGAGAAAATTTGCTTGCAAGCTCGCCTAGTCATCCATACCCAATCTTCCCATCGAGCCCAGGATTCTTGTTCTGTTTCAAGTGCTCTCCCCCTGATGGAGCGACGACCGCAGAAAGATGGAATAGCACTGGTTCTCCCGCATTATTGAACTGCCTTGGAGTGGAATCCTCGCATACGGATGCTTTCTGTGGTGATGGACGTGTAAGCATGGACTATATGAGCGCTGGGAGTAATTCCTCCCTCTGCAATCCCCACAGGTCCCAGGCTCATACTCCTTAGCACCTTACAATGGCATCGGAGACTGACAGTACTCCCCTTACTGGCGAAGATGCCATCATAGTATTCGGAGTTCTCGACAGTTACTTCAACGAGATAATAGTTTATGCGCTCATGCATGGTACGCTACCATTCGCAAATATGATTGTGGTTCTCTCCGGATTGACTTGTTCATGCAAACAGGAATATATACATGCGTCTTCGCTGTCACCCTTTGGAACATCTGTTAGTTAAATCTCCCTCAGCATTAGGCTACTATCTCATATCATTCCCTGCACAGTTTCAAGTAAAACTCAAGGCGGCGTGTCTAGGCTTCTGATGGTCCTAGTTATCGTCCTGCTCTATGTCCTGAGTACTATCGCGTTCTCAACCCTGTGGTTCTTCGTCCACTTTGGTTTCATCGATAACGGTCAAACTGCATCGACTGTGTTTGATGGGCTCACAGGCTTTAATAGTCAGTGGAATGTGGTCCAGACGATCGAGGGCGTCGTAGGCATCATTGCTGTCTTCATTTCTGATGGGGCTATGGTACGAGGAATCATATCGTTTCCAAGGAAACCAGGCCTATAATTACTTCTGCACAGATTTGGCGCTGCTGGGTCATCTGGGGTGGACGCTGGTTTATAGTATTCATCCCCATCTTACTCCTCATCACTGAGACCGGTACGCCTAATATACCTGCAATGTCGACAGCACCACTGACGTTTCGAGTTCTCAGTAATCAAAGCGGTCCAGGTGTACCACCTCCTTCACGATGTCCTGAATGGAGACGAGCTGTCCAAGTACGGTAGCAACGAATGGACGACGATGTACCTGTCTCTCGTCCTGGCCACTACTCTGATGTGCACTTTGCTCATCGTCTTCCGGATTCTGATGGTGGGAGGAGTTAAAGCAGGCTTGCGAACCTATCGGGGCGTCGTTGAAGTGATTGTGGAGTCAGCCGCGTTGTACTCTGTTGCTCTCATCATTTATATCTCCTTTATCGCGCGTGACGACCTGCGCAGCGCCTATGCCGATATCATCACTGCTTCTATCAAAGTAAGTCGAGTCTTTCTGATTCACTTGGGAAACAAACTAATGAACTGGGTGCGTAGGGTATCGCACCTACTCTTCTTGTCGGACGCGTCGCCGCAGGGCACGCTCGTCCGAACGACACCTGGAAAGAAAGCCGTTTGTCCTCGCTTCACTTTGGACATGGTGCTCGTACCCAGATGAGTACTATTGGTGGCATCAGTGTTACACGGAGCGTGGTGCTCCCGGATGAAGAGAGCAATTCTGGCAATGATTGCTTGACGAAAAAGGTTCTCGAACCAGAAGCGAAAGCAGAGAATGTATGAGACCCGGTCCGGTCGTTTGTTTTTCGGTTCCGACATCAGTTCGACTATGTATAATTTATGTAATGATATAGATTCTAATACGCATACTTACGCGATGAACACAGCTGAATGAGGGGATGAGGGGCACGAAGAACGCGTTGACCAGAAAAAGACCCAATGGAACAGAAAAGAAATAAAATAATGAAATTACAATCCCAAGTCTAACTGTTCATATCACTAACACACTCCCAGACGCCCTTCAAGTTCTCCTTCCAAAGTGTGACCTTACCATCACCACAGCTCACAGCCAAGAGGTTTCCTGCCAAACTCCACGACACGCGCCAAACAACGTCAGGGAACTTCCCAGCTGGAGCCGTGGGCGTGGTCGTCGAGGTCGAAGGGTCAAGGGCAGTCTTTACCCAAGGCGCTGTTGGCGAATCCTTCGTCCATATCAGCACTGTCCTATCCTGAGAGGCGGAAGCAATGTAGCTCCTGGGAAGACCGATATTTGGTGCCCATGCAACGTCCCGGACCCAATCGGTGTGTCCCTCGAGGGTTTCCTCCTCAACCCAGGTCTTGCTATCTTCGCGATATCCCCAGATTTTGACGAGGTTATCGCAGCCGGCGCTGGCGAAGCGTTTGACGGACTGGTGGAGGTGCGCGCTTGGTTGACCGGGCATTGATTGTGGTTGAGGAGTGATGAGAGAACCAGGCTGAGCGGCTGGGGCCCAGGAAACGGCGTTACAGCCAATGGCATGGCTATCGAATCTGTCAGCATCACATATACCGTCGTCTACAGTGATAATGAGCATGGAATTCTGTTTTCTTGGTGAATGACCGTACTTTTGAATGCCAGGACAGATATCGTTCCGTCAGACGAGGCACAGGCCAGGATCGCTCCAAGCTCATGAGGTGCCCAAGAAACCGAGTTTACTAAGAGCAAATGTGAAACAAGAATCTGAAGTAGTCAAGAAATAACGTACCAGATGCAGTGTGCAGAGTATGCTCTGCGATTTTCGTCCAACCGCCAGCAGCCTGTCCTGGTTGTTCCTTCCACACGAACACCTTTCCGTCATACGAACACGACGCCAGAACGCTGCCAAACTTTGGGTGAGCCCACGCGACTTGCCAAACGGGTCCGGTGTGTCTACAAAGTCTCCATCAGCCACTTATACCCTAAAGCTGTAACCGTACACACCCTCTCAGTGTATGCCCCGTTCGTTGAGCCTCGCCATTGACAACATCGAAAACTTTGACCATGCGATCCGAGGAGCATGTAGCTAGACGTTTGCCGTAGTAGTCCAACTGGGCATCGTGCTATTCGCGGTGAACATTGAGCCGTTAATTCTTTCAGCATTTCGCGGTCGACACCCACAATCATGTCCTCATGGGCCGTCTCTATTGGAACCGGGTCCGTTACTGTTGTGGGTGGCTGGGATGCATTAACGACGCGGCTGCGAGTAAGGAAGGAAAGCTCTCACCATGGTGGTAGATGAATAGACGTGTCCTAGGAAAGCGTTACAAAAGCAACCGTGACCATCGTGACATCTACTTATGTAATAATCCAAAAATGGATGGTTCGGGTCCAGACTTCCAGATTCAGCTCTTCCCCGGATCGCGCCTAAAATTTTGCACCTTCATTGCCGACTACGACAGTGACGACGGCGACGACGATTTTCGGCGGTGTCAGTTCGCTCTTACGATGTTGCTGAGCAGGTGGCTGGGACGACCATGCTCATACCGGTCCTCTCGGCTTGCGACCGTGTTTTCTTCGACTGTCACGAACCGGTGGGCATCGACGGCCACGGCGCTGAAGGAGGATGTTGCTGAGGAGCCTGCTGAGCCAGAACCGCCCAGGCATGTTCTCACTGAGCAGGACATGAAACGGCTTAGGTTTCAGCGAAATATTGGGGTATCGGCGCACATTGACTCGGGAAAGACTACATTGACGGAACGGATTCTGTTTTATACTGGGCGTATTGGGGATATTCATGAGGTGCGTTACCTCATTTATTGACTCTCTGGTAATGATTCGATGATTCTTTAGGTTCGAGGACGCGACAACGTTGGGGCCAAGATGGACAGTATGGACTTGGAGCGAGAAAAGGGTATTACTATTCAAAGTGCTGCCACATTCTGCGACTGGGAAACTACGAATCCTTTCAGTAACGAAAAGGAAAAGTATGCTGTAAACATCATCGATACTCCAGGTCAGTCCCAGCCTTGGGTATCCTCGCAAATAATTACTTACTTCGTTCATAGGGCATGTGGATTTCACTATTGAAGTAGAGCGCGCTCTCCGGGTCCTCGATGGTGCCATCTTGGTTCTATGTGCTGTCGCCGGTGTCCAGGTGCGTTTGGAAGTCATTGCAATGTCTCTACCGTCGACCAACACACTTTCTGTTAGAGTCAAACCACAACAGTAGATCGGCAAATGCGACGGTACAACGTCCCCCGGATATCTTTCATCAACAAGATGGACCGGCCTGGTGCTAACCCATGGAGGATTGTGAACCAGATCAGGACAAAACTTCGGATGCCAGCTGCAGCGGTGCAGATTCCTATATGCGTCGAAGACGAATTCAAGGGTGTCGTGGATTTAGTCAACTGGAGGTCTATATATAACGACGGCTACAAAGGGTGTGTGTCCTAGATTTTTCTCCTCTGCTCGCGTTTATGCTCGTGCAGAATTGAAGTCATCGTCAAAGACGAAATCCCAGCAAACCTGCTAGACCTCGCCAAGGAAAAACGAGCAGAACTTATCGAGCAACTGGCCGAAGTCGACGAGGAGATTGGTGACCTTCTACTCATCGACGAGGAACCCACCAACCAGCAGCTGAACGACGCCATCCGTCGCGCGACACTCGGACTCAAGTTCTCACCCGTCTTCCTCGGCTCAGCTATTAAGAACACCGCCGTCCAGCCCCTTCTCGACGGAGTCTGCGCGTACCTTCCCAACCCCTCAGAAGCAGAAGTCGTCGCGCACGACACCACCAAGCCCGTATCGGCACCACCCGTTCCCCTCTACCCAGCCGCTGACGCGCCCCTCGTCGGTCTCGCGTTCAAGCTGGAGGAAGGCAGGTTTGGCCAGCTCACGTACATGCGAGTGTACCAGGGAACTTTGAAGAAGTCCAATATTATCTTCAACGCGCGGACTGGCAAGAAAGTCAAGGTCCCTCGACTGGTGCGTATGCACAGTAATGAGATGGAGGACATCGAGTCCATTGGTCCTGGCGAGATTTGTGCCATTTTCGGTGTCGAGTGTTCTTCTGGCGATACGTTCACGGACGGCTCCACTAGCTTCTCTATGGTATGCCATCCACTTCCCCGCTAGTCTGTTTCTTATTCCCCTTGATAGACTTCAATGTTCGTTCCAGAACCCGTCATATCCCTCGCTCTCAAACTCAACGGCAAGGAAACGCCCAATTTTGCTCGTGCGCTGAACCGCTTCAAGAAGGAAGATCCAACATTCCGCGTGCACTTGGATCAAGAGAGCAAAGAGGCTTGTATATCTCCCTATCTTGGCAAGAAACCAGTTACTTATGCTTTTCTCTCTTACAGACCATCATCTCCGGCATGGGAGAACTCCATCTTGAGATCTACGTCGAGCGAATGCGACGGGAGTACAACGTCGACTGCACCACCGGGAAGCCTCAAGTCGCATTCCGGGAGACCATCACGAAACGGTCGTACTTCAACTTCACGCACAAGAAGCAAACCGGTGGTTCCGGACAGTTCGCCCGAGTCATAGGCTTCATCGAACCCATGGAACCGGACCCAGAGACGGGCGTCGACGTTGAATTCGTGAACGAAGTCATGGGTGGAAACATCCCCACCAACTTTATTCCTGGTGTCGAAAGGGTGAGCAGGGTCTCTCATTCTCTACCGCTTCTCTTGTTCATGCTCTCTTTCCTTGATAGGGTTTCCACGTCGCGCTGGAGAAGGGCACACTGTCTGGTAACCCTATCTCTGGTGTCCGGATGGTCCTGCAGGATGGTGCTTTCCACGCTGTCGATTCCTCAGAGCTGGCTTTCAGACTGGCTACTGTCGGAGCCTTCAGGGAGGCGTACGGTCCTGCGAAACCCGTCGTCCTCGAGCCTATTATGAACGTCGAGGTGATCTCTCCAGCCGAATTCCAAAGTGATGCCTTCCTACTCTCTCTTTGTCCGCTTGTTCATATCTTATGAATAGGTACGGTCATCGGTGGCATCAACACTCGTCGTGGGACTATCGTCGATAGTGAGGTTCGGGACGACGAGTTCTCGTGTTCGGCAGAGGTTGCTCTGAACGATATGTTCGGATATTCGAACCAGTTGCGTGGTACGACGCAGGGTAAGGGTGAGTTCAGTATGGAGTACAAGGTATGTTTATTCCAAGCCTTTTTGGAGTTCGATGTCGTTGATTGGTATCTTCAGAACCATATGCCTGTGCTCGCACCACTGCAAAAACAGCTAGAGGAGGAGTACAAGAAGTCGATACCTTCCGCCAAAAAGTAGATGCTTGAGTTTATTAGAGTACTAACGGTGTTTTAACTAGCATAATTTATATAGTACGCGGATCCCCCTCTCAGTGTTTTTTCAAAGGTTTATTGGGCGCTTGACTGATCAGATACAAACAGGTTCTGGATGCAAGAATCAGAAGAGTCAGCCGAACATAGCGCAACTTTGCAGACACTGTCAAGAGAAACTAATATACAAGTAAATCGGCATTTATATTGTACCGAGTTCCGAGGATAACAACGGTATGCTCCTCAGTCTCCAATGTGTTCACATGCTAAAGAAGAAAGACAGAACGCCGCTTAGCGACTCCCAGATCCATCAACGCCTGGATTTCGTTTCTGTTGACCATTTCGAACACGGACACTTTCTCGAACATGGGCATGAGATAATCATCCAGCAGACCCTTTCCCACCACCCAATACCCGGATACCATATGTGCGCAGACCAGCGTATACGTACCTTCGGGTATTGGTTGCTGATGTGGGGCGACGACATTGAAGCTATGATATCTCTCGTCCTGGACAACGAATCGCCCATGTCGAACAAACCCTTTCGCATCTCCGACAGCCAAACATTGTACAAGCACGTTCTCAATGCAGAATAACACATGGCAGTCGACAATCTCCTTTTCATCTCTACCTCCACGAAAAACATCCTTCGATAGAGGGTGCTCATCCCAAGTAACCCCCGCAAGGGAACCGTGTACTCGCACAGGCCTCTCCATGACCTGCTTCCATGAGGGTCTCCATTTTTTGCCAGCGTCCCCCGATTCAGGATACAGGAGGAACAGCTGCGCTCGATACTTGGCATTCATTGTATCCACAAGTGCTGCCCAGGCATCCTCGAGAGACCCGAGCTCATAATAAGCTGGTATCCTCGTAGACTGCAGGGGATATACCAGTCCAGCGATTTTGTCCACAGGGTTGCTTGATACCCGGCTCTGCATATCCGCAAGGATGTCAAAGACATGTCTTTCACCCCACATCATGTCCTTGGAGGACTCGAGCTGCTTTTGAGCCCGAACCAGTATCTTCCTATCTTGTTCTGCCGGCTCAGCGTGCAGCGATGAATCAGGTGTATCCCCGGCAATGATCAGCGTCTTTCCAACACCCTGTAATGTCCAAGCACGCCTAAACCAGTTCCGTTCACTATCCATATCACCCTCTTTCAAAATCCAAGGCCGGCCCAGTCCACTGAAGTAGCACACCACATCCGTAGCCATGCGATAGACGTGTCCAATGGTGGGCATATCCAGTTTCCACTCCTCCGCACGGAGATCCTCCCTTCGCCCGTCTTCCTGTCTTAAACAGAGAACGTCGAGCCAAACGTACTCTGCTCCCAGATTGAGCAACTCAAGGCGGATGAGATCCAGATTAGTGTCTTTCGGAATGGACACGGGCCATTCGTGTCCGTTGATGGACGTCCACACTTTGTCGCGGTCCCCCTCATTCAGCCATGCATGCGAGATCCCCCATAGCCATCGTTCCATGATCCAGTATGGCAGCACGCGATTACTATAGATATCCCAAACGCGTCGAGGCGGCATTTTCGGATTCATGATCGTATTGCCCACGAATGCATCTTGTCGCATCTTCGTGTCCTCAACCTCATGCGTGTGTAGTATTTCTAAGAAGTGGCTCCAATCATTGTTATACCACCTCCGGCGGAGACGGCCGTATGCGGTGCCAAAATCATACTCGTTCGAGATGCAGCTCTCGAGAACGGTGGACAAACATGGCTGGTCCGAGGTTGTGTACGATGTTTGGAGGATGTCATTGAGTCGATCTAAGACACCCTGGGTACCGAGGTCAGCGCAGGGAGTGTTAGCAACGGAGGACGGTATGGCGAGCACGTTTGGACCGGTGTACGACCGTTGAGCTGGAACGACAATGGACGACTCTGCTTTTCCGGTCTCGGTGAAGGCGGATATGGTGATTTTCTTTTCCTCGCAACGTTTCTATGTCGCCCCAAAGAGTTATTTACTGACCCTCTGTGTTTTTTGACTTACCGGTAATAGATCATCTTCTGGGTCTGAATCGCTAGGCACCATAGCCTGAGCACGACTTATCCTAGATATATTTTATATGAATGTCAATCAAGACAGCGCAATTTTTGAGTACCTTCGAAAATACTCCATTCAGAACTGTTGGTCGGGATGTGAGTACTATTAGGGGTACGGCTACGATTTTAGAACTCCGATGGGAAACCGGGCCGCCATTCCGTCAACCCCTACAAGAACGAGCACGTGCCTTTACGCGTCACGCAACACCCGGACTTGATTTCTTTCCCGTCTTCCTAAGTTCAGATATCGAGGAAGTTGTCATCCAACCTCTCCTTGACTCACGTGAATCATCCCAATCCCTCCGGAGCAGAAGCTGCCTCGACGCTACCACACCTGTATCCGGGGTACCACCCCCCCCCGAACTTGAACCATTCCCTTTTGCCCAGAGGGTGTCAATCCCTTGATTAATTGCATTGCTTACAGATTCTAGCGCTATGACTTAAAAACCGAAGCAACCGCCCTCGTCATCGCCCAATTCAACACCAATTTCCTCTCCATTCTCATCCTTCCTCGCGCGCACTGCCCAAAAGCCAAAAACACTGTCGGCGCTACAAGCATGGCCATCAAATTTTGTCTTGCCGTAGCTCAAGCTGACGTCAAAATACCCCTCGAATAGCTCAACGATTGAACCATCGCCCTTGGTCTGCATCCAGCACCGATGCATGAGGAATTTTCCCGAACAACAGCTAGCGCTAGGGTTTCTCCTTGCCAATTTCAAGTCAGCCATGAGACCTGGAGCGTTGATGCGGACAGCATCATCATCGCTCTCGGGGAAGAAATTGAGCTCCATATCCGTGTATCCGATGGTATCCACCGCTCGGATGTACTTCAAGAGCAGGGGAAACGGGGGTATATCCATGTCCTCGATGCAAAACGCTGGGTCCTTCGCGGCACCATCCTCGGCGAAATAAGGTGCCTTGGGAATCGCGACCTGAGCACTGAACTCGGACTTCTCCTGGTGCTCCAAGATAGCAATGTAGATTGCCTCGTAATCCGTCTCTCCATGTGCGAAACGACAAAGATAGTCGAGGGACATGTTGTACAAGTCGAACTTGCCGCCAAAGTCGGGCTTTTCATCGACAGCCTAAGGATGGGACGTTAAACGCGCGCGCCTCGGTGAAGGAACAACCAAAACGAACCTTGGTAGCCTGAGCTGTCGTTGTCTGATCATAAAACAAGTCTGTTCTGAGTCATGTATTCGTCTCCGGGAAAGAAATTTACCTTTGTATCGGTCTTGACGCGTTTTGCCGGAGCCTCGGGTTCCGACACCTCAGATGACGCGTCAGATTCGACGTCTGAGCTCCGGCTGCGCTTTGCAGGGACTTTCTTTGGCGCCGGTGCACTTTTAGCCTTGGTTGCCGCAATTTTTTTCTTTGTTGCCGCTTTTCTCTAACAGTTGGGTAAGTAGACGCTGGACATGAAATAGTAAGATCCATACAGGTGGCATGATGGTCGTCCGTTATTAGGCTACGATGAAGCGAACCGAGTGTGAGTGTGCGGGGGGTCAAAGGGGAGTAGCAGAATGTGGTTGTATCTGGGATCCAGCTGGTTAAAAAGCGCGACTTTTTCGCTTCGGCAGGGCACGAGAGGCTTCCACGGCCTCGTGCCTGTCACGGTTACCACAACTTTGTTGAAGACGCCGTGAACAAAGGTTTCGCAGGGGTAAGCCCTTTACTGTTTTCGGCCACCAGTCATAACTCATCATTAATCGAGTGATAACATATCTGCTGTCCTGACCGTCGACATCGGTAGAATCAGACGCCCCTTTTCAGGCTGAAAAGTATTCTTTCCAATTTTCATGGAACTGGACCAGAGCGCAACTGCAGTCGGCAAATGCCGATCGGCTTAGTTGCTTACGGCGATCTTGAAGACATTTCTCACGCAGTATTGGGCGCCTCTATTGCATCCTCCACTGCTCCCAGGTTCCCCCCTTACAACAGCTTTTCTCGAAAGTATAGGCAATGCGAACAATTCAACGTTCGGGTTGTATCATTTCAAGATCACTGGGTCCTACTATATTGAATCGGCTTCTCTGATGAACGAATTCAAGGTACATTATCCAACAGTGACTGATGAATGCGGCATCTGCGGCTTCCCCCATGGTGAAAAGGAGAACTTGACGGGCTGTGCAGATAGTTCGGCCAGAACAGTGATCCTTGATCACATCTCAGATACGAGACGACATCAATCTACTGGATGAGCAGATTGCTAACAAGGCGCTCGTACACTTCAAGTCTTGCGCCAATTCAGTGTCTTATTCCAGCGACCTCTTGAAGATGTCTTTGACGCATCCTGTTGATACTCTCCGCATAGACAAAGCCATTCAGGTGTTGACCCATCTATGTACTTGGCAATCTATGCTGTCGTATTCCTCTCAAACACTCTGGTCGACAGTTCGTACAGGGTTTTCTTGCAAATATTCTAACCGTGATATTTATGCTCCGCCAGTCTTTTCTCCTCTCCGGCGACAACCCACTGGACGTTGTCCCTCAATATGTCGGGAGCCACGGATTCCCTCCCATCTCCGATGTTAGATATGCTTCTTATTGCCCATTCTCGTTGAGAAATCTTACAATGTGGGTTTCTCGTGCAGCGATCAGTAAACTAAGCTCCATTCCTATGCCGTTGCCCGATCTTAAAGAGCTACGAGTGTCAGCGGATTCTTTTCTCGCTCACAGAACCTGACCCGGATGCGCTTGGGTCGATTGTCGTATCAAGCGTCATTGTAATATCTCCTCAGTTGACCCTCTGGAAATGGCATTCCGTAATCAGAAGGTGATGGTCCATCTTGACCTTTGCTATAATCCACATAACTCTATTCACTTCAATAATACCTTACAGGCGAGGTGGGAGCAAAGACACCTGAACAAACTAACGGTCCTCCTAGATTCTTTTTTCGCCGCACTTCCCGTCGATATATATATATACGAAGAAATACCTCCCTGCTCCGCGGGGTAGCATCTCCATCTCGGTGACACGCACTGGCTTCGCAGAAGGACTTGATATTGCTCGGTGACCTTGAAGAATAACACGGGCTAGTTTGTCACTGGCTAAATCTAGAGGTTAAGAGAAAGAACCCGACCTGCCCATACAGTACCGTGGATAAATCAAGTCCAGACTTGAAACTAAATCTTAAACGGTTCGAAGTACTATGAGGTGCCGGTACACCGCAAGGTTAACGACCCCTTTTTGGACCTCTGGTGCGTTCCTTCGGCAATGGGATTAACTAAGACTGCAGAAAACACATCCGGTACTATCCTGACAGCCATAGTAATACCGTAGGCGACAACATTTGTGGGGAATAAGGCTCCAGTAAACATCGGACATTGGCGGTCACTAGACGTACGTTCATCACATTTATCGAGTTTAGCTAAGACATTCTGTAGCTCCAAAGTAGCCTCAACAAAGAAGTGTAGTTCGAAGACATGTAGTGAATTGACTGCACTACTAGATGCTAATAGGCCCGTTTCAGGTTGTATAAACGCGGTGTATCTTACGAGTATCTTTCTCAATGAGGGCACGTCAACGATGAAAACAGCTAAGATTACGTTGCAAACAGAGGCGTCCGTTCGTTTCTGCATTAATTTTTGAGCTCGGTGTTTGGTGTGACTGAATTCCAGTCGAGCTCTTCCGACGCATCCCTCCTCTGCTCGCTGGAGCCACCGCATGGACTGTTATACGATGTTAGTCTGTTACTACGATACCGTCAACAAAACATGAGTAAAAGTAGATCGGGATACTCTATCGCAGAAGCCCCCTAGCCCACAGTCCATATGATTGGGTGTCCGTCGACCGCTGATATACTTACACTGAAACGAATTCGTTCGGCGCGGCATTCTAAAAAAAGACGGTAATACCGACTTTTTTGCCGCTCGTTTTCGACCCATCCACCTTCAATAAACTTTCAAACCGTACACCATCGAGGGCACACGACTAAGTTAAAAGTTTATAGGTATTCGTCAAGCTTGACTTGAGCACCAATGTGATTAGAAACCTAGAATCAGGCTTCCTGGCCCTCATGACCGTGCCACTGAATAGAAAGAAACGTCGTTTGGACTACAGCGGATTCTGTTGCGACGATTGTCAGTCCGCCTTGCCTCCAAATGTACTCATGAACGAGTCCAGACAGTAATGATCAGGCGGACATTGGTCCGAGCCCGCATCCGACAAACGGCTAAGTTATGCATCAGAGCTTCGGAAGGCTATTTATGATGGTATAAAACGAAGAACAAGCCGTGAGCCTGCCGTTCAAGCTTCCGAAAGGAGGCTGCCGTCCCAATACGCTGTAGTAGCGTTGCAGCGGGTACTATTGGAAAGCTTCTTGCTGAGCAACGAAAGCTACGCAAGAGGTTCGTTGAAGATGTTGCCATCTTGGCTACTTTGTGTGCAGTGGGCACTAATGAAATATCTGCAGCATTCGTTGTCGAGTTCTTATGGTAGTTGCTTAAAAATGATTCGTATTGTTTTTCGCGTTGTAACGGCTGCCGGGCCGAATTCCCGCTCAACACCGAACAACCATCGTCTTGATTTCGGGCAAATTTGGTGAATGCTTTCTGTGAAATTTACCTCTGAAATCAAAGTTCATCACAACATGAACCAAAATATATGGTCTCCTTCCAGTTCGCGATGCAGAAGCACCGCCGCAGAATATCAAGTTGGCTAGCTTTCGGCGGCGACTTTTTGGCAGCACTAGGTGAGTGTCAACATCTTTTCTTGCTCTTTAAATCTCAATACATATGAACTATTTCTAGGAGGATTTCAATTAAGTTCAGTCCTTGTGCTATCTTGCTCTCCCTTCTTCTTTGGGTAGAGTATTAGGTGACTATTTGTGCAAGGACACTGCGACGTTCAGGACTTATTTCGTCAAAACATTCGAGAGATACGTAACTTCTCGTATGAACCCCGAGTTCGACAGAAATAAGACGTCTCAATGGTGTGCTATTTCGCCTGATGAACGCTCCCGGAAGCGACCAGAACTGTGAAATTATCACGGGGACGACAACTGGACGCAAGTGACTTATCCATTGCGGTGGAGTATAAAATGAAGGTCAAGTGCGAATTCATTCAGCAGCTCGACATGGCTTCAACTACCAATACTACCTTGGTAGAATCCATAGTACCTGAAGTGATCGACGGTGACAAGCAGAAAAAGTCTTTCCTTCAGCGTCTGTCGCCCTCGACATTCTCTGCAGAGAGACGTCTCTTGTTAAAGATTGACGCCTCAGTCCTCATATTTGCTTCGGTCCGTCGTTTTCTCTATGCTTGCAGAGGATTCTGACGTTCCCGAAGCTGGGATATTTCATCAAAAATTTGGATCAGGTAAGTATAGCCTGTCCTTTCAGGAGACTGTTCTCTCATTACCTCTTCATGCAGAGCAACATTTCCAGCGCAGTGAGCTACGGGCTTCGCTTGGGGATCTCCTATCAATACTGAGTTTTGAACATTCACGCAGTACTTTGCTGGAATGCGTGAAGACTTGTAAGTCGACAGTCTCCTTTGGTAGCTTCGTCTTGCATAATGTAATTCAGATCCATGTACGGCAATCAACTTGTCCATATATCCTCCTGCTGGGCTGCCGGGTAGGTACAATTCAAACTAGCCGTATAATTTAACTGATTCGGTCGGCGTTGGCAGATATGTTATCGGACAAATCCCGTCAAACTTACTTCTCACAAGGGTCTCTCCTCGCTATGTTATCCCTGTCGTTAGTCTTCCTTCTCTGATACACTAGGATATCTATAAAGCTTCTGATCAGCTCGAGCTCGCATGGGGACTAGCTACCTTAGGAACTTTTGCAGTGAAGAACGTGAACCAGCTCTTTGCCATCAGATTTTTGGGTTCGTTATAATCAACTCTTTCCTGTGCTCGCTCTCACATTGATGACAGTCGGTCTATTTGAGAGCGGATTCTATCCCGGGTTTGTTTGTTGTTAATTCGAATGTGCTGCCGCTAATCTCTCTTTTAGCATGCACTTCATCCTCGGCTCATGGTAGGTTTTTCATATGTATCGAGGATATAAGAGTTCTGACTTGTGATTGCCTTAGGTATACTCCCCGTGAACTTGCCAAGCGATCGGTTGCTTTTGGCATTGCCGGTACCTTTGGATCGGTGTCTTCAAGCTTTCTGCAAACTGCTACCTACAAGACTTTCAACGGAGTGCATGGACTAGCTGGCTGGCGGTAAGCTGTCAGATCAATTGCCTTTCTCTCTGTTCTGACGTGTTCGCAGATGGCTGATGATCGTAGATGCCGCTATGTACGTTTGTCTTTGCTGATGCAGGATATGAATGTATTGAAACGGGATGAAGCACGTTTCCTGTTGCGCTTCTCGGATTTTTTTGCCTTCCAGAGCTTCCTTACAATGCGAAACCTACCTTCATTCTTAATCAGGACGTAAGTCTCAATTTAAATCTAGGTTTGACCTGATTAAAATTTCTTATTCAATGATCCTAGGACATAACTTTGGCTTGTGACAGACTGAGAGCTATAGGTCGCAAGGAGACCGAGCCGTGGTCACGAGAGAAGGTTCGTCACTTTCCGTAACGTTCCGATAACCATAATTGACAAATAGATGGTAGTTACGACGCATATTTAGCTCCTGGTATATTTGGGTCTTACCCATTGAATATGTTCTATTGGTCAACGGCGGTGTGCAATCACCCATGCAATATTGGATGAAGAGCTTCAACACGACACCCCCGCCGGTTCCAGGTATGAGATTCAGCGTCACCCAAATTCAGCTACGTACGTTAGATTAAGTTTACACTTGATCGTTGCTTATCATCAACTGCTTACCCCCTCATCAAGTCCCACTTCCTGCAACCGCAATCGGGATCATCTGTGCCTTTACCCTTGCTTGCATAAGTGACGGCCCCTTCAAGGGTAGGCAGTTCTCTATTCCTTCCAACACCCCGGTGCCCTTCTGACCTTCTCAACAGGGCGCAGGTACCCGTTTATTTATTATAGCACTATAATACACCTCGCTTTGAACACCGTCTGGCTTTCCATGCCGTTGTATAAGAACATTCCCAGTCATTTCGCCTATTTCTATTTGACGGCAATCAGCGTATGTATTAAATACTCCTTTTGCGTGTCAGGAAATCTAACAAGAATAATTCAGGGACCTGCTGGATCACTCACTCTGAACTGGATCACCGAAATTACTCAGGGAGATGTAAGAGAATTTCAGAGCAGTGGATATTGTGTCACTCACTCCGTTTCAGACCGAACTCCGAGCACTCTGTGTAGCTCTTGGGAATGATCTCGCATACGTGGTTCAAGCAATTGTGCCCAATTTTGTCTGGAAAACCGTTGACTTTCCTCGGGCACGAAAGGGCTATCACTATTCTATCAGTATGTTCTAACGTCGTGACGATCATGCGTCGGATTCTAACACTTCGCTTCCTAGTTCTTCAGTTCATTCTGAGTAAGTTCGTGCGTTACCAATAGGAGCACTGGCGGACTTATTTTGTCTCCCCCACAAAGTCCTTTGGACGACTCTCATACTATTTCTTCTCCGACGGGACCAAAGGAAGCGTCGCCTGAAACAGAGTCTCGAAGCTGGCCGTGATGCCTTGGATTCTGATATTTCACTAACCAACTTAGCCTCTCGCAATGGCCAAGATCAAGCAATGCCCTGCAGGGCAAAAAAGAATCGTCATATTCAGAAGGCACGTTGAAGGGTTCTATTTTCTTTTACGTTTACGGTGGGTATAGTACATCGCAGGCTCTGCGACCGTACTAATGTTTCTTTACTTGTACATGTTGCATTTGTGTATATACAACGAATCAATCATCAGGTTTCGATGTCTCTCGTCTGGAATTGGATGAAGGATCGAAGAATGGCTTCTCAACCTCCCGGAAATTCCATGGCGCTCAAACTTTCTTCAGCCTTTCTTACCTCGAGTTGTGCTTCACATTTTCATTGAAAATGAACCCGTACATTTTGGACTCGGCAAAAGCCGGTTGGCACCTGCTTCAAACGCAATCAAGACTGTTGGGATTTGGCAATCCGGCATCATGCCGAAGTTGCTTATTAAGGTAGAAGTCTTAGGAAAAGCGTGGAAAGTTCTAGTAAAAGTACATTTAGTACAAAAGTAGGTACTTTAGTGTAGATCCTCATGCGTTTGCAGAGCTCACTGGCTGATGGGAGGGGACAGCCGTAGTTGTTCAAAAAAAGGGTAAGCAGTTGCTACCCTTCAACTATAGCTATAATCTCAACTTCTCTGACTGAAAGCCAGGCGCAATGTCCAACATGAAGAATGTCATCCGATGCAGCAGCTGTGGTTTTCTCAATGATGAAAAGAAGAACTTGACGGGTTGCGTGGATATACTACTCTTGCTGCGCCCGGGTCAGTCCAGTCGGGACGTTGATTCCTCGACCATTTCTCGGATACGAGACGATATCGATATGCTATAAGGCGACATTAATCTCCTCGACGAACAGATCGCTCGTCTTGAGCGTAAACGACAGAATGTCAGAAAGGCACTCGCACAACGCAAATCATTTCTTGCGCCAATCAGATATCTCTTTCCAGACATCCTCCTAAAGACCTTTTCGATGCTCCCTGTTTGTACCCTCCGCATCGACCATGCACCGTGGGTATTGACCCACGTTTGTATCTGGTGGCGCAACATGTTATATTCCTCTCCGACCCTCTGGTCGACGATTCGCGCATGGCGAGATCCGATGTCATTTTACAGACCCTGAGATAGAGATATGGTTCGCCAATCTCTTCTGCTCTCCCGTGACTGCCCACTGGACGTCGTCATTAATCACTCCGCAAACCACGAACTCGCAACGTCGATGTTCGAGATCCTTCTTACTTACTGTCCAATCTCGCTGGGAAAGCTTGTTCATATCGGTTCCTAGCAAATTGTTGAGTGACTCCCGTTTTGTTTCCATGCCTCTGCCCAACATTAGGGAGCTACGCTTGGACAATGCTTCTAGCGTCAGTACCCCCGTCAATATTTTCTCTTGCGCGCGCAACCTGACCCGGGTACACTTGGAACGCTTGTTGATATCAGACATTGCTTTACCACTTCATCAATTGACCCATCTACCGGCGAGATTCCGTACTCAGATGGAGTTAGTTTCTATTATCGAAAGCTGCAAGTCGCTAGGCTACCTCCATATGCTCTCCCCAACTTTGATCATCTTTCCTTCCCAGCAATGGAGACATTGTCCATCATAGACAGTGGCTATCATGGGCAACCTGTCAGTGATATTATCGCATTTAAGAATCTTATACAGCGCTCCAAATTACCAATCCATAATCTCAATCTCGAACTCTCCGCTGACAGGTCCTTGAAACATTTCGAGCTAAACGATCCCGCCTATTCCTCCATAACCTACCTCAAGATGACCCTTTCGATAGCATCTCACTTCTCAGATGCAAAACTGGTGGATCTCTCTGACCCTCATTTATTTCCACATCTTTCCCATCTGTCAGTTCTTCTATGCAACGTATCTGGGGGAACGGGCGCGTGGGACTTGCAAGCATCTCACTTTAATCAAACCGTACAAGCGAGGTGGGATCACGGACGTCTGAAAAAGCTGGAAATTTTCTTGGATATTTCTATCCCACCGGTACCAGCTTCGTCGATAGATGCACACGAAGAAATACCACTCTGCCCAGCAGAGTGGCATCTCCAACTCAGTCATATGCGCCGGCTTCATGTCGAAGGGCTTGATATTACAGTTTAGTGCAATCCGTATGATATTCATGCCCTCGCTGGTCAGCCAGAGACTGGCTGGAGGAAACTGCATGGTTGGCACGTGAACGAGCGAGCCACTGAAAGAGGAGAACCTGAGGCATGATCCATCCTCCCGGCACGTTTCTGTTGAGGAGCAACGTCGAGTAATAAGCTTCGAAGCTTTTCTTCGTCCTTCCAGCTTGCAATGATCCCGCTCGGCTATCTAAAGTATCGTATCTTGAATTTCTTGTGCGTAACAGTACAATGTGTGGTATCTAGTATCGAATACATGAACTGTCCGAAACGATTGTCTAACAAATCAAGTAAGATGCACTGATCGATTACGATTATGAATAAACGTTGATATTAAAAATGTCTGAGCTAAAACGCTCCCACTGCCAAATACCCAAGAGCAGCCAATGCCGCACCAAATGAGGACACCATGTCGGGCGACACCGGTGATGCGCCATTCGTTTTAGAAGATGACTGGCCAGCAGAGTTCGACCCTGAGGCTGAGGCTGACGTCGACACTGACCCGCTTTTGTTCGTGCCCCCGCTGCTAGTACTGGCACTGCTGCTGGTACTGCTGCTGCTGCTGGTGGTAGTGGTGCTGTTGCTGTCACTATTATCTGTAGTCGTTGTTTCGCCAGAAATGTCTAGAATGATCGTTAGTACACGAATGGCATCACTGAGAAGTAACTAACATTGTTCGAACGAAGGCATTGTAGAGTCGGTTTCGACATAGGGTTGAGTATTGTTCAGCGCGACGGCGACCGGCACAATGTACTGTGGTAAGGGGTAAAAATACGGCCAATAGAAGCCGTCGGGACAAACCTTAAACGCCGCCTTCAACTGAGGGTACCATTTCATTGCAGTGGCCATAGTATAATTATTGAGCTCATGCGTCAAGATGATGGCACCTTCCTGGAAATTACAATCAGTAAGGCGGCTCATACAAGGGGAAAACGGCCTTACAGTGCTAAAGACACCATTGTTAGCGTCGTCTATCAAACTCTGATAGTTCGCATCGACGGTCTCGGTAGTAACGTTGCCAGTCCCGGCTTTCCAGTCGTTCGAATCGTATTTCCAGAGAATAGTTTGAAGGCCGAGTGCATTGGCAATGGCTCGTATTCTGTCGTCAACGTCACCGAAAGGTGGCTGCCATGCTGAGGATCAGAATACGTTAGACAATGGAGTAGGAAACGTCGTACCCGCCAGCATTTAGGTGTTAGGCCAGTGACAAGCTTGATGGCTTCCATCTTTAACAATATTAGATTGAGCTTCCTTCTCGGAGTCCAAAAAACGTACAGCTATAAGAAAGTGTGAGCGTTACTCGTAAGAGTCAGAACGAGACTACTTGCAGTAATAGAGCTCGGCGAACGCGTCTGGACTTTCGAGTGCGGTCACTTCAACGCATGATTACCACTGAGTTGCAACAAGACCTCAAGATGGACGTACTGTATCGATGCGACCAGGTATCTGCGATGGATCAGTAAAGGCACAAAGCTCAAACAATAAAGACTACTTACGAACGCAGACTTCATGTCCATCCGCGATCGCTCTTTGCGCCTCCAATGGCCAATCCATAACGTTGCTTCCGATATAGAACATAGCTGTTAAAAAGGTGAGAGACGAGCACTCCATAGATGATAATCGCACGGACTAGCTTTTTGATCCTGGTCCATCAGATAATCGTAAAACGCGTTGTGGGAACAGTTCGGGCCATCATCAAAACCGAACGCTAGCGTATCAGGCTGTGATTATCGAGTTAGTATAGTCAAGCCTTGAATAGCTGGCCTACATGCCTCTGGTAGTACGGCGATGTCCGGGGGTATTCCTTGAAGCTTGGGCTCGACGCATTGATGGTAGGTCCACCAACAATCGGGATCGTCCGCGGTATAAGTGACGTTGGAGAAGTTTCCGGAAGGAGTGCCCTGTTCGAGGTCAGCAGCGAACGGATGAAAGTATAATGAGCGCTCGCCTTGACTGAAATGTTTGGAATGCTACCAGAGATCGACTGCCATTTGGCTTGTGCGACCGTATCGCCAGATAGTATTGACGCTGGCTGCCATATTGGAGGAAACGAGCTGATATGTGACGCTGAAGGCTCGTAATAATATGCGGTACATTCTTCTGCCATATCTGAGGGTGGAGATGACTTCAATTTTCATTTAGACGCCAGAAAAAATGCATACTGACCAGTAATCGCAGCCTCCCCCTCTTCAGTGCTACGGTCAGCCGCACGCGAGCCCTGCAAGAGAACGCCCAGCGAAAAAATCATGAAAAATAAAAGGGAAATGAGCGACATTATAGGGAACGGAAAAGGGCGTGGTGAAGGGGGGAGGGAAAGAAACGAGGGACCCAGGAGCGCTGATTTTGGTTTAGGCCTGCTCAAACGTCCGTTACATAATAGGGGTCCAAAAATAGATACAACGGTTATCACTTTAAATGCGGAAGGAACTAACCGAGAAGCCCGGAAAACCACATTTTGCTCCATATATCAAGCACATCGCTGGTAACAACACTGCGTTCGAACGGTCCCGGCTGAGCAAAGAGCTGTATTTTATACAGCATCGGTACGATATGATTTCGGCGCTTTTGTGCGGAATGTTTCAACTTGGGGCCAGGCATGCCAAGCATGCAGCACGGACATTTGACACCGACAGTCAGGGGAGCCTTTCAGTAGTATAGGGTTGGTACAGATCTAACTTGATGAAAAGTTATCAATATGATAGATATCATTATCGAAAGATATTCAAGCTCACATTATATTCTCAGCAATTTTTTTTGCTTCTTTGACACTGATCATCGCGCTTATCTCTTCGGTCGCTGCTCATTAATATTCGTTGTATTAACTTCTACGTATTTATTACCTATGCCCGCGGATTTTAGGTAAGATTGTCGAGTAGGAGGACTACTCACAGAGGTATAGCACCGTTATTTACCTTCACCATCCCCGCGATTTCAATGTTGACTCACAAGCGAAGCCGCCTTGGTCGTACGAGGCGCGAGACTGAACTTTATGGGCTTCAAATGACTACATCCAATATATGAGAAAAAACAGAAAAATCGCAAATAAGTATACGCACTTGACAAGCCCATTGGAGAATTCCACCGCGGGAGTAATCTCCTCCCCATCCTCGCCTTTTGCTTTCGAAATTTTGCAAGTCGCCAGAATATAAGCAATCGCGATCCACATGCCGTTCTCGGCTAAAAACCGACCAGGGCAAATCCTACCGAAAAACAGATTAACAGATTAACGGACTGCATGAAGAGGCGAGCCGAGGAATAACCTTCTCCCAAACCCAAATGCCGTAAGATATGGTTCTCCATTTCCTCCCGGTTGCGGGAGATAACGATCAGGATTGAATGCTGTAGCTTGATGGTAGATGTTCTCGTCAAGTCCCATTCCCCTTCAAGAAATCAGTGATGAAAAAACACGGTCAGATCAAAGGATCACGGGCATACCGAACATTGGGAAAAACAATAGATCCCTTTGGGATGAACATGCCGCGATAAACATCGTCTTCTAGCGAGCGATGGGGAAATCCCATCGGAAGGACAGGATTCCATCTGAAATATTTCAGCGGCAAAGCAAAGCTCACGAAAAGATGTAGTACCGCATGGTCTCTTGCAGGATATGATCGATGTAAGGAAGCGAAGCCCGATCTTCAAAAGTCGGGAGTCGGTCCGGCCCGACGACGGCATCGATCTGCGCTTGCGCCTTTTCCTGGAATTCGGGATGTAGTACCATAGCGACCAAGAAGACGAGAAGTGTTGTCCACGACTAAAATAACAGGCTCGAATCATGTCGTCACAACACAGCAGAGAACACTTACGGTATCCGCACCGGCAGTGTATATCTGCGCAGCCGCACCCTTAACATCCTCTAAGTAGTCTTCTTCGTCCTCTGCAGAGCCCAAGTCGTTCAGATACGACGCAGTGAAAGACGGGCTTGCCGTCCCTTCCGCGACTTGTTTCCTCACAATGTCAAAAGGATAGTTAACAGACTTCTCAATGGTCGGCCTCTTCTTCCGTGCATATCCAGCATAGTACGCCCCAGGAAACCAGGAGGGAAAATTCGACACTAAATACCAGTCAGCTCAGGACTCTTGTCGCAAATGTACACACTCACACCAAGGGAAAAACTCAACAGGCGTACTCGCTGGCGGTCCCGAGTTGTTAATGGCCTCTGTCATTTCGACAATCAATTTCATCAACGGATCGTCTTCATTCGATATGTGGTAACCGTAAGCGATTTTCATTATAACTACAGCGGCAAATCTGAGAACACATCAACAATCAATATTATCATGAACATATCACACCACCGCGCACCTGCCGACAATCGCATCATAGTCATCAGGCTTCTCCATGAGCTCTTTCACCAAAACAGCAGCCTCCTGGTGTTGCAAAGGCAAATACTCTCTGCATTCCTGCCGTCCAAAGTGCGTTTGAAACAATTTTCGGTGGCGGTGGAACCGTTTCCCGTACGGCAGCAGCGACAGGACCCGATCCCAGCCCATTCTACCGGTAACAATGACTGAACGCGGCGTCCGAACATGGGCTGTGTTACTCACAGGTGGAATATAACGAGGTTAGGCCGACAGCTGTAAATCACACTCCTCTTATCAAGCAGGTCGTTTGCCGCCTCTACACTGTCGAGGACGATCATCTTGCGGCCCAAGACTTCCAGATACATCACGTCGCCTAGTTAAAACCCATCAGTCCGTGCCTAAGCGAGAGAGGTTCGCAGACATACCATACGTCTTTGCCCATTCGTGAAACGTTTCTGGCTGACCCACAGGAGGGAGAATCCGAAGGTGACCTATTATAGGATCCGCAGGTGGGCCCGGAGGGAGAGATTCCTGTCTCGCCAACCCGAGCCGCCGTCGAAACAACCACACGAAAATCAAGAGCGGTGTTGCGTAGAGGAGGAGGTTCAAATCTATGGGCATGGAGAGGAAAGGCAAGACGTGGAGTCCATCAGCGTCAGCCTACCCATATCAGAATGTCATAAGGATCATATGATGGATGCAATAGTAAAGAATCCTGATAAAGCATTAGGGTGCAATGTGCATTCCCGGACATAAACATAGTACGCCGTTACATGCTGCGGCGAACGCCTCCATCTGATAGGAAAAGAACTGAAGAACGTTCCAAGAGTACTATGAGCCAACACGGGGACATACTGTCCTTCAACCACGATGAAAACGAGATAAGACGAGGGCAGTAGCAGCATTTGCCAGCGCCATTGCTCCTGGTGACTGCGGGTTTGTTTAATCACTGTTTGAAAAGCGAGTCAGTATTTTGCTGTAACGTAAAAAACCCGACTTGCTTGATGAGAAGCATGTGCTTCGATACTGCACCCACGTTATTCCTTGATCTCAGTTTGTTACCCTGGGGGTGTTGCACTGGATCATAAATATCAGCCTATACAGTCAAAATACAAGTGGAGGACGAGGCGCACAATATCTTTTACTTTTATTTTTTGCGAATCATTCTGGCTTACAGCCGCACTGGTCTCCGAAGCCTGGTATCGAGCTAGTAACTAGTCACTAGAAGGTACGTCAGTCGAGAATTCCCTTGCTCCCACATAGATCATTACCGAGTCAGCCAGAAGCACACTCTAGCTCAAAAATGAGCTGGTCAGGTCAACGTTGCTGGTGGTAACGAGCGAAGGTAGACATCGGCACTCGGACCGAACATTTTCCTCTTCATTTCAAAGCAGTTCAAATGCCTTCTCTGTCAGGCAGCCAGATGAATAGATCGTTCGTGGTTCACCGCCTACAGCACGAAAGATATGGAAACCTCCCATAGCATCGCAATCGGCAATGGAAGGACAACCCTCTGAGAGGACGTTGATTGATTAATGGGCACTAATGAACAAGAATATCTCGACCGTCCATCGCCTTCCTGTCACGATTGACTTGTCAAGCCCAGTGAAAATTCCGTCGAGCCGGTTTGAGCTAAATCAAGCCGCAAAAATTACCATGTAGCGTGGTCGAGCCGGATCAAGTGGCATATACAAGAAAGCTTTGAGCTCCAAAGCTGCACCTCTTTCCACTCAGCACATCCAAGAATGCCAGAGTCGAATTTCTCTGAATCCAATGGTTAACCGAAATGCGCCGAACTTTGCGAGCGCAAACCACATTGGTCAAGTCGAGCCAATGGATCTGACCATGCACGTGCATGTCGTCCGGTGACGTATTTAACGCCTCTTTCCTTTTTACCACCATCTCCGTCGCCTTCCAGCCTATTCGCCATCTTCCCCGTCGCCCTACACCCGAATCCTATATTATTGCAGGTTGTAGCCTCCGCATGTGGCCTCTTACTGGCAAGCTGACGCGAAGCCCAGCGATACGATGCTACAGACTGAAACTACCACGAAAGGTGGATATATGCGCCTCGTTTAGACACCCTCAGCAGGAATACGCCTTCGGAAATTTCGTTTGGGTAGCAGGATATCTGGTTACCTCTCAGGTACGTCTCGCTGCACTCTTATATGTCGTTTTTCGACATTTAGAATGTCTCCAGTCGTTCTATGCTCTCTAGCCGCCACTTGGGTGTGGTCACAGTACGTTCTGTTCCATATATGCATATATTTCTTAGCTCACTAAATCTAGGTCGCACTTGTCATCACTCCAGCTAGCTTCCATTTCGTGAGTAGCCTTAAAATTGTCTTTCCCGTCATTATGTGCTGATTTAACATTATCCAAGGCTGTCTATTTCGGTACATCTATCTTGACACCATGAAACGCAATTGAGGCATCCATGCAGGACAGAGCCAGCTGTGGGCGCAGTAGGAAGGGTGCTGCAGACCAGTGCCGCTACTTAGCGTAGTAGCGATTCTCTGATTTTATGTATATTATTGCTATTTTCAAAAATGATGAGATTCTCGAAAAAGAAAAAAAGTTTTGACACGCCCAATGCCAGCCCGCGCCATCTGAGACAACCCATGACTATCGACGAAATAACCTATGACGTCGATCGTCATAGCCCTCTGAGTGCGGGCTCATAGGTCTTTTAGTGAGGCCCAAAACTTTTTAATTTTTTTTTCGGAATCTCATCATTTTTCAAAATAGCAATAATAGTATTAAATAAAAATGGTAATAAAATCGAGCCCTACGAAGCCTAATGGAAACCCATGACACCGACATACCAAGCTCGAAATGGCTCGATTTGAGCTGGTAAATGGTTCACATTTCGAAGCTACAGCGAGCGGTAAAGAGCCCCATCGATCATTTCCCCTGGGCTTGATTTGGCACAGTACGGCTCGACCGACTTTTCACTGGGTGTCAAGAGTGAGCTCAGGAATCATGAATGCTCACACCACGGGCGAATATATAGAACGCAAAATTTTTCCTACACGTTCAAGGTCTTGGGTACGATGCGAGTACTGGCGCCTAATAATTGCAGTCTGGAACTCCAGAAGGGACATCGTAAGGATAACATATAGGGAGGTGCGGTGCGAAAAGGGAGAAATAGCAACCCATGAGTTGGATGATGGTGGGAGGGAGAGAAGTGAGGAGAAATACATATTACGTACGCGACATGTGTCAACGTAAATCGGGTCGTGATCGAAAGTTCGGACTGGCAGTCCGAAGTGAGGTGAACAGTTTAGGGCCGGCTCATAGAACTAGTTCCTGCTATCGTTTGTCTCGTTACTTTCCCAGTTACCAGATTGATCTTCGACTTGTCTCGACTGTAGCTCAGCGCAGAAAGCCTGCTGGTAATGGTACTTAACTTTGTGATGATCTCACCAAGAGTAGCCCGAGGTATGCAGTGATCCAGGCTCGGCTACTAGCAACTATTGTGCCACAAAAGGGTAACTCGTGTTGCGGCAAAATTGGACTTGCGAACAATAAGTATCGACAAACACGATGTCACCACGACGCGACGCGTCTATAAAATCTTGCATCTAGCATGATCTCTTGTCTCTGTTCTGTATGTCTTCTACTCTCATCTTCCTAAAATTTCTCTCCCCTTCTGCTACCAACGTGTCTAGTGCAGATGGCATAGTCATAGAACGTGTCATCAGCCGTGCAGATCTTTTGGAGGTAGCACCGGACCGCGAAGATGCCCTCATAAGCCATGCCACCACTGAAGAACTGCGCGAGACACTCGAGCTTCGTTCCACGTCCCCGCATGCGTAGGTTGTCATTAAAAAATGCTTGCTCTACAATTCTGACGCGCCTTCTAGTCGGTCTCTGCATATCTATCAGAGCCATGATTCAAGCATGAAGCTTCCCAAGGCTTCTGTTCGTACATCTGTCTTTCTCAACGCCGGCCCCTCTGTATCAGACACCAGTGGGACCTCATTGACCGAAAACTATCGGCGACGCGTCTTATCTGCAGATACGGGCCCAACGAATGTTCTCAAGGATATTCGAAACCGCCTCGTCACGGACATCAAAGGAAACGTAACATTATGCGATCCATGGAACCTTAGACTAAGCACTCAAGACAAACTGATATCCCCTCGACCCCTGGGACCGACTCACATACTTGTCATTGTCGATGCTTCTGAAGTTTCCGAAACCACGTCTCAAAAACGCACCGTACGAGCCCGCTCCATCGAAATGCCGATTAACGATCTACTGTTCAAACTGAACATGCCTAACTTGTCAAACGAACCCAAGCTTCCACCTCGTATGCATCAGGAACTTCCCCGGGTCGGTATCCGAGTTCCCCACATCGAGACATTTCTTATCCTTGTGATCTTTTTGCACACGCGCAACCGGATCGAACTGATGCGTTCCGTCCTTCCAGAGTGGATCAGAGATATCTTACGGCAAAGGTTGACCGGATCCCGGCCTGCTGTCCCTGCGCCGGTCGAGCTGAAGGAAAAGAAAAGGGGAAAAATATTCGGTATCTTGAGCCTTGGCTCTCTGTCCACGGAAAGTGTCACGTTGTCTGCCCCTGCGGAGTCTGGCTCTGAGCGACTATTTAATGAAGTGGCTAAGGAGATTGCAGAAGCATCGCGAGACGGCGAGGCATTCGGGCATGATCTTGTGGGGGCTACAACGACGCTCAATGCATTACGCGATAACTTAACGTTTATCGGGTTTTATGAGAAGGCGCTGTGGGCGGAACTGGAAGACTATAGCAATGTTTTAGCTCGTGCCATCACCCTCACCTCCGAGTCCAAGGAAAACCCTCAATCAGCTCTCGTTATCGCAGGACTTGACGAAAAAATCTAGACATGGAAGCCATCTGTACTGATAACTTTCTGAATCTATGTTTTACTTTAGACCATAGCGATAACAGCAAGAGAATTCTATGTGCTTGGCGCCGAAACGTTGATATTCAGAGCCTGAAAGAAGTTGACCATAAAAATAGTCCACGCACACAAGAAGAATCTCATGTTGGTGTGTGAAAATAAACTACTCACTATTCACTATGACGGCACTTTCATTCAATCGAAGGCGAAGGCGTCGCCCACAATAAGATTCGCTGTAGGAGAGGGCATTTTATTTCTCTGTGACAGGCCCTGTATATTAATCAGAGGACCGTCGGATCTGTCGTACCTGTCGTACAGCCTGCAGAGATACTGCTGAACAAGCTCCATGTGGCGTCGGCACACCAGCTAAAGACCGCTGTAAATCCATTTGTGAATAGTATTGATCACCCCGTATCGCGGAGGAATGTATAAACCATGTAGATACATGCCCAAAAGATCTCTGGAGATCCGAAATGTCCTTAAAGTTATTTATCTGAGTTGAAGATGCTGTGCGGAAGAAGCAGTATACGATGGCTTACAGCCGCACTCGGTCTCTGATATCGGGCGGGTCGCTGGAAGGCACGGCCGGAGGAAGTCGAGAATTCCCTAGCCCTTGCATGCTTTATTTACCGAGTCAGCCAGAAGCGTACCCCAGCTCAAAAATGAGCTGTTCAGGATAACGTTGTTGGTGGTAACGAGCGAAGCTTGACTTCGGCTCTCGGGCCGAACATCTCCTTCAATGCAGTGCACACAGCAATGCAACAACAATGTATGCGGCCTGCTGCTGGACCAAATCCAGACAAGCTTAAGGAAACCTCCCGTGGCATTGCATTTTGTAATGGAAAATGCTACCTTCTGAGAGGACGCTGATTTATTGCGCGCACATATCATCTTATTACCTTTGAAATTTGATCTTTAGCCGACCTGCCTTTTCTTGCAAGTGGAAAAGCATGTCTCTCACTCAATCGGCGATGCACCAGGTAATGGGAAAATGCTCTATACTGGAGCTGTGGTGCCGGACGGTCGGATCAAATTTCGGTATCATCAGCTTAGAGCGCGGCTTCTGTTGAGTTTCGGCACCTAAACCCAAGTCTACATCTCTCCAACATGCCACCACGTAACAAGCGAAGAGGCGCCCGTTCCACTCCAGCACCTACTGAACATCCGCAAAGAGACCAGTATCACCATGCCATCCCACGATTCATTAGTCTCGTAAACCAGACTCAACGATCCGTATGAAGAAAAGTCGTTCAATGGATGTAGAGTCTGGAATTAGATCGGGGGGCGGAAGGGGGGGGCGAGCGCTACTTGAAAAATGTGATGGCCGAACCGGCATGGTGGGCGCGCGCCATGACCGCGTCCCAAAATAGACGGCGACTGACTCCTCTCTTTATCTCTTGAATGCCTTAAAGCATCTAATTCTCCCTCGTTTCACAATAATTTATCATATATGCCCTCCGAGGCTCATTCTACATCTACCACATTCCCTAATACCCTCCCTAACCCTTCTGTCAATTCCCCTGAATGGCTCCATGGTCAACTACGGGTGAGATTCTATGCATGGATGCGTCATCTACGGGTTGAGGGTCCATAATATAGTCAAAAGTAGCAAGCGTAAGTCTAAAGGAGCAACGCGAGCGCGTAGAGCAATGGAGAGACGACGCGACGTCGTGGTAAGACTCCGTAAGAGTGGATTCCAAGTTTGGACGCGCGCGCCCACAATGCCGGAAGCCGGCCATCACGATTTTCAAGTACCGCTCATCCCCCCCCTCCGCCCCTCGATCAAATCCTAGACTAACGATTCATATTAAGGCGCTTTCAAGCTGGCCCTCGCAAGTAAGCCCTGCTTTTAATCGTCGGACCACGAATCTCTTATCCATCTCGTTCCTTAAAGAAGCAACGCAGTGCGACAAAAAGAATACCGTCGTACCCGTGTAGATCCTGATCAGGTCCTTTACTACGACTTGGCTTCTGGGAGCCTCGATGTACGCTCAGTCGGGACAATTTACGGGAAAAAAAACCTCTATCGAGATGCTAGTAACCCTAGCAATGTGAACGAGGTAGAAGAGAAGCTCTCTTTACTGGAAAGAAAGGCGGCGTTGATCATCGAAAATCTTCATTCCGAGCTTGCGCGAGGGAAAATAACTCTAAAACGCAGAGATGTCGATGACTTGAGGAAGTTCATGTTCGTGTTACACTATCGTAACATGGGCAACGAGTCCTTATACGATCCCAACCTTTCGCCCAGCATAAAGCAATGGTTGATCCGGTATCAAACCGAGCATCAGTGCCAGACACACGTCGATGTATGGCTGCGCGTCATGCGCTACTATCTGGACACGCCTCACTCCCAGATCGTAGATGATGCCCATGCAGATTTCAAGAAGTACGGCTACGAGGAAGTTTTAAGACAGATTGTGACCGAGATTGACCCCATTATGGAAAATTTAGAAGCTATTGCGTATCAGCGTCAAGCTGAAGGCCACTTTTTATGCATATGGGAGGCTGAAGCCACATCGGAGTTCATCTTGACTGACAGGGTATCCGGATTGTGGGAGGGGATGACGCCCGTGCTGGAGACGATTCATCGCATTTTTGTCATCAGTCCCCGGATTGCACTCGTACTGCGCAGTAACAACCTTCCTCTGTACGAGTCTGGGGCTCCGATGATGAGCACTCTGCTGGCAGTCCCCCAAGAAAAACCTACATCTCGACTCGTGAACGGAGAAACTGGCATCAGGCTCTCCGACGAGAATGACATATCAGAAATGAACCGTCACAGATCCCCCGATGATGTCTTCACTTTCAATGTCACGAAACTCACTTTGGATCAAACGGACGCTTTTAATGTTGTTATCCTGCAGCGCACGAAATCTGACGGAGGCATCACGTTTTTGGGGAGAGAGCGCATGTTGCGCACACTTCGCGTGTTCTGGAATAACTCACTACACAGATTTATTCGCCAAAAATATGCCTCGCTCATGTGCCATCTATCCATCATACCACATCCGCTCTCCCATGGATCCGCATTCCCATCACTTGAACCTGTGGACACCGAACTTTACGTTGCGCTCATGGGAATTGTTCTGTACCGGAATAAATTTGTTTCCGGATACGATCGGGCCCTATCCATTTATCGACTCTTGCAGAAAACATCTCATCGTCAGACATGCCTTTTCGTGACAGAGCACATATATAATGTCTCTGTCTTCATGGAAAGCTGCAGAAATCATTTCTCAGGTCCCACACATGATAATCATTCATTTCGGCTCAAAACATCCTTACCGTCAGGATTGTCACTGAGAATATTTACTATTTTGGAGAAATTTGTTTCTACAACATTGGGTGCGAAGATGGATTTCGATGACGATGTTCTTGGGAAGCTGGGAAAAGAGGTTGCTTTACTTGCTTTGCTTGACTGGATCGGTGTTGAGATGCCCATGATTTTGGTAAATGGTATGTCCGAGTCGGTGATGGATATTTTAACAGTGAAGGAAGTTTTCGATTTTGCTTAATCCATAATGAACCTATATAGGGCATGTACATTTATCCATTTGCGCAATGAGGATTCGTGTGTGTAAAAGTACAGACCATATTATACTTGGATGATGATATCAAACTTGTCATTTCAGCAGACTCGGATCGGCGTTGAATATCATCGCATGAGATAGGTAGGTTTACTTCCATACTACTATGGTGGCACTTGTACTACAAGGCTTAGATAGTTGCATCTTGTTCACCTTTTATCGTAATGCATCATTATTGTCTTCATGTAGTATGGTTGATATAGCGAGAGGCTTCGTGATAAATGCAGGTATGGCTAGCCAGACACTGTATCATCCATGCTAATATTATCCTAACTAGATCCTACCATAAATATTGGAGATTGCCGATGGGCCTCGGCGTCCCTCAGCTTCGTATGATTGACTTGTCAAGTGCTCAGAATCATAGCGCGGGCGAGCTATCGAGAGTCGAGAGTCTGTAAATAGCCAAATTGGTATCAAGTCGACGCGTGTCGCGTTCTTTGACCCAAGCGAGTATATAGAGCCAAATTAGTCCACGGACGCAAGAAGAATCTTGTGTCGGTATGTGAAAACAAGCTGCACTTTCGTTCAAAGGGTCGAAGAGTCAACCTACGATGAGTTCTGCCGTAGGAGAAGACGTTTCATTTCTTCTTGACAGGTCCTCTGTATCAATCAGAGGAGCGCCAGATCTGTCGTACCTGTCGTACAGCCTGCAGAGATACTGCTGAGCAAGCTCCATGTGGCGTCGGCACACCAGCTAAAGACCGCTGTAAATCCATTTGTGAATAATATTGATCACCCCGTATCGCGGAGGAAAGTATGAACCATGTAGATACATGCCAAACAGATTTCTGGAGATCCAAAATGTCCTTAAAGTTATTTATCTGAGTAATAGACGTCGTGCGAAAGAAGCAGCATACGAGTGGCATCAGTCTTTGCGTTTTCGCGTGAAGATGCCGCGCCTTTTCTTCTCTTCAAGACTGTCCATGCTGGCAGACGATGTAGTCCGTTTCATTGGAGGAGACAGCGTAGGTGAGCCGGTAGGTGACGTTGACGACCCGAAACTGGCGGCTCCCATAGCCTTGACAAATCCCCTGTCTCAGATGTCAATGCTGAGAACCCCAACGACGGCAGGTAGAATGCACCTCTGTGTCGCGTCAACGTAGTCCTCTCGTCCGAATCGTTTAGATGTTTTCACTGATACTCCTTTATCCGAGATGGTGTAGCCCTTCTCCTTCAGCCTAACCGAGCAACGTCAGCAAAGCAGTGGAAGCCATAATGGATAGTACACGCACTTTTCCTTGGTAGAAGCGACAGTTTCCGAAAGAGAACTCGACGCGCAAAGGATCCCATATACGATGCCCCCACAGATGCCGACTGTCTGCGCGCAGAGAAATAAATGTGAGCGAAATTGTTGGACGGTCTCAGTGATCACATACCACGAGCAGAGCAATGATATCAAGCCTATATAAGGTGATATCAGCGTCGACCGCTCGTCAGTGCATACGAGTAGCTTACCAGCTGGCCATTGGGTTCTGCGACTATAAAATTGAGAAAATACGGACTCAAAGGGTGACGTCCAGGCCGAAGAAACACTACAATTCGCCTTAATATATAAAGGCTGAGTTTTTGTCGAAGGAACGGTAGTTATGAGAGAGAAGATGTGAGAGGGTGGTAGTACAGAAGAAAGAGCAAGTGTCCTGTTCATATGTAGACCCTGGAGCGATGACATTTGATGACATAAGTGGCTGTGGTGATGGCTGATCGGATCGGTGTTCCCCTCAGCAACAGCCCTGAGCTCGGAAATTACAAGGAGTCAGCTGTAAGATGGGCTGTATCGATATAGAAGAGGAAAAACTGTATTCGTGAACGGCAGAAGCTCCTTCAAAAGTTAGGCTCACAACATTTCACGGCGTTTGTTGCATTCGTGAAGTGATTGATGAACAGAAGACCGCCAACATTCTTAGTATTCTTGAGCGTGTGAGCGCCGAGTCTTCGGTTGCTAGTACTGCGGAAAATCCCAGAATCAGACCCTTGTCCGACGCAGTCAACACCGCCCGTCATAGCCTGGACACCGGTCAACACTAAAGTGGCAAGTAAGAGCACTAGTTAATCCGTCCTCTACGAGAATAGCTGAATTGAAAGAAGTAGAAGAAGACCACGTAAAATGACACACGGAAGTTTCCGAGATTTGGCAATATCGTGGGAGTACCGCCGAATATAATATTGAAAGCGTCGAATTCGGTAAGGGTAACAAGGGGTAACAACGAAGGCTACTGCGTACACCGACATCCCCATACCTTCGACCATAGAATGAAAGCAACTTGTGGTCGTTGCCACTACTCACGAGAGCAAAAGAGCGGTCAATGGTGATTCATCGTTCTATCAGAAAGGTTAACAGTACAATCTTATTGCAAGCTGGTATGCAGATGTCGCTCAGACAACTTGGGTGAACTTGGATGGGCGAGTTTACGCACATTACAGTCCAGTGCGTGCGGTACCTATGGGACACAGTTGCAGTAAATCAACGGGCTTGCATTCCATCTGACGGTCTGGAATCGATAGCTCGACTCCGCGCCATGAGAATATCAATGACAATCATCAGACGGACCGGCTGGAGCACACGAAGAGTACTATAGCGAGATCGCTCATTAACCTCTTCTCAAACTACTGAGGATGTCGTAGCTGGTGAACCGATCTCCATCTAATGGAGATGGCGACCTGTGTTCATTGGTCAGACTTTCCGGACGCTGTTAAAAATTATAAGGACGCACTTACTGAGATTTTATAAAGTTATATACTACCAAGTCATTGCAAGGGGTTTTCCACCCTCGGTTGACAATGGCATGTATTTCCCGCGCTTGGCCTCGAGGTCCAAAAATCGTCTGGAAGAGACTGATCATGGCGTCCAACTCGGATAAAAGGCAGAGCAAAGGTAGAGGTTGAAGTCCTGCTGCTGGCACAACCTAATGTTCCATTTTCTGTTATTTTCAAAGTAAGCACTGTCCTTTGAAGTCACCACTGAGTTGCTTTCAGGTCGAATGTTGAATCGTCGTTGGTTACAAGGAGGTATCGGGCCGATTCGTCCGAAGAGTGGTGTCGGCAATACTAGCCGAAATTTGCCGAACACGCCAAATTGTAAATTATCAATTGCAACTTCCACAACTTGGGAGGAGTTACAACTCCCAACGATTGTATACAATCATGGGAGGGCTCCCTTTTCATAACAGAGGCCTGTCATTTACAGGTAATTCAATTATTTGTAACTCTATAGGTCCGGCCGCCTTTGGTCCGTTGGGATCATTAATGATCCCAAGAATTTATTCTTCGCTGGGAGTCCCAGCGTTTGCTCCCCAGCTCTCCCAACAAAAATTTCTTCCTCCCAGCGAACGTTGTCAGCAAACTAGTTGTCACAAGGCAAAATAAATTTTCTCGAAGCACGGATGCCACACCTTATAATCCAGCTGGGGGATGTCAATAAAATCCCAAACCGCCTCTTGCTTTACTCTTGCTCTCCCATTCAACGTCACCACCGTCCTTAGTTCCCTTCCCCTGGCAAAGATGTCTGGATCTATGTTTCCAGTATGTGGCTCTTCGCCTCACTTCGCGCCATCGCTGCTTACACGGGTCTCTCCCCAAAATAGACCATTACTCGCACACCTTTGACGAAACAGGATACTCATACCGCACGTCTTGACAGGTCGGTAACTGAGCGCGAACGCCGTTCTGGATCGAATGATGGGGCCTTTTCGAAACGTGTTAAGGCTGTAGACGACATCCATCTGGACAATCAGCGAAGCGAGGTAAGTTTCTTGTCGCATTCATATGCACTCTTCAGCTTACATATTGCGCGCAGATTGAGAAATACTTTGCCCACCTTGCCCAGGCTGAACAGTACAAGGCTAATTCTGCCCATGTGCATGAAGTTAGTTCTCATTGTCAGTCATCTTCCTCCGTCATTCACGACGATATCTCTCAGGATGTTGGGTACATCACGGATACTGCACTGCTTGCAAATGAGGTTCGTCACTATGCTCAGTGTGCGTGAATTATTCATGCTCATTTGATTTTATATTTCCAGACGGCCGACGTCGTCGAGCAGCCGCGTTTCTACGGCGATTTGATTTGTACACGATGGACTCCTCTTTTCTCCGTGACGCATACATGGTTTGCGGGATGCTAGATCACGAAGCTCTTTATGAGACACTTATGAGGCGCCAAGTTGCGGGACACGCAGACGCACGCATCACACTTCGTAAGGGACTCTGGGAGAATGGAGCCGCTGTGTCTGCAGACATCCGCGATCCTAGGTCTTTCATACCAATCCCCCTTCGTTTGACCCTCATTACAGAGATGGACATTACCTACTCCGAAGAAGAACTCGACTTCTTCGTGGATCGGGATGACTATCTTCGCACGAATGTCCCTGGCGTATTTGCCAACTTGGAATTCGAGAACGAGTGTCTTTGTTATTCCAAGGGTCGGTTTCTGATGAATAGGTGTTGGACGAAGACGCAACCTGATGGTTCGGTGGTTGAGTTATTCGAAGGATATATGGAGATGAAGGTACGCAACGGGACGTACTTTCTCGCGGACCGTGGAGAAGATATCAACATGATTGAGCATGCTTTTTGGGCTATTCGTTATGGTAATGAGGTGGATTTAGATGATATGAACGTAGTAGAAGAGGGTACCCTTGACTGAAATTTTCTACTACTCTACTTTGAATATTCAGGGCATGATATCCCCCCAAGTACCATCTACTAGTTTGCCTTTTGACATAATCAATCCGACAAATCTGGCGACGATACCCTACTTTCGGACTTATCAAGATTAAAGACTTAAAATGTCGTGAGGCGAAAATGAATAACTGTTGGTTTGAAAACTGCGGCGTAAATATTACAAGTTCGATCGACTTACTAGTTCATCTGCACTCAATGGCCCATGTTTGTATCTCGAAATCAAAAGTAGAGGAAGACGGGTTGAGGGCAGGTCAAAGCAGATATACTATTCACCGGAGTGGTTACTTGTGAGTAGAATCACCAGAGACTTGAGCACTTAAGCGCTGAGCTGCCGTTAAGTTACATTCGGCACATATCGCTGCAAGTTGCTGCGGACTCCAGAGCTAAGGTCCTACCTTGACTCTCAGGCTCCAAATTGTGCCTCACGTCAACTTTGTGACCCACCAAGTTACATAAGCGCAAAGAGCAGTGTTGCTCGATCGTGTTGTTTGGCACTACCTGCCAACCCAAACAACACGAACTCTTCACGGTATTCTACATTTGCACATTCTTCTCCCTTTCCCTCCTCTGAATGACCACCATACCGTCCAGCACACCTCCAAAGGATACCAACAACGGAACAAAAGTCGAATCCACATTACAGAACCGTGGCACTGCTTCGAGGACTATGTTCAACCAGTACGAGAGGTACGCGACCTCAGGCGTTCGTTTCGCGTTCAACGGTGCCAAAAGGCTTATATCTACCTAGGGCCTATCTACCAGCAAAAGTAAGATCTATTGAAATCGATCTGAAAGGCAGACAAAAAGTCGAATTCGTGTCCCTGCTCAAGGCCCTGCTCGCGAGGATGTTGCTAGGTGAATCTGCTGACGGGAAGGATATGGTGGCCTTGGACACAGCGAAATCCGACGCCGACCAGCTCTTTGATGAGATGCTTGAAGACGCTGTCAATTTCTGCAATTCTAGTCTTCCGACGTCAGCAAAGACCTTGCCGGAGCTCTCATCATCAGAGATTGCCGTAGAGACCAAGCCCAAGATGCAGACATCGACCCGGTCGGAGACATCGGAAACGATGAAATCCCACCTCAAGGACTTGTGCGTCATGATTTCTCTCTTTAATCTGTATACTGATGCCTCTCAGTTGCCAGGCAAAGTCCAGGAAGCAACGTTCCCTCCCAATCTCGACCGCCATAAATACCATTATGGTTGAGTATGATGGGCGACCCTTTGGCCGGCTACCATGCTTAGACGACCACCACCGAATCATCGTCATTCCAAATGATCCCCTGGTCATCGAATCCCTGCAACTCCGTAAGGACTCACCGGCAGCGAAGCGCAAGCCCGATAACATCATCGTCCAACTATCTCACCTCCTCAAGCTCGATGATACGTGCAAAGATTCTGATTATAGATCCTGGGTACAGTCGGTCGAGACCGAGTCTGAGAAGTGCAAGTGGGCACAGAAAGGCACTGACAAAAAGACAAGTTGGCTGGACGTTCATTGTTCCATCGAATTGGACACGCACAGAGTCATTGAAAGTGCGCCGCTTGATCAGCCTATGTCCAAGGACCAGGTGTTGGGCGGCAGTACGTTCCTCGTTCAATTTCCGATTTTGATATATTCTGACACTCTACTTCCAGCTTCTTCCACTCCCGCATCTGATGTTCTACAGTCTAGTGACCGAAAGGGCGAAGTTGAACGTCAATTATCCAGTCAACCTTCGAGTTCTTCCATTGGAGCTGCTTCTTCCTGCAGCTGTGAGAAGAAGCGTAATCATACAGAGGTGGAGGAGTCAGAAACTGAAACGACGTCCTCACACAAGAAGCGCAAGACATCGGATCCCGATCCACCCCGCTTTCCCGCAGAGATTCAGTGCGCGTATTACGCCATCGAGCGTCTTCGAGCGGCATGGAATGTCACCCATAGCATCGTTCTTCTACTTGAAGGTTGTGATTCATTATCCGTGCGCTTTCATGAAGCTGACATGACACCCATAGATAATATGCTCAGTCTTCGGTGGTACGACGCCGAGGGCTGCATCGTGACACAACCCATCGACATCATCGGACGACTTCCACTGTTTGTGGTGATGGTCATTATTCTCCAACGGTTTGATGCTACGATGTGGGGATTCTCTGACGTCCAGATATCTCAAACGACAGAGAACGGACCAGTCTCCTTCTGCCTCGAGTCCGACAAAGCCAAAGGAACGCGTTTCCAACTTGTGGGACGCCGAACATTTGGGGCAGATGTACGGTCGTCTGACGTGGCTACCTCCCATGTTCTTGACAGTTCCGGGCAGTCGATCACTCCTCAAGGGCCCCACGATGCATCATCCAATGCTCCCATTACCACCTCGGTGCCGCCCAGTCCTAGTTCCATCCTCAAAGCCTCGAATACTCCTCAAAAGGCATCGTCGAGTTTTCCAGTGCGACAACAAAGCTCCCAGAACGCTCCCTCCGACCTTCCAGGTTCGACTAGGAAATCACACCCTTTATTCTTCAAGGCAGCATGGCCGGAGAATTCCCAAGATAGGGAACCTCAGATTATCGCAGAGGCTATTTCTAGGGCGAATCAATATCTTGGAGAATTTAAGGCGTACGTTCTTGAGCACGTTCCGACGGTCGTCAGCTGGCAAGAGGTCAAGTTTACATCGACTGCCATTATTCGTCAACTCCTCGGTCTCCCTGTTGAGCGCTCACGTACCCTGCTCTGGATGGTCTGTCACAAACTATGCCCTATCGAGAAATGTAATGGACAGGATTTCTGGAAGGGATTCTGGGAGCTCATCCGTTGTACGTTGTATTCCCTTCTCACTAATCTCTCCTGACAACACGCTTATTACAGGCCATTATCTGCTCTGGTGCATTGGTGTAGCACATGGCGACATCAGTATCAACAATTTGATGTACGATGCCGTTACTAAGAAGGCAATTCTGAACGACTTTGACCTGGCTGCGCTTATGGATCCTGGAGACGTATCACCACAGAAAAAAGGCTGGGAGCGGACGGGGACGCAACCGTTCATAGCGCTGGAATTGCTGGACAAGGCCGATGGTTCGGTTAAGCGGAGGTATCAGCATGACCTCGAATCCTTTGCTTGGTGCCTCGTATGGCGTGCAATGGATGACACGTTCCCCCGCGAGACAATTCTTGGGTCAACAGCAGACGCCGTTGCCCACAAAACGAGTTTGGGTATAGGCGTTTGGAAGAAAACCGCTAAACCGGGCTTTGAAGGAATATGGCCTTGCATTGTGGAGTGGATTCGGGCCTGGGTCGGGCGATCCTGCTCGTTTATGCCAGCGCTTGAGGATGGCGGGGACTTTGTCAGGGAATTTGCGGATATCGTCGGTAAACACGAGCAAGCAGTTCCATTGAATGACCCACAGTTGAAAGTGGGTAGACTTTCAGGTTCCTCTACAGGCACCGTCGTCGTCGAAGGACGCGAACACGGGGGATGTGACTGTGTTGTATGCATCGTAGTAATTGTTGTTAGGACATTTTGAAATGGCATTGGCTTGTATTATACCTTCCCTTTTCATATCGCAGTTGTACAAGCCCTCTTCGCTCGAAAGTCTTCTAGTGGAATTTATTTGTGGCAAGGTACCTGGAAGGGCACTACTAGCAAAAATGAGATGAAGGACGTGAAATAATGTAGTATATAATTTATGGCGGGAACGTCTCGAGTTGTCGCATAGAAAGTACGCAAGGTTTCTCATGGTTACCATTTCGCCCAACACCGAGACGATCTAATTTTCACAACCGATTCACGGTCCATCAACGGTTCTACACAGTTCGAAAATCGCGGCAATATTATCTCCTAAGATCAACGATTCTTGTGCAAAGCCTGGGCTTTGACTCGAGTTTTGGATCCATCCTTGTAGCAGAAAAAGGCAAACCTAGAGGCTCGATAGTATGCAGCAGTTTCGAACAACTCATCCTACTCCAAATCTCACGTCATTGTCAGCCATTGCTCTCAGCTTTGAGAGTAGTCGCGATGCTTTAGGTCTACGTGAATCTTCAAGCACTTCAGGCAAATTTCGGTAAGATAGGTCATTAATTCAGTTGCTAGTATGATGGACACGAGTTGCGAACAATCAAGATTTAATAGGCCGCAATGCTGGCAGTTTCGCCATCTTTGCAGTCGATGCAAGGAATGGGTTATACCTCGATCCGTCACCCTACGTCCTTAATGAGACCTGCTGAAAAAAGAGGAAAAGAGAATAGCTCACAATCATCGTCGTAGGGAACCCGGGATCAAAAGGCACGACACCCTCCAAATACTCCACCTGCTCCTTCGACAATGAGATATCCAGCGCCTCTATATTCGCCTTGAGGTGCTCCACCTTCCGACCTCCAATGATCGGAAATACATACGGTGCTTTCTGCATCATATATGCTATAGCGACTACCCAAGGACCCGTTAGAAAATATCACGATGCAGTATAAATAGCTCCACGTACCAGCCGTCACGCTCTTGGCACCAATCTCAGCCACGACCTTCTCTAATGCCCTGGACAGTGGACACCTTGGCCTCCACCTCAGTACGCTCCCAAGCTGGCAGGCCCAGGATTTCCTTCCCCCCCTCTCTGTTCTTCCGCGTCGGACCGTAACTTCCCTTGCCCAAGTCTACCCCACGGAGCAAGCGCCAAACCCAGAGACTTGGCCATGGGTATGATCTCGCGCTCGAACGAACGATCTAAGATGTCCCATCTGCCCTGGTAGATGACTAACGGTGTCTTACGGACGTGGTCCATGGCATACTGGTTGGCTTGAGAGACGACCCATGCGGGGGTGTCTGAGATCCCGAGGTAGAGAACCTTCCGCGTCGCGACGAGGTTGCGCAGGTCATCCGTGACTTCTGGAATCGACGTTTCGTGATCCCACCAGTGCACGTAGAGGAGCGAGCTTGAAGAGAGCCATCGAGACTGAGGAGGACAGGTATTGTTGCAGTAGTATTTCAGGCCAAACCCATTTCGTTCAGTTCGAACGTCACGTGTCACAAAGCCCGTTCGAGTAACCTACTTACCCTTACTTACCTGTGCGACAGTATTCTAAAACTTCTATTATTAAGTATGGTGCTGTATGGTGGTAGAGCCTCTTTTCACGGATTGAGATGCATCGTTCGCAAGTAACTCGATTACTTCTTCGTCTACGGCGTGAGTCTGAACCTGTGCTGTACACAAATCCTTCTAAAATCTTTCTCGAAGCTTTATTTGAGCTTTATTTCAAACTCACTGTCAGCCGGTCCGCCATGATCATCAATCGTCCTACACGGCTGCATATTAGCTCGCGTACAAGGCATTAAACTAAAAGTACCTGCCGGCTATTTGTGTACACGTCAGGAAAAGCATTTGTGCACAAGAGTCAGCATCTCCTGTAGTTACAGGGACTTGTGTACAAGGCTCTCCCCTGTAACTACGGGGATTTTGTGCACAAGGACGGTATAGCTTCGGGAGACTGTACAAAGCCGGCCGCCTTTAAGCCGTCTGCCTGTCATTATTAATGATGCCACTGTGAAGTTACACGGTAGGTCCAGTGAAAAGTGTACAGTCGCAGCTAATTCTCTCCGCTCCCAGCCTGCCTTGTCCACAAGCCAGTATGACACGAGGCAAATGAAATTTTCTCGAAGCGCAGATGTCGCGCCTTATAAACCGGCTGAGGAGGAACACTAGAATCCCCAACCGCCTTTTGCTTTCCAGTTCAACGTCCCTCCGCCCTTGTTTCACTTGCTCTGGCAAACAGTATCTGGAGCTATGTTTCCGGTACGTGCCCCTTTTCTTCACCTAAAGCCATCGTTGTTTACAAAGATCCTTCCCTACGATAGACTGTCACTCGCACACCTTTGACAAAAATGGATAGTCATACTACCCCTCCCAACATGTCGATGATTGAGCGTGCTCGTCGTTCTGACTTGTACGATGGGGCTTCTCTAGAATGCGTCAAGGCTGCCGCCGACGTCCATCTGGACAGTCAACAAAGCGAGGTAGGTTTCTTGTCGCATTGCGTCCATTGTCACTTCGACTTACTACCACGCGTAGTTCGAAAAATACCTCTTCCACCTTTCTCAGGCAGAAAGATACAAAGCTGATGCTACTCATCAGGTTGGTTCTCATTGTCAGGTATCGGCCTTGGTCCGAACTCACGATAATATCTCCAGGATGTTGGGTACGCCATAGGTGCTACGGTTGCAGAGACGGCCATTGAGACTGCTCGTGAGGTTGGTCGCTATCAAATTGTTATGTCTGAATGGAGTCATGCTTATTTGATTGTCTATTTCCAGGCAGCCAATATCGTTGAACGACCGAGTTTCTACGGCAACTTTAACTTGTACACGATGGACATCCCTTTTCTCCATGACATATACATGGGACATGGAGAGCCGGACCACGAAGCTCTTTACAAATCGCTTATGAGGCACCAAGCTACGGGATATGCCAGCGCATGTGTTACCCTCCGCAAGGGGTTCTGGGAAAATGGGGCGGCGGTATCTGCAGACGTTCGCGATCCGAGGTCTTGCATACCGATCCCCCTTCATCTGACCCTCGTTGTCGAGATGGACGTAACCTATTCTGAGGAAGAGCTGGATTTCTTTGTAGATGGGAATGACCATCTTCGCATGAATGTCCCTGGTGTCTTTGCGAACTTGGAATTGGAGAATGAGAGTCATTGTTCCTCGGGGCAGTTGTTGATGAATAGGTGCTGGGCGAAGATACAGCCTGATGGTTCGGTGGCTGAGTTGTTCGAAGGGTATATGGAGATGAAGGTGCATAACAGGATGTACTTTCTTGGTGGGCATGGGGAGGATATTGATATGATCCAGCATGCTTTTTGGGCCATTCGTGATTGGACTGAGGACGATCTGAACGAGGAAGAGGGTGTCTTTGACTTATTTTGACTGTAATTTTTTGTTTGAATAGGCGACGCATGATATACACGAACGTATCATCTACTAGTTTGTTTTCAACACAAAAATTCAAACGAGCTACAGTGTTTTCCTATGGAAAGACCAGAAAGTTACGAACGCCAAGGGCCATTTACTCGAGATACGTATACAGGCTTGTTCGAACCAGAACGAAGATAGCAGAACGGCTGCATTTACAGAAGTAGGGAATTCTACAACTAGGGCTCGTCCATCCCAACAAAACTTTCCACACCGCTCATAACGCCACCGACGATCCCAGCAGCCTCCTCGGAAGGGTTGACGGGAATTTCCCTGCGGTTCTCTGAGGAGTTCATCGACGACTGGGCTCCCTGTCTCCTTTTCCTTCAGTGCGCTTAGGCTTGCTGGTGGAACATACTCCCTGACCGCACCAGCAATGGCCCTAGCAAGATCCTTCGACGGCATGCCCAATGCCTCAGCAAGCGCGTTGATGTGATCCTCGACACCTTCCACCCTCCCGTGCTGCGTTCTATGCTCTATTTTGACAGCGTGCGGTCTCTGGCCCGTAGAAGGGTTCCACCAACCACCCACTTCCGTCTTCCATTGAACGATGCGAAACGAATAATATGCTGTGAGGATAGCGCTCAGGACGACGAGAAGGTATATGAGGCGACTGAGACGCGTCGAAGACAGCGGTGCAGATACTGGTTTCATGAGATTCCCGTTTTGTTTCATTTTTGTTTGCGAATTGGATCTCGACGACATGGGTGCAGAAATTGAGAAAGGAAAGTCATGACTGTCGTATATAAACCCCTGCGTCATGACGCTACGTCATTGGCGCGAAACTGCATCACGTGCTTAGGCGCGTCCAAATCGAGAATTGGATTTTCGCGAAAAATTTCGATTCCATCTTTAACTGCAACTACCATGGCGCCGCTCTCTCATCCCTCTATCCAAGGTATATCCCATCGATTTTACCGATAAAGGTGCTGATTTACTCTTACAGATGGCTGGTTCCGTGAGATCTCGTCGCAATGGCCTGGCCAAGCGATGACCTTAAAGGTGAACAAGATCTTGCACGTCGAAAAGTCCCTGTACCAGGACGTTTTGGTCTTCGAGTCAGAGACATTCGGAAATGTCCTGGTTCTTGATGGAGTCATCCAATGCTCGGAGCGTGATGAGTTCTCGTGAGTCATATTTTTTCTTCTCCTTTGTCCGAAAATTGATGTCGGCCGATAAGATATCAGGAAATGATTGCACATCTTCCATTGAACAGTCATCCCAACCCTGAGAGGGTGCTTGTCATCGGTGGCGGTGATGGTGGAGTTGTCCGTGAAGTTTTGAAGCACGCCTCGGTCAAGGAGGTCGTTCTGTGCGATATCGATGAGGTACTTGAGAGTTATTTTGCCGATTTCAACATGTTTAATGCGTTTCGTAGGCTGTCATCCGAGTGTCCAAGCAGTACCTTCCCCACATGTCGTCTCTGCTGTCGTCTCCCAAGGTCACTGTATTTATTGGGGACGGTTTCAAGTTCTTGGCGGAGCACGAAGGCACCTACGATGTCATCATCACCGACTCGTCAGACCCTGTTGGTCCCGCGGAGTCCCTCTTCCAAAAGCCGTACTTCCGGCTTCTCCACGACGCTTTAGCCCCTGGTGGCAACATCTCTACTCAAGGAGAATGTCTTTGGCTACACCTCCCTCTCATTTCTGAGCTCAGGTCAATGACTCTCGGAATTTTCCCTGTCTCCGAGTACGCGTACACAACCATCCCCACCTACCCTTCCGGTCAAATAGGCTTCATAGTCTGTTCCAAGGAAGCTGGTCGTGACTTGAGCAAGCCGCTTCGCAAGCTCAGCGATACAAGGTACTACAACGATGCTATCCATGCATCTGCGTTCGTCCTCCCTGAATTTGGTCGCGTCCTTCTGTCCGAAGGAAAAAACATCCAGCCCAAGTTTGGCCGCGAAGCTCTTGCGGTTGCTAACGCGAACAAGCCCACCAAGAAGATCCTTCTTCTGGGAAGCGGCTTCGTCGCGCGTCCTTGCGCGGAATACATCGTCCGAAATCCATCCAACTATCTCACCATTGCTTGTCGAACTCTCGAGAGAGCCAAGTCCTCTCGGTGAGGGCCTGCCCAATACCTCCGCTCTATCCCTCGATGTCAACAGCACTCCTGACCTCGAAGCTCAAGTTGCAGCTCATGATCTTGTTATCTCCCTTATTCCTTATACCTTCCACGCTGCTGTCATCAAAGCTGCCATCAAGGGTAAGACCAACGTTGTCACCACCAGCTATGTCTCTCCAGCCATCCAAGCCCTTGACGAGGAGGCCAAAGCTGCCGGTATCATCGTCATGAACGAAATCGGTTTAGACCCTGGTATTGACCACCTGTACGCCGTCAAAACCATCAACGAGGTCCATGCCAAGGGCGGAAAAATCAAGCAGTTCCTATCTTACTGTGGTGGTCTGCCTGCACCTGAGTGTTCAGGCAATCCGTTAGGATACAAGTTCTCGTGGTCGTCCCGTGGTGTGCTACTCGCTCTGCTCAACTCGGCGTCATACTACTCCGAGGGCAAGCGGTTGGACATTGCTGGGAAGGACCTGATGGGTTACGCTAAGCCGTACTTCATCACCCCTGCGTTCGCGTTCGTCGCGTACCCCAACAGAGACTCGACGCCTTTCCGCGAGTTCTACAACATCCCGGAGGCTGAGACTGTTGTGCGTGGAACGCTCCGGTACCAAGGATTCCCAGAGTTTATCAAGGTGCTGGTTGATCTTGGTTGGTTGGACGCTTCAGAGAAAGACTGGCTTAAGGAGAGCTTGACCTGGGCGGAAGTCATGCAGAAGACCATCGGTGCTGACAGCGCGAGCGAAAGGTTCGAATCCCCCATATTGAGTTATCGCTTTTAAGCTGACATAAATCTTAGCGCTCTAATCACACGTATCAAATCGCTGTGCACCTTCCCTGACGAGTCAGAGGCTACCCGCATCATCTCCGGCCTGAGATGGATAGGTCTCTTCTCTTCGGAGAAAGTCAAGCCTCGTGCTGGAAACCTTCTCGATACGCTCTGTGCACAGCTCGAGGGATTAATGAAGTACGAACAGGGCGAGCGGGATCTTGTCATGCTACAGCACAAGTTTATCGTTGAGTGGCAAGACGGGAAGCAGGTATGCTGCGGATTCCGTATCTCTGATGAAATCTGGCGCTGATATGTTCGCAATCAGGAAACTCTCACGTCGACGCTGGAAGCTTACGGCAGCCCCGTTGGCCACTCTGCGATGGCGCTTACGGTCGGGTTACCCTGTGGTATTGCGACGCAGCTAGTTCTCGACTGGGGTCCTCAGTGCACCAGGTATCCAGCGCCCGTACACCACTGAAATTTGCGATCCCCATTCGCAAGATCCTAGAAGCTGAGGGTCTGGGCCTCGTTGAGAAGGTTTTGTAAAGATAGATAAAGAGAAGAAGTATTAAAAAGACCCTACATTGAGCAGGTGTAGCGCTTATCGCCTTCGGCTAGAACAACTGACTATTTTTGTACCATCATGACTCGTTCATTCGTCAAGCTGCGCAGTGCACTGCCGGTGGGAAACGTGTGTGCGACTGCAGAATTGTCGTCCGATCCGATCATATAAAAGGGTTTACTGTTGCCGGTAAAATTGTAACTAACCCTTGAGCTTGATTCGACTCGTACTCTTGAAGATGTTTCGCCGGTTTCAACGATCTCCCTTGCCAGCAGAGGAAGCTACTACTCCCAAACCCAATATCGTGGTCATTGGAGGTAGTTATGTTGGTGAGTTGCACAGTTCTGGATTTTTCCCTTTAGATTTCTCATATCGATTACAGGCGGGTCTGTAGTCGATCAACTTGCATCCTCTCTTCATCGAACGCACAATATTGTGCTCATCGAGAAGAACTCTCACATCCAGGTGCGTGTATTGCTTGTACATTAAGAACTGACGCTCAAACCTAGCATATAGCATCTCTTTGCCTTTCCCCGTGTAAGCGTTGTTCCCGGTTTTCGAGAACAGAGCCTTTATTCCTTTCACAAACTGCTTTCCATGCGAGTCCACCTGGCTCTACCTCTGTGATACATGCCATTGCGGAGAAGATTCTTCCCGGCAAAGTCATACTGGATAATGGACAATCTATATCTTACGAATATTTGGTACTTGCTACAGGAACCGGCAAGCCTGGACGTCTGATACCAACCCAGAAGGCTGTGGAGACTCAACGATTCAGAGACCTCCAGCAAAGTATAGCCAAGGCATCGCATATCACGAGTCATCGGGGGCGGCGCGTATGGTATCCGTGAGTATAACGTGTCTTTGTGACTTTGAGCACGCGTTATTGACTAATTTTTTTGCAGAAACTGCGATGGATATCAAAGATTATGCGTCAGTCGAAGAAGGATCACTGTCATACATTCCCGGCCCAACTTGATGAGCCGGTTCCATCCCAAGCTGCACGAGATCGTGATGGAGAAGTTTAAAGCAGCTGGTATCGAGACAATCCTCGGCCAACGAGTGACCATACCTGAGGAGGGTTTCCCCAATAATGGCTCAGAGTTCGCCATAGCTCTGGCTGATGGGACGGAGGTGAAGACGGAGCTAGCGGTTGGTTTCTCGTTCGTCAACTTGGGTAGTAGTGGTGCTGATGCTATTTCAGATTGTTTGCATTGGCGCGGTCCCTCTGAGCGCGCCTTTACTTGCTTTGTCCCCGTCATCGGTTGATCCGCAGACGAAGTATGTCAAAGTGAAGCCGACCCTCCAAATTGCGGACTCGAATTATCCAAACGTGTTTGCTATTGGAGATGTTGCTGATACCGGAGCACACAAGGCTGCACGCCCGGGAGGGATGCAGGCCAGGATCGCTTCGAATAATATAGAAATGCTTATCAAGGGCAAAGACTTGGATCTGCAGACGTATTACCCAGATGCACCAGGTATAGGTTTATCGTTGGGATTTGTGAGTTCATCGTCCTTGACTATTTTCTTGCTGCTGACGAGTTTGTTTTCAGCACTCCAAGGTCAGATTCCGAAATCCATCTACGCCTGACGGTGAACCGTCTTGGAGACAGGCTTTGAAGCCGTTCAAGACCAAGGGTAACATGGACGCAGGTTGTCGGAAAGTGTGGGATCGACGTGCACCTGGTGTGAAGGATTATGATCTGTAGAGAACTTGTTCGGACTAAGAGTGATGCAATTAGAGGCTACCCTGAATGAATCAGTTATTGCTTGACCCTTACACTGTTCACGCGCTCTACGCGTACATGACACGTCAATATGTTATTTATAAGCTACACGCGGTATATCGTACATTTCGGCCGAGCATTCGTAACCTCTGCAATGGGGGCGCCAATCACAGTCTCGCGTTGCCGGAGGGCCACGTACCCTGTCCAGCGATCAGTTCGGAATGAGGCATTTATTGCAGGCCTGAAGATGAGATAAGATGTCGGAAAAACGGTGATGCTGTCTAATCTGATAAACTCCTGTACGCCACAGTACGCAAGCGACCTTAGTCATACTTTTCCAACGCGATCGTATAAAAGGAACGCGACCGCCCGCACATTCGCCATATTAGCCATCCTGGCGTCCTCCATACGAAATTTGACTCGATCTATACCCTTCCGACAGATGTCGACGTCCGCTACCCAGAGAACCCAATGTGGTTGTTATAGGAGGGAGTTATGTTGGTGAGTTTAGCTCCTTCGAAAAATTTCCCCAGAGCTGACTATCCGAAGGAATGAAAATGGCCTGATTTGCTTGGTCCTGCCATTCATGAAACGCATAATACTATCGTCATTGAAAAGAACTCTCATTTCCAGGCAAGTTCATGACAGTTCTGCCTCTTGAGATTGCTAACTGGGACCATGTAGCACCTTTTTGCCTATCCTCGCATAGGGAGTCGTTCCCGGATTCGAGCACTAAGGCGTTCATTCCTTTCACCAACGCGTTCCATGCCAGCCCGGCCGGATCTACGACCATGGTACGTGCTACAGCTGAGAAGATCCTTCCGAATGAAGTTGTTCTAGACAACGGAACGTCCATTCCTTATGAATATCTCGTGTTTGTCACGGGCTACTGGACGCCCTGGTGCACCGGTAGCGTACGAAAAAGGCGACAGGAGACGAAGAGAATCCAAGGTGATCCAGGAGAAGGTAAAGAGCGCGTCGAACATCGTTGTGATTGGAGGTGGCGCGTACGGCGTTCGTGAGTGATACTTCTTGAAGGACGTAGTAAATGTCATGACTGAGAAGAATGCAGAGGTCGCCTTCGATATCAAAGACCAATATCCGTCGAAGAAGGTCACAGCTCATCCATTCCCGCCCGCTGGTGATGAACCGCTTCCATCATGCCTTGCATGATATCGTCATGGAGAGGTTCAAGGCCGCAGGGATCGAAACTATCCTCGGACAGAGAATCAAGGGTATTCCGGATTGGTTCCAGAATGATGAACCGAGTTTTCAATCACCCTTGCTGACGGAAGGGAAGTGAAGACCGATTTGGTGGTATGTATAATTCAGATTTTTTTTGAACGGATAACACTTTATTAACTGCTCCTCAGATCCCTTGTACAGGATCTACCGTTCCCCTTGAGCGATCCCCTATTGTCGCTGTCACCGTCATCAGTAGATCCGGAAACCAAATATGTCAAGGTGAAGCCTACGTTGCAGATTGTAGACCCCAAGTACCCGCATGTGTTTTCTATCGGAGATGTAGCAGATACTGGAGCGCACAAAGCCGCTCGGCCCGCCATCGCCCAAGCCCAGATCGTTCTCAGAAACATACAGAAACTCATGAAGGATGAGAAGGCAGAACTGGAGACGTACAAGCCCGACCTTCCTGCGATACATTTGGCTTTGGGATTCGTGAGTGATGGTTCTGTTTTCACGTCGAAGAGAACTGAATTCCTTCTGTGACAGCGGCCGAGCATTAAATTTAAAAACCCGACGTCGCCTGATGGAGAGCCTATGAAGATATTGGATGATCACGGTGACCTGGAAGCTGGGTGCGGCAAAGTATGGGCGATGAGGGCTCCCGGTGTGGTAGACTATAGACTCTGAGAGTGTCGCCGGTGACCTTGCTCATTGGAAACAAGGCGTTGTCAATTTAAATGGAAAAATATAATTTAGCAAAGCGATAGATAGTTGTAATGTGCACCTAGAGTGATATATGATACAACTGTAGAAACAGAACGATTTGAGTGGATCATGTAGGAGATGAATTCGAACGCACGTCGACACCTGACCCTAAAAGCCTACTAGTCCCCGCTTGCACGCATCGGTGGATGAGGCGAGGGCTGTTGGTTTGAAGATAGTAAAGGTTCCCTCTCATCTACATCATCTATACTCCCACTTTTAGAAGGACTTCGACATATGCAAAGATTCTCCGTAAAATCATGGCCTAGAGGCAGCGCTCTAAAAATTAGCAATATCCCTGCGGAACAAACTCACGAAGAGATGCAAAATCGAGACATGCCCCGGCACATAATCCACAACAGGCGGCCAAAAGGGCGGCACAGAGATCATCACATTGGCACTGAGTGGAATCCATAGTCAATCTGGATGGTCGCTGGAAGAATGTTGTAGTATCTGCCAGCGGTTAAGATAATTCAAAATATAGAAACAGAATATTTGCCTGTAAAGGCTCCGAAGGAAAGGGGTAGTAGGCAAGAAAATGTCCTCGAAAGCAACGGGATGATGGTCGGTGGGAAACACTGCAGATGACCGGTAATGCGGACCGAACCCAACGCTCAATGCCACAGTCAAACAGAATACAAACTTTAAACTTCTCCTTTCATCCATTCTACTTTCTTGTTGTCGTCTTTTTGAATTCTTCCCTTCTGTTATCCCCACAGACCTTAATGGAGGTCGAAAATTCTCGTGGCATGCCACGATTACGAGGAGCAGCTTTGGGACGAAGAGGAGGCCACAACAAAACCTGGGTGGCAGGAGGAAGCTCTACTCAGTCAAGTCGTGCTAGCACGCCTGACAACCAACGATGGACCCGTGGAGGAGGTGCGAGAGGTGGACGAGGGACGCGTGGGGCTCGAGGTGGCCCGAAGAAGTATGCTAATGCAACCTATCGTGCTCCCCACATCGACGGTGGTGGCGAAGAGCAAAACACCGAGGGATCAGAGGCAGAGGCAGAGGCAGAGACAGGAGCAGCGGAGCAGCCTCATACTGAAGAGGAGGACAAATGGGACTTTAATGGCTTTGCCGACCCGTACGACACCGACGACATTCCTGGCCTCGAGTATATGACGTTGAAGACCGATGCTGAACGTCTAGAGTATTGGAATATGGTGCGTGACTAGGTGCCTCGCCCAGTACCCGCTTCACTTGTCTTCTTCCAGCTGAAAATAGAGCGTCAACGAGAACTTGAACGGAATATCCGCGACGGTCTGGTCGATGCGCCGGGCGTGGCGAAGTCTTTGAGCGATGCCATTGATCTCGTTGGGACCTGCCAGCAAATGTGTCCGCTTGTACAAAGTGTCAGGCGCGATAGAGAGAAACTTCTTTCAAAATTTGAAATGGTACGTCGTTATTCGCTGCAGGTGACGGCTTGCTGAAGATTTTCTAGGTTCCAGGAACAAATTACGTCGACCTCAGGCGTGCGGTGAAATACTACGAACGAGGCAGTGGAGACAGGGCACTTCCGAACGAAATACGTCCAGGACCAGTGCTCGAGAAAACACTGGACTACTTATTCCTTGAACTTATGCCCAGAGAAGGATTTTTGGCGACCCAGATGTTCATCTCGGACCGGTCACGGGCAGTACGGAACGATTTTTCCCTGCAGCGGATCGCTGATGCTCGTTCCATCCTATGTCACGACCGCTGCGCTCGTTTCCATATATTATCTTTGCACTTGGGCAGAGACATCAAGACTCTCGATCTGCAGACAGAAGCTTTACTTCTATCCAACAGTCGGTGAATTCTCTCTGATACTTGGCATCCTTCATTGAAGACTCCTTTAGCGCTCACGAGCTTGAAGGAAGCATACGAGGACCTCATAGACAAGTATAGGTCCCCGACGGAACTCGAAGTTTCGTGTCTATCATCGCCTATTTCTCATCCGAGAGAAAAGAGCAGACCAAATCGTGGTCACACCCGATGTTGCTTCGAATCGGATCTTCATCCTTGCTTCACAGTTTCCGCGAGGAAGTGCGGCGAGCGAGCGCGCCCATAGGAAGAACGTCCAAACTCGTCGCAGATGAGAAGTGCATGGAGATCTTTGGCGAGCTTGCTCAGGCTGTCAGAGAGAACGGGAACAAGATATTCACCTATCTCATGGCATGCCTGTTCGAGTATTTGTTTGGAAAGGACACGATTGAGGGGATAGAAGATCTCCGGGAGGGTTTGACTGACCAGGATATCATCTATGGGAACTACGGAGGATCGGACGAGCCTGAACAGACTTCTTCATCTGAAGTAGTTGAAGAAGCTAGTGCAGAAGAAGAGGCTTACGATGAGGAGGAACTCGATGATGAGAGCGAAGAGGTGGCTGAGGAAGCTCCGGCAGCATCAGCTACAACAACGGCTCCTTTCCCTCTTCTCCAATCCTCTCCTTTTGGCTCCGCGTCCCCTGCTACACAGCCTCCCGTGAAGTCAGCGTTCGCGAACATTAAATCCACGCCCAGCACTTTTGGTGTCTTTGGTGGTACAACAGCGTTTCCAACTTCGGAGTCTACACACGCTGCGTTCCCTACTTCGACATCAACTTCGTCTAACCCCCAGTTCCCGACATCATCTTCTTTACCATCATCAACAAATGGCTTCTCTAATCAACCCACTCTACAATTCCCCTCCTCTGGCTCGCCGAGTCCGTTTGGCCAACCGGTTCGGCCTACAGAAGGTCTTGTAAATGGCTTAACGCCTCCCGCTTCATCACCCTTCGGCGGGTTTTCATCCAGTGCTTCAGGCACCGAACGGATTTCCAAGTACATCAGGGAGTCAACCTCAGCCTCCCTCATTTCCTACCTCCTCGTCTGCTCCTTTCGGATCAGGGCAGCCGTCGATTTTCTCAAGCACACCAAAGCCTCTCCAGAGCTCTCCTTCTCGGACTCTGAATCCGGCGGCGCCGTCATTTACACCTCAAGGTTCGCCAGCGGGGAATTTCGCCTCGACATTCGGGAACGGCATGAGCAGTACACCATCATTCTCATCTCCTGCACCGTCACCGTTCATTTCAAAACCCTATACCCCTCCTATCAACACACAGGCCTCTGCATTTACTTCAAACTCTTTCACACCTCCGTCCCTGCCGAAGCCCTCTACGCAGCCCCCGATTGTTACTGACTCATTCTCACCATCGGCTAGTGAACCTTCCATGCCGTCGCCTACCGTCCCTCCTCCTCTACCCAGGAAGCAGCCTATATCTCTTCCTTCGACACCAACGACAGCCTCGTCTGCGAATCCTTTGCGCGACTTCTTCAAGGGGTCATTGAAGACATCGATACCCCCTGCAACTGGAGAGCTTAGTCCGCTGATCATCACTTCTCCTACTACGTCAAGACCTGCATCGATCCGCAACTTTTCGTTTGATGATACTCCAAGGGCCGCCGATAACACGAATCCATTCGAAGCTATCAGCCCTCTCAAATCCAAAGGCAAAGGCAAAGCGTCTTCCGAGGATCTTGACAAACAAACGAAGGAAGACATGCTGGAACGAGCCGTTCGTTTTGACTGCCCGGGGCTTGCTGGTTCGGGACACTTTTGGTTGCTGGAAAGAGCGTAGCGTTGAACAGATCGCGTGGCGGAAGGCCTGCCGGTCTAGTGATGCATACAGGGAGAAGATACGCAAACAAGGTCAGGCTTCGCCAAGCAGCGAGCGAAAGCGCCGGTTATTACCCAACGGCACGCACGGGTCTGTCGCCCGGAAACGTGTTCGCCGACGCGTCAACAGCGAGTATCATCGTCCACAAACCGACGAGGAGCTAGCCCGGCGCTTCAAGGAGGTTAATCTCGTTTTCCGTCGAGGATCCAACACCGTTACTCATTGTGTTCTCTCCTCCCCCAGAACCACGAAGAGCATCAGCGGCGGTGGGCTCAAGGATCATTTCTACAGCTCATTCGAGATCATGTCAAGTTGCAGCTGTCACCGTCGGAGTGGCAGATTTGGTTATCACTGAATCCAGATAGTGATCCCACGGCGATATGGTTGGAACGCAAGTTTGACGCGCCTGCGTCGGGGCGATGGATGGGGGAGAACGTGTTTTCGATACCCTTGAGGCCTTCTGGGCCTCAGTCGGCTTCGGCTGTCGCCTGGTGTCATCATTTTTGAGTGTACACCTTTGGAGGGCATCGCGGATGATCTAGAAAGGTTGGTGATACCGTTTTCGAGGGATTAGTTTGGTGAACTCATCTACGCATGATCAGGAAATACCGACTCTTGGACGATTGCTCCCGATTGAGGGATATCATAAAGTCGCTACCGGAGAATCGGCATTATGTACCTTCGTTGTTGGTTATATGGTGGGCAGAAGAAGGAGAACGCTCAGCCGGCGTCGGAGTTTGCAGATATGGTAGGCTTCTCAGTCGATACCTTGTCTGGCATGGTTGTGCTGATTGTTTTTCTCGAAAAAGGTTCAGAAACTTGCTACGGAAGGGACAGTTGGCAGTTTCGAGATTCTTTCCATTAGCGAGCACGACCAAAGATCTTGATTTCAAGTTTGCAGGAATCTATTGGTGCACTGAACTTTGATCTCGAGGGTCCGCCTTGTGAAGGGATTGACGGTGAAAGGTGCTGTATTTCACCTTGATGCTTTTAATCATCTGGGTGCTCACGGAGGATTGCCATAGGTGTTTTGAGGCTGTTTGAGAACATCCTGGAACCTTTCATGCAAGAATGGCTTGACAATTGCTCCACGCGCGGTTCTTGTACGTCTTTCGTCTTAAATGGTCTTCGGTTGAAAACTTATCCATCCGTTCCAGTCAATTGGGTCTTATATGGGCGCTTTTTGAAGGTCGTCGTGGATCTTATGCGATTGATCGTCCGAGATTCTGCGAAGCTACTACGGATCGACGTCGAGGACAAGATACCTTCTTTTGAACCCCAGAATGTCATCGATAGCGAGTACGTGGAACGCTCGTCGCAAGATCTTGTTCTTACCCTGTTTCAGAACGGCGTTTGACAATGCGTTGTCGTGGTTGGCTGGTATCGATATTGATATCGCGACCGGCCCTATCACTCTTGACCTGCAAACGCAGCGCGACTTGGGCAGAGGTTCGCTATATCGTCTGGTTATGCTAGGGAAGAGACTGATTACATCCCACAGGGTTCCCTTCCCTCACCTTTCCTTGACCATATCCGCTCGTTGGTTCATCGCCTTGTGGATACAAAGTCCACCCAAGACGCAGGTGTTCATTCTCAAAGCCGACATTGGACCTGCGACAGAGCAATTCCGAGCTGCAGTTGAGAGATATCAGGCTCAGCTCACTCAGGCTATGGCGATGAGCGTTCGTCGCTCACCCAAGCGCCGCAGTGTCTCGACTGAGACGAGCGAAAGCGGCAGGTATGTCGCCTTTCAAGATCATTGCCGGTAGTATTTCTGACTGGTTTGCTATTGCAGTAAGCGTAGGAGGCTGTCAATGTCAGGGTCATCATCTTCTATACATTCCGAACGCAGCCCCACGCCCAGCCCAGCCCCCATGGTCAATGGTCGTACATCGCCATCCCCTGCCAGTTCAATATCGGTCTCGCAAGTCCTGAGCCGTCTTTAGTCACCGTGGCCATGCTTCGCTCGTTGACACGGAATATGAAGGAGAAATATGGGATGGAGAATTAGTTTATTGAGGATATGAATTTTAATTTATCTGATTTTTTGTATTGTTCGGCTATCAAAATTGCTGTGAATTGGCCTAAAGATAACTTTCGTTTCCCTGAGAAAGAAGCTAAACAGAGCCCGTACTGCACATGTACGAGCTGTATATTGGACACAGGATGGTATGGTTACTGAACAAGAGAAGTTGCTTAGGCAAGCATTTTGTTGTTTTCTTTCTCACCATCATCACCGCCTCTCGAATGCAGTACCGCTTGCATGCTCGTAAAAGGCATTAATTTAGTTCCCGGACAGTGCCATGGATTCGGTTGTATTCGATAGGCAGTACGCCAGCTGTTGGATCGATGCTACTTAAGGGCTTCGCTATGGAAGAAAATCCGCAAATCCGGCTCATTCATTGACTCTTATCATGGCGACGCCTAGTCATGATGTACAGCTCTTCAATTCTGAAGAAATACCCCAAGAAGACGCGCAGTATGGTGGTAGTTCGCGTTTCGGACTACCAGAAGGCGAGTGCCATCCGTTCAGTCACTGTGTCAAACTCATGGTAAACAGGCCGGGTAGGACCAGGGCACGCGAAAGCGTCTCTGGAAGATCACCAAGATCTTTGGCGAACATACTTGCGCGAAACGGCATTTTTCGAACAAGACGTGCCGGGTGTTGATCTCGACGCTGTCGATGCCTTGTTGATTATTGTACGTAGAACAAGCGGATGTTCTTTTCGTCCCCCTCATTGACTTGCTGGTTAGGTTGGGTTATCTTCTTCATCTCCCGTCGTACAACAGCCTGAGTACACAAAATGGCTCTCGAGCATCAGTGCCGAGCTGTATATCGTGGCTGCCATCCTTTCTCGCCGTCTCTTCCTCAGCCTCGATTATGGCTAGCGCACTACGACGGTGATCCTCGGACTCCTTTAACATCACGTATCAATGGTGGAGTCAAGATGTGCTTATTACGGGACCATAGGGATGGTGCCCGGTTGGTTTCCCTGACTCGGGCACCCTTCTATGCCATACTCTTCGGGGCTGTTTAGAAAAGTCTCAAGCTCTCCGAGCTACAGATGGAAGGCTTGGGCGCGGGTTCTCTTGAATATTCTGCATGCAAAGACTGGACTCAAAATTAATTATCCATATTGTAATGGATTTTTGATCTAGCGAGTTGACGCTTATTCGTCGAATTTGGGGTGATGATTATGGTGCTACTTTGAAGCATCGTGAAAACGCGTTCGGGAGCCCTTAACACAGAGGCGGCTCAATTACTATCGAATCTGACCTCATCCACCGTTCTGAGGCGTCTCTCTCCCGGCCCCTTCCACCATTTGCCGTTGACGAAAAGTCCTACAACCTTAAACTGTCCTATAGCATTCTTCCATTCCGACATGACAAGCAATTCTCAAGTTTGGATGACAGACGTTCGTTCCCGGGCAGTCCCAGCTCGAAGCCTAGGGAAGATGGTTTTAAAGATGGTTCAACCTCCCCTGCTGTCTTTCCAGACATCAGATATTCTCGTGATTTCGATGAGTATATTAGAACGTGGGAAGTGTCTATGAGCGAGGAGGAAGCGTATGAGGAGGAGCTCAAGTCGCTACAGGGGACGACGGTACCATACTGTTATGACATACATACGGTCAATATTTCGCCTCCTTTGTTCGTTTATTAGAATACTGACCTTCTACTCTGTGCAAAGGTTATCATGGAGAATGAAGAAGAGGCTGATGTTCTCACCGTGGAGTATGTCGAAGGCAAGAGTCTCTGGGATTGGCTCTCAAAGCAACACAAGCACGCAAAACCTGAAGATCTAGGAGACAGAGAAGCCGAGTACGTGGAAGAGACCGAGAGTGTGGTAAGTTTTCTTTTCTGTCAAGGTTGAGAGTCAAATGCTTATCCATGCCCAGTCTAGCGGTTCGCGTATGCGGATAAGACCCCGCCCGTGACTTTTATGGAGTCTGTCTCATGGTGATGTCAGACCTCTGCCACTACCGCAATTATCTCAGAAATGGCCGACAGCGAGATTGACCTCGTCGACCAGGACACTCTACGTACCTATTACGAGGAACTTGTGGAGCGCCGTGAAAAGGCGTTCAGGAACCCCTTGCGCGAAGGCTGCTCATTCCCCATCGACTTTGACCCCCATCCACCGGGATCCGGCGACTCTCCCCGCCCCCTTCCCCTATTCGCCGTTAATGGAGGGTCCTACAGAGTTATATTAACTTATGCCATCGTTCCATATCGACATGATAAACAACTCTCCCAAATTTGGATCGCAGACGTTATTTCCCCAGAGGACCCGACCCAAAGCCTGGGTAAGGTCGTTTTAAAGATCGTCCAGCCTTCTCTGCTACCTCTGCCAGACATTGAATATCACTATGAAATCTACGATTATCTCAGACCATGGGTCGTGTCTACCAGCGAGGAGAAAGCGTATGGGGAGCTCAAGTCATTGGAAGGGACAACAATACCATACTTTTATGGCTTGTACCCGGTTACTTCACTTCCTTCAATCGTTCCACTTCAGTACTGACTTCTCACGTAGGTTATGATGCCGAATGGTGAAGACTCTGATGTTCTCGTTATGGAGTATATCGAAGGGAAGAGTCTCAAGGATTGGCTCTCCGAGCGAAAACACGCAAAGCCCGAAGATCTGGGAGACAGAGAAGCCGAGTACGTGGAGGATACCAAGAGAATTGTGAGTTTATCTCGACCGGAGCTAGCGGTAGAATGCTTATCACCGTACAGTTTAAAAAGGCGATAGCTGGCATCCACTCTATCAACAAGCTAGGCGTTGCCTACTGTCAGCTCGATGAGACAAATATCATCCTCACTCCTGATCCTTCTGGAACGCCAGTCTTCATTGACTTTGCCCTCACTAACTGTCACATCAGTGCAAAGGACGTCACAGTGTTATACATTAATGATCTGCAAGTGAGTTATCCTCTACGGGAATGCTGTGAGACACACAACGAAGTCCTGGCAGACTGGGTAGAGGAGGAAATCAAAAAATCTGAAGAAACGTGGTTTCGATCTGATGTCGATGAGCCTAGTGAAACAACCTGATGATTGTAAAGTATATTTTTTATGTATGTATTACTTGCGCTTTCAATGTCCATTTTTGCTCTATCACAGAACGGTCGTGTTTACGCACCAGTCTTCACGCGAAGCGGTCTTCTAAAACGTGCGAGCATAATTGAATGAGTCAAATATGATGATTTATATGCCGCAAAGTTCGTGCCGATACCTTTCCCTTGGCGTGTTGGCCCATTACGACTTACATATCGCGTTGCCGATGCATTGCGTAGATATGTTCCCCGTCAACGCCAGTGCTTACTGATGGGTGTCGTGTATATTGGCCTGTAACGATATCTCCCCGTTCTCCTCAGCCTCGATGTCTCTCTTCAAACTCGCTGATGATCCTCCCATTAAGCTCGGCATATACCGTGTTTTGTTTTCACGCGCAGGAGTGAGGGTCTCCCCGCTGACCCTCGGCGCCATGAGTATCGGTGATAAATGGGCAGTGCATGGTATGGGAGCGATGAACAAGGAGTCCAGTTTCCAGCTCCTAGACGCGTATTTCGATATGGGCGGGATCTTTATTGATACCGCGAACACATAGTAAGTTGCCAATTTGTCATCTTCTATCAAGGTCTTATAAACGATGCTTTAGCCAAGATCAGTCCTCTGAAGAGTTCATTGGTGAATGGACAGAGAAACGAGGGATAAGAGACCCGTCACCAGCTTGTCATTGCTACCAAGGTAAATCATTTCCTGCCTCTAGTTTCCTACAATTAAATCCACAAACTACACCTAGTACACTGCCTCAAATTACCAGCTCAACAACAGTGACATTGCCCAAAAAGTGAACTACGTAGGGAATAGCACCAATTCTATGCATATCAGCGTGAAAGCGAGTCTCAAGAAACTCCGAACAACATACATCGACATCCTCTACGTGCACTGGTGGGATTACGAGACGTCGATTCCAGAAGTCATGGATAACCTGCACAGCCTCGTCGCGGGGCGGAAGGTTCTCTACCTCGAGATCTCTGACACCCCCGCATGGGTCGTTTCGCAAGCCAACCAGTATGCCATGGACCATGGTAAGACGCCGTTCGTCGTCTACTGGCAGGGCAGATGGGGCATCCTGGATCGTTCGTTCGAGTGGGAGATCATACCCATGGCCAAGTCTCTGGGTTTGGCGCTCGCTCCATGGGGTGTACTTGGGCAAGGGAAGCTACGGTCCGACGCGGAAGAACAGAGGAGGAAGGAGAGTGGGGAGAAAGGAAGGAATATCACGGGCCTGCCAGCTTGGGAGCGTACTGAGGTGGAGGCCAAGGTTTCCAGGGCCTTAGAGAAGGTCGCAGCTGAAATTGGTGCCAAGAGCATGACGGCTGGTACGTGGAGCTATTTATTCTGCGTCGTGATATTTTCTAACAGGTCCTTGGGTAGTCGCTATTGCATACGTGATGCAGAAAGCACCGTATGTATTCCCGATCATTGGAGGTCGGAAGGTGGAGCACATCGAGGCGAATATAGAGGCGCTGGATATATTATTGTCGAAGGAGCAGGTCGAGTATTTGAAGGGTGTCGTGCCTTTTGATCCCGGGTTCCCTACGACGATGATCGTGAGCTACTCTCTTTTCCTCTTTTTTCTGTCGGTCTCATTAAGGACGTAGGGTAACGGATCGAGGTATAACCCATTTCTTGCATCGACCTCAAAGATGGCGAAACTGCCAGCATTGCAGCCTATTAAATCTTGATTGTCTGCATACTAGCAACTGAATGAATGACCTATCTTACCAAATTTGCCTGAAGTGCTTGAAGATTCATGTAGACCTAAAGCATCGCGACTATTCCCAAAGCTGAGAGCAATGGTTGACAATTTCCGTGCGTAAAAAGGGAAGGTATAATGCAAGTCAATGCCATTCCAAAATGCCCTGATAATAATTACTACGATGCATACGACACAGTGACACCCCCCGTGTTCGCGTCCGTTGATGATGACGGCGCCTGCAGAGGAACTTGAAAGTCTACCCACTTCAACTGTGGGTCATCCAATGGAATTGCTTGCTCGTATCTGCCGACAATTTCCGCAAACTCCCTCACAAGCATGGCGGTATCCTCAACCTCTGGCAGATATCTAACGTTTCGCCAGACCCAGGTGCAAATCCAGTCCACAATGCAAGGCCATATTCCTTCAAAACCCGGCTTAGCGGTTTGCTCCCGAACATCAAAAGCCAACCCTCTTTTGTAATGAAGGGCGTCTGTGGTTGACCCATAAATTGCCTTGTTGGCGAATGACTCATTCGTTGCACACCAGAGGAGGCACCAGGCAAACGATTCAAGGTCATGCCAATACCTCCGCTTAACCGAACCGTTGGCCCTCTTCAGCAATTCCAGCGCCATGAACGGTTGCGTCCCCGTCCACTCCCAGCCTTTTTTCTGTGGTGATACGTCTCCAGGATTCATAAGTGCAGCTAGGTCAAAGTCATTCAAGATGCCCTTCCCAACAACCACATCGTACATCAAATTATTGTTACTGATGTCGCCATGTGCTACACCAATGCACCAGAGCAGATAGTGGCCTGTAATAAGCATGTTGTCAGGAAAGAATAATGTGAAAACAATACAACGTACAACGGATGAGCTCCCAGAATCCCTTCCAGAAATCCCGTCCATTACATTTCTCGATAGAGTATAGTTTGTGACAGACCATCCAGAGCAGGGTGCGTGAGCGCTCAACAGGGAGACAGAGGAGTTGACGAATGATGGCAGTCGATGTAAACTTGACCTCTTGCCAGCTAACGACCGTCGGAACGTGCTCAAGGACGTATGCCCTGAATTCTCCAAGATATTGATTCGCCCTAGAAATAGCCTCTGCGATAATCTGAGGTTCCCTATCTTGGGAATTCTCCGGCCATGCTGCCTTGAAGAATAAAGGGTGTGATTTCCTAGTCGAACCTGGAAGGTCGGAGAGAGTGTTCTGGGAGCTTTGTTGTCGCACTGGAAAACTCGGCGATGTGGTTTGAGGAGTATTCGAGGCGTTGGGGATGGAACTAGGACTGGGCGGTGCCGAGGTGGTAATGGGAGCATTGGATGATGCATCGTGGGGTCCTTGAGGAATGATCGACTGCCCGGAGCCGTCAAGAACATGGGAGGTAGCCACATCGGACGACCGTACATCTGCCCCAAATGTTCGGCGTCCCACAAGTTGGAAACGCGTTCCTTTGGCTTTGTCGGACTCGAGGCAGAAGGAGACTGGTCCGTTCTCTGTCGTTTGAGATATCTGGATGTCAGAGAATCCCCACATCACAGCATCAAACCGTTGAAGAATAATGACCATCACCACAAACAGTGGAAGTTGTCCGATGATGTCAATAGATTGTGTCATGATGCAGCCCTCGGTATCGTACCAGCGAAGACTGAGCATATTATCTATAGATTTCATGTCAGCTTGATGAGGGCGTAAGGATGAGGAATCACAACCTTCAAGTAGAAGAACGATGCTATGGGTGACATTCCATGCCGCTCAAAGATGCTCGATGGCATAATACGCGCACTGAATCTCTGCGGGAAAGCGAGGTGGATCGGGATCAGATGTCTTGCGCTTCTTGTGTGAGGACGTCGTTTCCGTTTGTGACTCCTCCACATCTGCATGATTACGTTTCTTCTCACAGCTGCGGGAAGAAGCAGCTCCAGTGGAAGAACTCGAAGGTTGACTGGCTAATTGACGTTTAACTTCGCTCTTCGTGTCACTAGACTGTAGAACATCAGATGTAGGAGTCGAAGAAGCTGGAAGTAGAATATCAGAACATATCAAAGTCGTAAATTGAATGAGGAACGTACTGCCGCCCAACACCTGGTCCTTGGACATAGGCTGATCAAGCAGCGCACTTTCGATGACTCTGAGCGCGTCCAATTCGATGGAACAATGAACGTCTAGCCAACTTGTCTTTTTGTCGGTGCCTTTCTGTGCCCACTTGCATTTCTCAGACTCGGTCTCAACCAACTGTACCCAGGATCGATAATCGGAATCTTTGCACATATCATCGAGCTTGAGGAGGTGAGATAGTTGGACGATGATGTTATCGGGCTTGCGCTTCGCTGCCGGTGAGTCCTTACGGAGTTGCATTGATTCGATGACCAGGGGATCATTTGGAATGACAATGATTCGGTGGTAGTCGTTTAAGCATGGTAGCCGGCCAAAAAGATGCCCATCATACTCAACCATAATGGTATTTATGACGGCCGAGATCGGGAGGCAGCGCTGCTTCCTGGACTTTGCCTGGAAACTGAGAGGTGTCAGTATACACATTGAAAAGATAAATTATGACGTACAAGTCCTTGAGATGCGATCTCATTGTTTCCGACGTCTCCGACCGGGTCGAGGTCTGCGTCTTGGGCTTGGTCTCTAGGGAAATCTCTGATGGTGAGAGTTCAGGCAAGGTCTTTGCTGACGTCGGAAGACTAGAATTGCAGAAATTGACAGCATCTTCAAGCATCTCGTCAAAGAGCTGGTCGGCGTCGGATTTCGCTGTGTCCAAGGCCACCGTACCCTTTCCGTCAGCAGATTCACCTAGCAACATCCTCGCGAGCAGGGACACGAATTCTACTTTTTGTCTGCCTTCTAGATCGATTTCAACGGATCTGACTTTGTCTGGTAGATAGGCCCTAGGTAGATATAAGCTTTGACGCCGTTGAACGCGAAACGGACGCCTGAGGTCGCGTACCTCTCGTACTGGTCGAACATAGCATTCAAAGCAGTGTCACGGTTCTGTGATGTGGGTTCGACTTTGGTTCCCTCGTCGGTGTCCTCTGGAGGTGTGTTAGTCACTATGGCAGTTGAGGAAAGAGAGGTAGTGAAGTAAGGTAATAGAAAACGATTTGGTCAGATGGCGTAGGTAAACAGATACATATCGATAACGTCAATCCGACTCGTGACCTTATCTTGGCGAAGTATAACCAGCGCAGCAGTGTTGGATCTCTAAGGTCTTCCGATACTTTCTATCTGAGGAGTCTCTGGTATGTCCGATCCAATGATCCATCATTTCTTGCAGCATCCATGCCCGTCGAAAACCAACTTCGATCGATACTCGTGCTACCTCTTCGTCTCCGCTTTTCAAGCATAAGCCAGCGCTTCAGTCTTAACGGCGGTTTCGACTCTGCCCGCCACCACTCCCTGGCCCCACCGCAGCTCCTTTTCTCATTTCTTCTTCATCCAACCCAGCCTCGGCCAAGATCTTCTCCACTTCTTGGAGGATAGGCTTATATTCCGCTGCGAAAATGCGACTTCTTAGCCCCGTCAAGTAGAACAGAGGATCATACGTACCATATCGCTCTTTAGCACGCGTAAATCCATCCCGACGGAGTTGCTTCCCTCGGCTGTCACTCGTCGCGTGGGCCTTCTGTGCCCAGTATTCCCCTATAAACGCGTCAGCGCGTAAACGGTTATACTTAATGGAAGAGACGCACGGGACCGAGAGTAGAACATGGCAAGCGTCTCTCCGGGTAACGGCGTACTGATAACATCTTCGGCAGAACGTGTATTATCCCGTGCGACACCCATGAAAGTCGTTGCCTGAGCGCGCAAAGCATCCTAAGGACCTCCTTCAGAAAGGTAATGTAGCTCTGAAAATGACGTGACAAACCTTCTCAGCTTGTGTCTCCGGAACTTCCTCAACTTCTTTGAGCATGGCAATTTCGTCGGGTTCTTTATCAAAGGTGGCTGCCTCGTCATCTCCAATCATAGTCTCGTCATGACCATCTTCGTCGTCGTCGTCGTCTCCATCATCATCCTCACTATCGCTACTGCTCTCGTCGTCACCCTCAACTATGACGACTCCGCTTTCTTTCAAGCACACATATCGGTCCATCTTGTCGAGCTGCAGCGAATAAAAGTCGTCGAGTGTATACTCGCGCGAGCCTTTTTCGAATATGCCACCATATCTGTGCTTGTTGATCAATTACGCCCACACAGCAGAACACTCCTGTCATGCCTAAGTTTCCGCACAAAGGAAACATATAGCGGCACTGAAAAAGTTTCCATATACAGTTTCCGTCAGGTCAGAAACTGGATTCTCCCTGCCAAACACTGATTTCAGGCTGACGGAAATCTATCTGAGGAAACTTTTTCAGTTCGGCGAACCGTTTCTGTCTGATTGCCTTCGTGCGGAAACAATTGGAGGGACAATAGTGGAAAGGCACAACTCTTACAAATAGAGTGTGTTGCGCAAAACAGCAAGCATGGCATTATACCGAGGTAGAGGAAGCGTCTGGCTAGGATCATCGGGGTCCACCTCGGCATCCTGAGAAAGGGCATCCGTTTCCTGCAATGTCGCCATCAACAAGGTATCTAGCAAGCGAAGGATGAGGGTCCTTACCATCGTGTCGTCGTCGCCGTCGTCCTCTTTCTTCGTTGGTTTCTTCTTCTTAGTCCCTCCAGCCTTCTTAGGTCGCTTTAACGTCATCGACACCCACTTCCCCTTCCCCGTCCACTGGTAGCCGTTCCTGTACAGAAACATCAGCAAAGGCGACCGAAACACATTCATTAGTACTTACAGATCGTTCCAGAATACACTCTCGAAGCGTCTCCTCCGATGTGTCCTCATCTGTCACTCCCCCAAACATCACTCCCGTGTTTCTCGGAGCCCACGCCGCCATAGTACATCCTGAACGTAGCGATGGAGCATAGGCCGTCGAAGGTCTCTTCCGGCGTTCCCATTTGAGTTTCAAGGGGTCTGCCGTCGATTTTCCTTCCTGCCGGCATTTCGAGCCACATTCTGGGATCTTGATAAGTAAGAAGACACGTTGACCATGAGATAGTTTACTTGAGAAACCAGGTATCTTCGAGCATGATACCGATCGGGCGCTTTCCTTTAACGTACTCTTTGCAGTAGCCGCCTGTACGAATGTGTCAGGATATGGAATATTCGACCCACGGGTATTACTCACCATGTAGAACGATTCCATCAGGTGTCGAAAGAAAAGAAAAGCCACTTCTTGCTCTGTATAAACGGGTTAACATTAAGACAAGACAAAGACATGAAGACACCGTTCACGTACGAAGGACGTGGTTCCGTATCCTTGAACTCTACTTGCCGCCACTTGTACTCTTGCGTGTCGAAGAGCCAAAGATCGTTCAGATATCGAGCTACTACCGAGTTAGTGGGTGAGATCCACGATTCATACAGCTGGACGTACTTGTTACGCCTGGGTCGTAAAATCCACCAAAGAGGACAATATATTGTTTCCAAATGGCCATCCTAGCATGAAATCAGAGAAATGTCGAGACGGCAACGATATTAGTGACCTATGTCCGGAACGCGCGCTTGGCCGAATCTTGGTGTCAATCCTGTCCCACGAATGAGTCGTTATATCGAAGCACCAGAAATCGCGGTAATGGTGGAACGTGTTTTGGTGCAAGGAGGAGAATTCGCCGCCTATTGATACTGCGAATGAAAACATGGAGAAAAAGAAGATCTGGATCACCGACCAAATAGGAATATCTTTCCGCCACTTGAAGGCGACGCTACCACAGCATGTGCCGACCTAGGTCCAGGACAAATTTTCGATACAAACCTCCGCCATTCATCCTACAATCCAGTCAGTGTGTGGTGCAGAAAAATTTTCCGCCTGTCGACACACCTTCTCGGGCGAATAGCGAAAGACATCGTTGTACTAGGACATGTCAGATGAAGGGATCAGACACCGGTGTAGCAACCTACAAAGTACTGTGAAGGATGCATCAGCCAAACGAAAACAACAAGGCCTGCGGCACGTACTGCTTTCCCATCGTCGCTAAAAAATTCGCCTCCAATGCACCAAAGATGATTCCCGTTTGGACACGCGGTCAGCGTCGCGTTTACACGTCGACTGGGTGGTCCCTCGACGAGTTCCTCGGTCACAGTATGAGCTTCTTCCCATTCCCGCTGCATCTACTAAGAGCGGTATAATCATTGATCTTGAGAAATGTCGAGAGGAAGAAGAAATACCCTTTCGAGTATCCCTTCGAGGTCGTCATCGTCCTCCTCGACTTCATCCTTGGATTTTGAAACTTTTTTCTTCTCCTTGCGCTCGACTTTTTGGGCTGCTTTGGCCTTTTTTGCAGCTTTTGCAGTTGCCTTCGTGCCTGCTGGGGCTTTCTTCTTGGCCATTTGAGAGAGGAGAGGAGAACAAAGCAAGACGGTCGAAAGAGCTTGGAATAGCGAGGGTGAGCCCGGCAAAAGCCGAACTTGAGAAAACTCTTTTCTGATATCTCGGCCCGGGCTCCGGATACCGTCCCGACAGTTCCTTCCGTTAACTTCGACCTCCAACAGCCTAGTACTAGTTGACAGCAGTTGCCTTCCACCTGGGCAAAGTTCGTGAACTTTCACTATCAAGAGAAATGAATCACTAGAAGAAATCTCATAAAATGCAACCAAGGGCCTCAGGTACGTATCTTGTCACAGTTCGAAAAGTTCTCAGATTTAAGACGAATCAGCGATTTTGTAGCAACTCCCTTTCTGATCACGATATCTTGTGGACCTGATAACGTGGACAACAGCTTACAAGGGGGCCTGACAAGTTACATATTGGCTAATGCAAATGGCCACCTAGTATACCATCATTTCCAAGCCGAAACATTACGCGTCGGACGGACGGCTACAAATATATTACTTCCCCTACCCGCACATTCTCACCACCACCGTTGCTGACTGATGCCTAAGCTTACAAATGCGCGTTGGTTTTTCTCATATAACACGGCCTGCAGCTACCTTAATGTCATAACCACCCCATCATGTCTCTCTTCCAAGCTGCCAGCGATCCTCCTTCCAAGCTCGGTATCTATCGCATCCTATCCTCTCGTGCAGGGGTGAGGGTCTCACCTCTAGCTCTCGGCGCTATGAGCATCGGTGATAAATGGGAGGCCTTTGGTATGGGTTCGATGAATAAGGAGTCTAGTTTCAAGCTACTGGACGCGTATTTTGATATGGGCGGAAACTTCATCGACACTGCGAATGGCTAGTAAGTAACTGGTCGATTCACACCACTCCTGTCCTAAGTCCCATGTTCTACAGCCAGGCAGAGACATCCGAACAGTTCATTGGCGAATGGGCGGAGAAGCGAGGAATACGGGATCAGTTGATTATCGCGACGAAGGTACGTTCGATACCACCTAGCCTCGGTGTACTGCGTGCAAGGACTAATGGGGCCCATTTGACAGTACACTTCCCACTTCAAGCGTGGAGATGACTCTATCGCGCAGAAGGTTAACTACGTAGGTAACAGTACCAAGTCTATGCATATCAGCGTGGAAGCGAGCCTTAAAAAACTCCGAACGTCGTACATCGACATCCTATACGTTCACTGGTGGGACTACGAGACATCGATTCCAGAAATCATGGACAGCCTTCACAACCTCGTCGCAGCGCGAAAGGTCCTCTACCTCGGTATCTCCGATACCCCCGCATGGATCGTATCTCAAGCGAATCAGTACGCTACTGATCACGGCAAGACGCCATTCGTCGTGTACCAAGGTAGATGGAGTATCTTGGATCGCTCCTTTGAGCGCGACATCATCCCCATGGCCAAATTATTGGGCTTGGCACTCTGCCCATGGGCCGTACTGGGAGGCGGGAAGTTACGGACGGACGAGGAGGAACAACGTCGGAGGGAGACGGGGGAGAATGGACGCACTGTATTTGGTCCATCCTGGGAGCGTACAGAGGAAGAAGTGAAAGTCTGTAAGGCATTGGAGAAGGTAGCAGTCGAGGTTGGTGCAGGGTCCAACATTACGGCGGGTGAGTTGGAATCACCCTCGATTTTATGCGGCAGATCTCTGAAATCCGGGTTTCAGTCGCGATTGCATATGTGATGCAGAAAACACCCTATGTTTTCCCAATCATCGGAGGTCGAAAAGTAGAACAGCTCGAGGCGAACGTAAAAGCGCTGGATATTTCGTTATCGAAGGAGCAGATTGAATACTTGGACGGAGCCATGCCTTTTGATCCCGGGTTCCCTACGACGATCATTGTGCGTTTTGTTCTACCCTTTTTCTCTGGGAATTTTTTTCTGATGAAGGATGTAGGGTGATGGGACGAGCTATAGTTTCCTCCTCGCGTCAGTTGCGAAGATGGCAAAGCAGCCTGGTCTCCAACCTATCAGACCTTGATCAAATGTGACTCTTATGGCTAATGAATGCTTTCGGCATTTTTGTATAATGAGATGTGCACTTGTATAATTTGAATCCAACCCCGTAGGCATAAGAAGTAATCAGATTCATGCATTCTTCCATCCTCGTGTCGACTGAATGCGTAACTAGATTCGAGATGTATCATGGTGTGGTCACCATGGTCATTGTCGAATGTCGCTTTCTAACCTCCTCCTTTCAGGATGGTCCGTTTTCGTTCTCTTTCAAGGTATTCTGACTCCGAGAAATTCCATAGTGGACCTAAGGAGTGGGGTATACGCCAATGAACTGATGTTATGCTCCCTTGCGTCTACTAGTTGCCTCTACTCCATGAAATTTACGATGATAGCAGAAATCTTCATCAAGATACGTACACAAATTCCTGGGCTTTATCACGAAAGTTGACACTTAGTTCATAATCACGTCTACAGGCTGGAAGGCAAAGTTTCGAGTAACATTTACATGATATGCATCCAGACTATGATGTAACATCCTATCCAATGGTTAATACAGTGAACGTAACGAAACCTATGGATAAATTTGATTGCTGCCACTATAATTGAATTTCGTTGCACAAACACGTATATCTTGGATAGCTATACGAAAACCGGGAACATTCAGAGCAACAATTGATTAACAGATGATCAAGGCTTGATAGGTTGCAAAGCCGGTAGCTTCGCCATCTTCGCAGTCGACGCGAGGAAGATATTGTAATTGCTTCCGTCGCCCTATATCCTCCATCAGACGGGGATTCCAAAGAAGAGGATAAAACTAAACTCACAATCATTGTCGTCGGGAACCCAGGATCAAAAGGCACAACGCTATCCAAGTAATCCATCTGCTCCTTAGACAACGAAACATCCAGCGCCGCTAAGTTCGCCTTGAGGTGTTCCACTTTCCGGCCTCCGAGAATTGGGAAGACGTAAGGTGTTTTGTGCATCAAGTACGCGATCGCAACTGCACCCATACTTGTCAGAAGTCTTCGGCATAGTAAATGGCTACCGATTCACCCGCCCTGATGTTGGACCCGACGCCAACCTCGGCTGCTACCTTCTCCAACGCCTTACAAACCTTCACCTCAACCTCGGTACGTTGCCAATCTCCAAACATCATACGTCCCTTCTCTCCCGTCTCCCGACGCTGCTGCTCCTCTGCGTCCGTCCGAAGCTTCCCTTCCGCAATTACACACCATGGAGAGATCGCCATACCCAGAGACTTGGCCATGGGAACGATCTCGCGCTCCAACGAGCGGTCCAAAATATTCCATTTACCCTGGTAGATGACGAAGGGTGTCTTTCCGTGATCAATGGCGTACTGGTTGGCTTGGGAGACAACCCATGCGGGAGTGTCGGAGATCCCGAGGTAGAGGACCTTTCGCGCTGCGACGAGGTTGTGAAGGCTGTCCATGATTTCTGGGATTGATGTCTCGTAGGTCCCACCAATGAAGGTAGAGAATATCGATGTACGAGGTTCGGAGTTTTTTGAGACTCGCTTCGACGCTGAGGTGCATAGACTTGGTACTGTTGCCTACGTAGTTGACCTTCTGCGCGATAGCGTCATTTCCACGCTTGAAGTGGGAAGTGTACTGCCAAATGGTTCCCATCAGTCCTTGCACGCAGTACACCGAGGCTAGGTGGTATCGAACGTACCTTCGTCGCAATAATCAATTGATCCCGTATTCCTCGCTTCTCTGTCCATTCGCCAATGAATTGTTCGGATGTCTCATCTTGACTGTACGACGTAGGGATTAGAATAGAAATGGTTTGAATGGGCCAGTGACTTACTAGTTATTCGCAGTATCGATGTAGTTTCCTCCCATATCAAAATACGCGTCCAGAAGCTTGAAGCTAGACTCCTTATTCATCGAGCCCATACCGAACGCGTCCCATTTGTCACCGATGCTCATGGCGCCGAGGGCCAAAGGAGACACCCTCACACCTGCGCGAGAGGACAGGACGCGATAGATACCGAGCTTGGTAGGAGGGTCGTTGGCAGGTTGGAAGAGAGACATGATGGAGTGGTTAGGGTACTACAGACAACTGCTGGCAATGTTAAGTATATATATGAAAACATAGGATATTTTTAATCCTCAAGATATCAGTCAGCGACGGTGGTGGTGAGAACGCGCAGTGAAAGGAAGCAAAAATGTTTGACACAAGATTTGCAGCCGTCCATCCACGCAAGCTTTCGGCAACGGAATATCCATTGTTGTAGAGAAGCCCACGTGGAAATGCTCGGATCAACGACGTGCCGGCGGTTCGTGCTTTCACTATGGTGCTCTGTCTGACAACTGTCTGAGTCGACTTTTAGAAAATATATTATTATAGCTCCAACAAATTTTCTACTTTTTACTTCTAGTAATGAATCCCTCGAAGAGATCGACATCGACATCCGCTTTTCAATCCTCCTCAATAATACTTCGAATGCTTATGCCTTAGTTCGACTTCTCGGCTCAGCTACTAGGCCCGGGCGCCGGATATTGCTTCTCGCATTCCAGATCAGAGGTCCTGCTATTTCAAGCTGCAATGGTACCAGCTTCAAGCGATATAATCTCTGTAGCTAGGCTCAGCACGCCTCAAAGCAAGCGCAGTCACTCAGTACTACTAGTACTTATACACATGCTCAATTGATTCGCAGGGGGACAGAAAACGAATGTATGAAGGTCAGACCGCCTTCGTTATTGACTACTAATTCGCGACACTCAGCCTGACTTATGGTGTTGATTTGCTGTCTTGCCTCGCGATCGATCCACTCCGATCCACCGTGACGCGCTGACGGGTGCGGGATTTCCCGAAATGGAAGTTCACAATCCCCGCGGAAAATCCATTATCCGAGGCGTGAACTCATACCACCATCTGCCTGTCAATTTCTTTTTCATCGATATCAGAAATCCTAGATTATTGAAGGTTTGAGTTCACGGCTTCAACGCCACATCTTATTTATACCTATTTACCATTTTACTTTACTTTGACATTTTCGTACCTATCGTAACTTGACTCCGACCACCCACTGTCTCCGTACCTACGACAGAATATACCTGCCTTTCGAGTCAACCACGTCCTCTTTCCGAGTCGCCACCACCTAAACTCCAACATAGATTTATCCCTCAAGTTTCGCTTATGTGGTATGCTCGAAAAACTATCAAGGTCTATATTACTTTCAGTGTGGTTGCAGTAAGAGCTTGTAAGAACTGAGGCCATCATGGCAGGCTTCAGGCGTGCTCACTCCTCCTACTAACCCTTTTCCCGTGATTTTTCAAGCTTACAGTGCTGGGATCATCTTCTATTGTCTGCTCGGATCGATATTTCGTTGGCCAGTGGCTACCAAGGCGGTGAAATAACTGAGGTTCCTAACCATCTCCTTTTTTTACGACAGTTCGAAGAGGATCGTTAAATTTTCGGTCGTGCCTCGTATTCTTGGTCGGCGGAGATGGTAGTCGATTGCGATGTATCACGATGGTCTGTTTGCGTTCTCTTTAAAGGCAGTCTGGCACTGAGTACTGAATATTGATTCCGCAGTGGACGTAAGGTGGTGGGGCGCACGCCAAAGAGCTGATTTTACGCGTCTCCCTCCCACAGATGAAGATGAGGGTCTCTGTTGCGTCACAAAAGCTGTCACGCGTGTATCGATGGCTTAATGTCGGTCTTTTTATTGTCGTTTAGAATTTCACCCGAATAGAAACCCGCATCCATTCCTGCAGAAGACCGGCCCAACTACGCTGAAAGGCCTGCTGACTCGTGGATGCTCAACGTATCACTCGCTTTAGTTCCTTCCTTCTTGCCTTGGAACAGATGATGCTACGTTTACGCGTTGTATTACTGAAGGTCGCATCCGTATCCACTGACAGCCACGTCTAGGCACCTTCGGTATTAGTTCGAATTGGCACCGCAGTGTGTAAGTTAATAAACTTCGATAAAACTTTACGATTGATTACGCTCAACTTTGATAGCGGAGAAGACAAAACGTAAAATTTCTCGGGGCCGGTGGAAGGTTCGGGCCGACTTCCTGACGCTCGAAAACGAACTGTACCCCTATTGTTTTAACTTTCTCATGGATAATATCAGTTTACAGCTAGCGCAGCAAGTTTAGTACGACTCCACCGGCAGGCTACTCTCTGATAATGACGTCCCTGTGTTTCCATTCCCCCAATTTAGTGTCGGATCTACAGTTTTGGCCGAGACGATGCACCAAAAATAAGTTTCGGTCGACGACGTCCGCGTTGTCGGTGAATCATCCGATTTATTCATGGCATCCACGGGTAACGCATTCTCGAAACGACATGAGGCCGGGTGATATAAAGCCTTCAGTCTGATTTCCCGTTTTTCACAACCTCTTTTCATGGCGACTCCCACTACACTCTCGCGCGAAGGAACTATCGCGGAGGTCCCCGTTTCCCCTGATGGTACTCCTTCAGCTACTCCACAGCCGAGGAAGGATAAGACCCAAATTCAGCTAACCGACCAGACCAACGTTCTCCCATTCAGGAAAGTCGTCGCGGTATTTTTCGGGCTGGGTCTTTGTGTTTTCGTGACTGCGCTCGACTCTGTCAGTGTAGCTACGTCTCTAGCCACGATCAATACCGCGTTCCATGCGGGTTCTGTGATCTCGTGGGTGCCGTCGGCGTATATGCTGGTTTCGACAGCGTTTCAGCCTCTGTATGGACGGTTCAGCGATATTTTTGGGAGAAAGGCAGCGTTGACGATGGCCATGTCGATATTCATGATCGGAAACTTGGTTGCAGGGTTTTCGAAGAATATTATCCAGCTGATCGTGTGTAGAGGATTTGCTGGTGCTGGGGGTGGTGGCATCGTCAGTATGATGCAAATCGTGGTGTCTGATATTGTGACCTTGAGGGATAGGTGAGTAAATGTTACTGTCATCTGCACTGTTTTCTCATGCACATGCAGGGGAAAATATCAAGGTATTATTCAAGGAGTCGTCGCGATTGGATACACCGTTGGCCCTCTCATCGGGGGTGCTCTATCCCAGAGCATCGGTTGGAGGGTAGGTCTCTTATTTCCTTAGGTCCGCCGAGCCTAACCACATTGCCTGTAGTGGTGTTTTTGGATTACCATTCCGGTTTCTTTCGTTGCCACAGGGATTGTAGTATTCATTCTTCCCTTGAAACCAGTACAAAGTGGTATTCGAAAGTAGGCCACGAGTTGATACTTTAGGGACTCCGATGCTGAATAACTCTCAGGAAGCTTTTGTCTATTGACTATCTAGGCACTGTTTTGACGTTGACATCTTGCACTCTCGTCATGCTACCATTGATTTGGGTACGTTCTCCGGCATCGTTTGCGTGGAAATTACTAACATCTAACGAAGGGCGGTGTCACATTTCCGTGGTCGTCACCCGTCATTCTGGCGCCTTTGTTTTCGGGTTTCCTTCTGGCGTTCATCTTCTGTGTCTGGGAATGGAAAGGTGCACGTCTTCCTATCGTCCCTAGTACGTATGCCTCAATCTTGGTCGCACCTATTCTCATAACTGTATTTGCTTCAGTGTACATCTTCAAGCACGCGACAATTTGCGGGGTTTACATTACGATGTTTATGAAGTCAGCGATCTTCCTTTATAGCACCACACAGTACTGAGGCGTTTCAAAGCGGCTTCGTCTTCTTCTCGTCTTTGTACTACTTGCCGCAGTTCTTTCAGGTCGTTCTCGCATATAAACCAATTCATTCCGGTAGGTGTATTCTCGAATTTCTAGCTGTTACGTTTGAAAATGCATTCCTCGTTAGGCATGTTCCTCATCCCACTTCTCGTTGGTCAACTAGTTGCCAGCTTCGCTTCGGTAAGGCTCCACTATTAACGTACTATAATCTTAAATCAGCACTCACCTTCAACAAGGGGATTACGATCAGTCGCAGGGGAAAATACAAGGTGTGTCTTCTTCGTAACTAACGTTGAACGTCGTTGACGTTTCTTAGAGCTTGATTCACTCGGGGTTCGCAATATGGGCAGTCGGGTGCGGCTGTATTTCGACTATTAGCCACAAATCAAACCAGGGTTCGATGGCCGTGTTTATGCTACTTTCTGGTATTGGCGCTGGACAGGTACGTTTTCAGCTGAAATTGCATGATATGTTACCTTACTGCTTGTTGGCCTTGTAAGACTTTGCAACCGACAACAATCGCCGCTCAGGCTAGCGTTCCGCGCAAGGACATGTCTGTGGTTACTGTGTTCCGAAACGCGAGTGTAGTCTCCTTATTGCTTTGTGAGTATGTGTATTGAACACGCATTCTCTAGTTTGTACGAAACCTCGGGGGCACCTTATCCTTGGCCATAGGCTCGACCATGATGTGCGTCCTCACTCTGATTTTGTTTTCCGTTCATACCATCCATGCGATTTACCTTTTTTGAAGCAACAACACGCTGCGTAAAGCCATGAACGACCTCTCTATCTCTGAGTCGCTCATCTCGACCATTATTGATGACCCCTCCTACCTCGCCAAACCGACGTCGGAAATCGGCCTCTCTGCTGCCAGTGTTTCCTACATCTTGAATCAAGGGTACACGAAGGGCTTCAAGGATGTCTTCTATCTCAATGCATCTTTGACGGCGTTCGCGACTCTGATCAGTATGGTATTGATCAAGGACAAAGATTTGAGCCGGGACGATGCTAGGCTGAAAAGTAGGGTAGAGAAGGTTGCGGAGAGGGATGGATGAAATGACCAGAGGTTGTAACCTAGATACTAGATTTACTTATCATCAAGTACGTACTTTCAATGAATCTTGCCTGTGCTTGCTTCATCGTTTCTCATGTATCTGATCTCTGCAGCTGAAACCTCAAACACTTGATGTGCCTCATTTGAGCGACCTTGGTACGTTCAATCACTTCAGGTAGATCATCATGTACTATTCATAAAATCTCTGTAAATTTGAAGACTAAAAATAAAGAAATAAACGTTAAATGAACGCCGGATGCTCGAAAACTGCAATTTTAACGGGTATTTGGTGATATTTAGTGGACGCTTGCTACGACTTATCCATAACTTCCATCCGACCGTCATGTTCGCTTGCTCTTCGAAGGTAACATTGAGACCAGTATAGAGCTCCTACGCTTTGATCGTTGCACCATCATGATGTTACGCAGTACGACCTTGCTATAGTGGTAGCTACACCGCGTTTGACGGTGATCTTGATAATAAGAACGCTACTACGAGCATCGTTGTGCACAGAGGCAGGTTTTCATCCAACTGTGGCTTGATCGCGGATTTGCTCATCTAACGATACCCGATGATTTAAACAGCCCCGCAGCATGCACTCAAACGAATCGATTTATGTGATGGATATACAGACATACTTAAAGATGTATTGTAACTATATGGGTATCCAAACTCCCCTCCTTTCTCTTACTCGACTCTCCGCTCCAAATTGATTTTTGAGACCTTGATGGCGACCCCAACGGAAATACCTCAACTCACAGGCTCCGAGAGGGCCCTTGTGTTTGAGGTTCTCGATGCTCTGCTCAATTCCGCGACCCTACTTGCGTTCATGCATGGTAAAATTTCGTAGTCCTGGCTCTTGGTCAATCACTAGTTTAACGACGAACTTTAGGGATGTACACCTGCATACTCGCAGGGACACTTTGGATCATCTGTTTGTCCATTTCAATGTCGGGATAACAACCTTTTACTAACATCTTGTATAGTTGCAAGCCAAAGATCCACCAACGCCGGGAGGCGTACAATGATTATTCTGGTCATAGCGATCTATTTTCTCACTACTATCATTTTTGCCTCGAATTGGTTCCTACAACGAAATGCATCTATCACACACGGAGAAAATTTCTGGACTACGTTTCTATTGTATGATAGTCCTAACAGAGTAGAAGAAATTATGATATGTTTGCGTGGCATACCCGCTGGTATAGCCACACTTCTGGCCGACTCCGCTCTGGTAGGAACTTCATACGCTTTTATAGTGTCTGTACTTGCTGACTGTGAATTCAGATCTGGCGGTGCTGGGTCGTCTGGGGGCGTCGCTGGATAATCGTTCTCATTCCTATTCTTTGCGTTATTACCGAAGGCGGTGAGGAAATTAGCTCTCTACCTTGTTAGAAAGGAATAATAATTTCCAGATAGTATTCAAGATATTGGCCTATGTATTATTCTGTTATTACTCAAGTCGATAACTTGGACGATGTAAAGCCTAATGGGTACCGAGACCAAGAACTGGACGCTCATATATGAGTCCTGCACCCTGGCTACGACACTGCTCTGTACGCTGCTCATTGTCTACCGAATTTTGAGCGTCAGCGGGGGCCAAACATGGTGGAGCAGGCGCACAGGCATATCGCGGAGTTGTAGAAGTCATCGTTGAATCAGCGTCTCTCTACACTGTCTCGCTGATTATCGACCTGATACTCGTAGCCCGACAAAGCCCTGCTGATTCTTACTCAGACGTTATTGCAAGTACTATGAAGGGTTCGTCTAGCTATTGATATACATCATATCTGTCAACTTACCAATAATTGACATAGGGAATCGCTCCGACTCTCATTGTTGCTCGAGTAGCATCGGGTCATGCACGTCCTGATGACTCTTGGAACGGGAGTGTGATGTCGTCTCTCCACTTTGGGAGTCGTGCTCATTCCGCAGGTCCTCAGTCAAATGAGCGACGCAGAGGATATGACCAGGAGTGTTGTTCTTGCCGAAGAAAATGTTCTCGAGCCTGACGATGGAAGGAGCACTCTGCAGTCCGAATCAAGGATCTAGAAAGCTCTCAATAGACAGGCCGTTATTGCAAGTTTATTTTGGTCGGCTTCTCAAACTCAATCTGCACAGGTGCTTTTTGGAGAAAGAAAAATATAGAATTGTGGATGGCTGGTTCTAGTATTGTACGGGCAGCTTCTTACATCTTCCGCAAATCTTCTGTCGAACTAGAGATGTAGAATTTCGTATAAAAATTAACACTATATGTATGCAGGATAACTCTATGGCATCCTTTCGTATTGTAAGTACGAAAAGAAACTCAAGCATAAGACGGTAAGAAAATAATGCTCATGCCAGACGGGCGGGCCCGGGTGTACCACCTCGTGTCTGCGAGCCTGCCTTTTTCCCTGGTTTATACTAGTGTTGAAATTTGTTTTGAAACAGATTTTGAGTCTAAATAAAAGATGCATGACACGAGAAACCGAAGTACACAGGGAAGTACAGTAGTTAAGCCAAGATGCCCCCGAGATAGCCGGGTCAATAACCCAAAAAGGAATCCAAGACACTTCCCCCCTTCGTCGATATCCACCACCACGATGGAGACAACGCGGCCATCCGTGCTCGTCCTGGCACTTCTGCAAGAGCGAGTTCTGTACCCTAACTTTGCCCAGCTCATGGAATCTATGGCTGCCTGCGCAACGGTTACTCAGGTCGAAACAAAGGGAGAGTTTGCAAGAAGAATGAGGCTTTCACCACCGACCATCGTGGTAGCCATTGATGCAGGAATATCGAAGCTGGAGAACTCTACTGTCTTGAACCAATTGCTTCAGTACACGAGGGAGGTCGGAATTACTATCTGCTGCTGCAATTTCAGCAATAACATCACCAGTGCGACGTTTTTTGCTGCTTGGGGTCTGCCATGGGATCTAGGATCGTATTTCAGGACGACTGTTCAACTGAACAGAACTGCAACCGGAATATCGCTGGAAGGTCTACCAGAGTCGTACAGTCTCAAGGCGCTGCTGTTGCTGAATGTCGCGAGGAATCACAGGATATATGCGCCATCATCATCGTCACGCATCGAATCCAAGGTTTTCGGACCCAACGAGATTCCCATCGACACCAACGAAACACCCTGCGCGTATGGACCCGTGGAACGAGGCTGGTTTGGCTATGTCGGAGACGTCAACAACGAAGACGGGAGCACGCGAGTCGTCATGGCTATGGCTCGCTTATCGCAGAGTGCAGTGGTTGCAGACAGGACGAACAGGACATCCGGTTTTTCGATTTCACTGGACGGACGACCCACCGAGACGCAACCAATTGAAGACCCGAATCAAATTGTGATGTTCACGGATACAATCAAAAAGGCTGGTCAAGTCGATTTCATCTCTGGTCACAGAATGGGTCGCGCCTGGGAGCGACCTGGTGCTGCCCCGGCGCCCCAGTCGTCGATATCGTCGCCCTCGTCTAGGACCTACGTGCACAGTCCTCCGCGCCCCCGAGAGGACGAAGTGGAAGCAAGAGCTGCGAAGCGAGCTGGAAAGTCGAAGCAGAAATCCAAACAGGCAGACGCATTCAAGGAACAGGTAGCATATACTCGAATACAAATCCTGAATGGCACTGATAGTACATGCAGGGAAACAAGTTCTTTTTGCAAGGCAAATATCAAGAAGCCGCCAAAGAGTACAAGAAAGCCATCGATGTCCATGGACCTCGACCTATATATAACACAAATCTTGCTGCAGCGTATCTCAAACTTCACATGTGTGTTCCGAGCTACGGACTGTTTTCTTGTACGAACTAATATGAGCCCAGGTATCAACAGGCAGAGGAGTGCTGCGATGAGGCTCTGAAGTACGACCCCAAATCTGTCAAAGCTCGCTATCGTCGTGGCGTCGCTCGTCGTGACATGTTCGCCTTCAGGTCGGCCATGGAGGGTGGGTATACATCATAGTGACATCCCAATTTTTTTTTCTGACGCAAAGCGGACAGACTTCAGAGCTTGCGCGAAACTCGCCCCACGCGATTCTCAATTCAGAAAGGAGATAGCCCGGACTCAAAAGGAGAGTAATCAGCATCGTGCTGCAGGTATTCCAGACCAGTTTGTAGAGCAGGGGTGCGAACCGCAATATCTTAGTGACGACGATGACGGTGACGACGACTCGTTCTTTGACCCTCCTCTGGACGTTCCCGGAAAGCCGCTGCAGTCGGATTCTGATACGAGTGATTACGAGCACGAAGGAAACGGACAACCATGCCGAGCGTACAACCGTGACGGATGCAGTCAAGGTTCTAAATGCACGTTTAGGCACAGTGCTGAAGAGCATACGACGAGAGACGAGCTGTACGTAATTCTCCTTCCTACGTCGAGCGTAAAACGCTGATCTCATCCTGGCAGTGGCCGCAACGTGTGTAATTTCTGGCTTGCGGATACCTGCACCTCTGGCAGTCAATGCCCGTACGCTCATTCGAAAGAGTATCTGCCAGAAAAAGGGTGGTGGAACGAGAAGGGTATGGATGATACTATGAAGGGCCTTATGCGGGATATCAGCAGGATTCGGAACATGTGATCCGAAGAACAGCGCGAGTTTGACCGCAGGTATGAGATGGGATTGCCACCCTTGGGGTATAGCGACGACGACTACTAAGGTGCTTTCGGCTGTGGAATTTTCCTTATTCTCCTTGATAAGATGATGAAGGCACGAGGCGAGGTGGTTTGGTGCGCCTGTTATTCTTATTCGTCCTGTATTTGTTATTTTTTGCCTTGCACCCTCGAGTCAGCGACCAGCTTTTTCTTCGCATCCATTCCTCAGCATACGTTCAGAACATACATTTCACTGTAAAGGTTTGCTTTCGAATTATCAATAATGAATTACAAGCAACAAAGTCTTTGATATCAATGATATGAAATACCGACTCGTCTGCTGGAGGGTTAAACTTAAAGTGCGTACGAATATCGCGCACATCCATTCTTCTTTTACCACGATTCTTGCCCTAGAAGCGTTGGTGACCAATTTATGCTTTCGTCATCATTGGTCTCGCCGAATCGATTCGTAGGACGACGATCGGGCCGCCGCGAATCCTGTCAAATACTTTCTTCCACTCGACACCTTCTCACTACCACCGAAGGCTTACAAAGGAACTTTTTTCCGCATATAAAATATGGCTCGCAGCCATCGTTGTATTCCAACTCACCCATTATGTCTCTTTTCCAAGCCGCCAGTGATCCTCCTACCAAGCTCGGTATCTATCGTGTCCTGTCCTCTCGCGCAGGGGTGAGGGTGTCGCCTCTGGCCTTTGGAGCTATGAGTATCGGTAATAAAGCCGAGAGCCATGGCATGCGCCCGATGGATAAGGAGTCTAGTTTCAAACTCCTAGACGCGTATTTTGATATGGGCGGAAACTTCATCGACACTGCGAATATGTAGTAAGCAACTGGCCCATTCACACCACTCCTGTTCTGAGCCTTATGTTCTACAGCCAGGAAGAGACATCCGAACAGTTCATTGGTGAATGGGCGGAGAAGCGAGGAATACGAGACCAGCTGGTCATCGCGACGAAGGTACGTTCAGGATCGCATACGTATTCCAGTACAAGGACTGATAGGATCTATTTCGCAGTACACATCAAACTACAAGCGCGGAGACGACACTATTGCACAGAAAGTCAATTACGTTGGAAACAACACCAAGTCTATGCATATCAGCGTAGAGGCGAGTCTTAAAAAGCTCCGAACGTCGTACATCGACATCCTATACGTTCACTGGTGGGACTACGAGACGTCGATACAGGAAGTCATGGACAGCTTACACAATCTCGTCGCGGCGCGGAAGGTTCTCTACCTCGGTATCTCTGACACCCCCGCATGGGTCGTTGCTCGAGCGAACCAGTACGCCATGGATCACGGGAAAACACCATTCGTCATCTACCAAGGTAAATGGAGTATCTTGGAGCGCTCGTTCGAGCGCGATATCATTCCCATGGCGAAAGAACTGGGCCTGGCGCTCGCTCCGTGGGCTGTTCTTGGGCAAGGGAAGCTGCGGACCGACGCGGAGGAACAGCGGAGGAGGGAGACGGGAGAGAAAGGGCGTATGCTGTTTAATCCGAATTGGGAGCGTACAGAGGAGGAGGTGAAAGTCTGCAGGGCATTGGAGAAAGTAGCAGGCGAAGTTGGGGTAGGGTCCAACGTCGCGGCGGGTGAGTCTGGATTAGCTTCATTCATGTGCCAGATTTCTGACGAGCGTGTGGGTAGTGGCGATCGCATATGTGATGCAGAAAACACCCTATGTCTTCCCTATCATTGGAGGTCGAAAGGTGGAGCATCTCAAGGCTAACATAGAAGCACTGGACATTTCGTTGTCCAAGGAGCAGATCAAGTACTTGGAGAGTGTTATGCCTTTTGATCCTGGGTTCCCTCAGACGATGGTTGTGAGTTTCGATTTACTTTCTTTTCGGGAGTCTTGGTCTGACGGAGGATGTAGGGTGACGGATCCAGTTATTGTTTCCTCCTCGCGTCGGTCGCGAAGATGGCGAAACTACCAGCGTTGCAACCTATCAGACCATGAAAAGTTTTGTTACCGCATCGTTTCATTGCCTAGAAGGTTAGAACGTTGCAGACGAATAGTTAAGTTCTCATGACAATGAGGAGGGAACCATTCTGTTTATCAGTGCATCGCATGTAACGCTCGAGCTTAGACTGTAACACCGTTGGAACTACCTACTCTGATAATAAAGGAATATTTCAGGGTCCTTTAATGGCAGCATGTGTCATAGGTCCGGTATGCAAGGGTAGAACGCACGTGAATATGCTTTCAGCTTCCACGGTGATCACTGATATGGCTGTTCTCCGTCCCTTCTGACATTACTACTAACACCAACGCTCCATCCCAGCTAAACTTAAACGCTTCGTCGACTGTTTCACGAGCAATAACGTGATATACATTCTTCCGTTTCCGTTTCACATCGTGATTCAATTTATGGCCAGAACGACTCGGAATGTCTAGACGTAAAGTGGTTTCTGGCATGAAGGTAAACATGTTGAAGAATGAAAAGACGGGACAGTGACGTCGTATTGCAGGCATGGCAAGCACATCTCAAGTACGAAACCCTTCCCGAAGTTACCATCGCTGCCGGGAGAGCGCCCTCGTTAATTGAGGTCCCGAAGCAGCGTGTCTACACTGGTAGAATGCCCGTCATACCATCCTCGCTGGCGAATACACCCTGCTCTAGCCTCGGCACTGCTGGACTCCTAGCTTCAGCTAAACGCCACACTCGGAACTTCGTACACCATGGACGCCGCCCTATCCTCTCTTCTCGAAACATTTATATCGAACAATGATGACTTCGGCACCACCTATGGCCTTGTCCGCCCACTATGGTACGACGGCTGGGCCACCTATCCAAGATGAACTGCGTACCCGCGAACTGAAAGACCGGGAGATGCGAAGGAGCGCCTTTATTGATGATCGCATATGCAACCCGCAGATGCCGCCTCGGCGCCTCTGGGATCTATACAGTAATCGAGTGGTGCCCCAATGGATTGCTCCAGAATTTCGTTGGAGAGCGCCATGGGCTATATCGCACGCTTGGATGAACATCAACGACCGCATTGATGTATTGACGCCCATCAATGGTAACGAATGGCCTGTGCCAATCCCAAAAGATGCCGATCTGGACCTTGTTCGCATTGAGATGCTGAACTTGGGAGCGGAGTACGTATGGTTAGATGTTCTTTGTTTACGACAGCGAGGCGGACGAGGGGAGGATATTCGTGGAGAAGAGTGGAAGCTAGACGTGCCCACTATTGGACGCGTCTATCGCATTGCCGAGAAAGTAGTGTGCTATTTCAGTGGGCTAGGGAGACCTTTGAGTTTTACTGCGAGCGACTTCGAGAGTGATCGATGCTGGTTCAGACGTGCTTGGACGTTACAAGAGATCAGCAGCCAGTGGATTATTGGCGGGGATATGGGCGATGAGAAACATTTAGACGAGGACGTGCGGGTGATATTACAGGAGCAACTGACGTCCTTGGAAAATATCATGCCGATTACGGGTACCCAATGTACCGACAATGTGTTTGCTGTGGTGGCGCACATGCAAAAACGGGTATCGGAGAATCCTGTTGATAAAGTGGCAGGGATTAGGCATGTCTTCTGGAGTCGACAGGCTACCGGCATACTATGAAATGCAGTCTCTCGAGGACGCTTGGACAGCGCTAGTGACTGTGATGAAAGGGGAGTTTCGAGGGCAGTTGCTCCTCTGGTATCCTGAACCAGGGAAGGGACATAGAAAATGGAGACCATCATGGGAAGCAGATCATGACTGAGGTCCTACCAATACATGAGTCTCCACTAAGGGAGGATGTTCATCAGGATGAAGAAACGGACAACGACTGGTACGAAGGTGTTAATATTGAGAAGGGCTATGTGCGTGGATTAGCCATGGGAACCATGGAACGAAGGGTGCGGCGAGGAGAATTGGTCGTCCAAGATAACTCCGGGACAAACCATACGTTCAACATCATCGCAACCCACCAATATCCAATCCCTGAAGACTTTTACACCTTGATATCCGGATACTGGGAGCTGGGATACTGGGTTGTTGGTCGACGAGTTCCAGATCAAAGATTTCAGAAGGTATCAACATTCAGAATGTCCGAAGAAATTGAAGGTCTACAGAAGCTGGCGAAACTTGGAGTTGGTAAATGGTCGAAAAATCGCCTTATTTGATTGAATTGGATTCATATTGGGCCCGGAACTGTTCAAAGGGAAAAAACCCGCAGTCATTATTTGTGACTCCTGCTGCTACCACAGCGTGTCCTGTATTGCATTCTATGAAGTAGTATGAAATAAGCAAAGCTGTATTTGTCACAAGAAAACGCCTACCAAGGCTTAAGTATCTTACCCAGGCAGCAGTCCTGAGCGCTGAATCCCATCTCCTTTGGTTAATGAAGCATTCCATAAGCCACTAGATGTCCTCTAGCTTAATGGTATACGAGCACTCGTGATGAGCGCAGCGCCAGCAACATCTCGCAGTTGCTAGTAGTCCCGGTCATTTGTGAAAGCGCCACATATAAATAATCGGATGGTGTCGACAAAAAAAGGTACTCTAAGTTAGAGCGCCATTGATATATAGTAAGGTCTGCGATAACAAGCCCATACAGTGAGTACGTGTCCCGGGAGAGAAAAGAATATAAGCCAGTAAACGTGACACTAGTAGAAAAGAAAGCGAGCCTAAGGCCCCCGGTCCGGTCCGGTGGAACCGAACCATTTTCTCTTTCGCTATCGGCCTTCAGCTCTCTCAATTGACATGACACTATGGAAATGAAGATATGGCGGCCGAAGCCTCAGACCTTCAGGGTTGAAGCTTTGAAGGTCAAGTTCAAAACCTCAAGGCATAGCAGCATCCTTATACGACCAGTTCAAGAATGAGCGCTCGTTTTTGTGGGACATGGTGGGATTAGATGAAATACGAACTAGGTGCGTCTATCCCCCTTTTCTCATCAAAATGTCTTTAACTCTCTGTCCTGTAGATGTGTTTCGAGATATCCAAGCAGCATTGTCCATCAAAGTACCTGTATCTGCATCGTGCTCTCCCACGTCAGAGTTTTCATCTGGATTGGGAGTAAATTCCTCTCTTGGTAGGCATTTTCATGTATGACTGCGACTGCATCAGCGTGACCCGGTCCAAGTTTTCCGAGATGCAATTTGGGTTTAGCGCCCTCATTGTGCGGAAGTCTAGAAATGGTATTGGTATTGGTGAAATGTATTTGGTTCTAGTTGATGCTCTGCAGATGTATACATGCATTTTTTTCATGGCACGAGACAATCTGGCTAGCGTGAAACTTGCATGGTATCTGCTTTTAATTGGCTGGCCTCTTGTCACCCCAGATATAGAAGGCTTCGTTGCAATCGCGGGGAAATCAGAGAGGCGCGACTCGTGGGATGTTTATCTGCCTTGTCAGCACAGCTTTGCCATCGAACCGTCACCATCTGGTACCGTCCCTCGCTCAATCCCTGCTGCAGGCAAGGCTTATTCTACCTAAGACATGAATCACATGATGAACCCGAGCAACGGTGCATGTCAACCTGAACACGATGTGGAAGCCGCATTTAATGCTGTTGAGCAATCGGGCATTGCGCAAGAGAAATCAGCTTCCATTGGGGGCACGAATTTTCGGCGTTCCGGCACAACTTTTGGAATACACAAAAAGGATACTAGAAAGAGGGGTATCGACCCCACTGATTACACGAAACGTTATAGCAAGGATGTCGTTGGTCGAGAAATGTCGTCTAGAGGAAGGTTTTGGCTAACATACCTCAATGAGGCTCTCGTCTTTGACGAAGAGATGGTCGAAATGTACAAGGACAATATTGACGTTCTTCTGGTTTTCGTAAGTCTCGTATAACTGTATTTTCAAAACCTTCTCTAACATCGTGGCTAGGCTGGTTTATTCTCTGCAGTTCTGTCGGCTTTCGTCATTCAAACTGCACAAAACCTGCAACCTGATTATACAGCCGTCTCCTGCGTCTTTGCTTACCGAGCTCGTTGGGTATCAACGAGCGACGTCGAACGTTTCTTCTATTCCTCTCTCCCCCTTCTACCCCACTATATCATTCGCCCCATCTTTGGCAGACATCTGGGTTAACAGCTTGTGGTTCATCAGCCTGGCACTTAGTCTGACTACTGCGCTTGTAGCAGTTTTGACTAAGCAATGGCTTCATCAATATATCTCTGTCGTTTCTGACATCTCCCCTCGCGGCCGAGGTCGAATTCGCCAATATCGGTACATGGGCTTGGAGAAGTGGCAAGTTCCAATGATCATTGGGCTTCTTCCCATTCTTCTTCACGTCTCCTTGGGCCTTTTCTTCACTGGCCTATGCTGTCTATCTCTTCGCACTTCATGCGGTGATTGCCTACACAGTCGCTTCCCTTTCGGGCATTGTTTATGCCGCATACTTTGTCTTTCTCTTCCTCCCCCTTTTCTACTACAATTGCCCATACAAGATCCCACTGACGGATTATCTCTTTGGAATCTATCGCACTATCTATGAATGCATTTCAAGGTTTACCTGCGGAAGCCGCCGAGATATTCATCATATACCTCAGTACAACAAGGGATGCAGAGCGACGAGGTGCTCAACTTTCTGCAGAGGTCCCAGATGCTATTGATTCAGAAGCCATCTCTTGGCTGCATTCAACATCATCGAACACATCAGTCCAACGAGTAGCGCTTGAAGCCGCTCTTGGAATCCATCTCCACGTGCCTCATGGGGATGCCAGCAATATTATCATCGACGAGATATTTAAACGCCACAGCGGCCTCGAGTCTGTAACACACCGTTCACCTGCATCTTCAGGCTTGCCAGAGTCTCAAATCTCAGAGACGATTTCTAAGGAGACAACATCCAGCCTACTTGCGATACTCCTTTCTCAACAACGGGTCCATATTACCCTTCCCGAGGGAATATGGACCTGCCTTCTGAATTACGAAGAATGGAAGCTCTCACTTCCCGTGACAGAATCAGCCTTGCCCGTGATACAATTAGCAGCGAAGCTCATGGAAGTCTGGCGGAAAGGATTAGACCCTCAGCAGCAGGCTCGCACACCTTCCAACAAATATGGCCCTCTCCAGGACTACTTATCATTCGAAGAAACCGAAGTAACATTAGCCCTTGTTAATGGGCTTTCTGTCATGACACGTTCATTTTTCAACTCCTCTGCCGGAGATCTCGTGGACGTCATGAGAATGTTCGGTGATAAGCTACGCTGGTGAAAAAAGCCCACATATCATCAATGTTCTCGTGCATGGGATTTCAGATACTATCCAAGTCATGCGACAGCTATCCACTCGTTACCCAGAACGGAAATCCCGCGCCCAGACTGCGTTTCTCATTTCTTCATCCTGTACATTCCCTAAGTCATCGCAACTGAATCATGTAGCACTGCTCGAGATTCTCTGTTGCTCTGGTCGCTACGCATTTACGGTTCTGGACACACATTCACGACCGGAGACATTCTTTGCCAATGCGATACGGTGCTTCTTGTCATCCTGTTCATCAGACCAACCCCAGTCGGATCAATACGAGTCCGAGAGATGCAAGCTCTTGGAACTGGATGTGTTCGAGAGGATACTGGGGCCATTCTTCAATCAGGGGTACATCGTCAATCGAGGCCATATAGCACAGGAAAAATCTCTCAGATTCTTCGGTCCATACTTTGAGCTCAAAGACTACGGAATATTGTTGAAGATATTCGTCGAAGAAGGAGGATTACAGGCTCTACACGATAAATTTAAAGCTCTGCTTTCACGTTCTGCCACACCAACGGAGCTCGTTCCTACTACTGGTCTCGCTCATCTCATCGCAAATCGGATGATCGAAACAAACACCTTGGATCCTCTCCATCTAATAGACACCGCAAAAAAGCATTCATTTATCGATAGCCTTTCCAATCTCACCTATCCTGCTTCTGTACAATCCGAGTGGCAGCCTACAGACCATCATCAATCTTCTGGGATCCCTTTACCGGAGGAATACAGATCAATTGACACTGGAAAGAAATTTTCGAACGGCTGCAGCAATGGACGTTCAATAAAGAAGTTCGGTGTGACTTATATTGGAGAGAATTGTGTGATTTGTATAATATCAAGGATATTCAAGAAATTCCTGCCCTGCTTCTTGAAAAGGCGGAAATTCGATTGGACTCACTGCCAGAGTCTCATGAGGCGGTGGCTGGCAGATAAAACTTAGGAGGATATTGATAAAGGAGAAGAGGCATGTGAGGGATGAATGTTTTGGACCCCTGTAAGTTTTTTAGTCTCATGATCGCTGCTCGCTGTTAATAATTCAAGGAGCAGTAATTCTTTCTTGACCTATGGACTTGATACACGGTGTGCTCCCGTTGTGTTTCATCACGGAAACCAGTCCCGGATTGCGAGACAAGAGACAACGTGAGGGTAGTAATTCGAGGTAGTTGAACGTAGTTAGAACTTTTGTACTGCCCTCTCAGCTGTAGTATGGACCCCGGCACGCTCTGTTAAGGAGCAAGTTGCAACGTCGGGTAATAACATATAATATCCTACCCTATCCCTGATTCCCTGTCAGCGGAAAAGAGGAAAAGAGTGCTCTGAAACCATTATTTTCCTGCAGAATTATTATGACGACTTCGATGTCCATTTCGTTTGGATACTTTTGTTGATACCAATGGCCCCAGCCTATGAACCAATAATATCGCGCGCACAGCGCCTATTTTACCATCACGTGCATTCAACAATGACACGGTCTGCAATGTCAATTACCACACCTTAGCTCCACCGACTAGATAATGGCCAGTGGTATGTATGATGACTCTACCTCTATTGTTTTACATACTCATTCCAATCATGCTACTAGGAAGGTTCGAGATACTACGCAATGGTGTGAAATTAGTTCTAAGTTGTTTATGCCCCACTGCTGTCCAGGAGGACGATTCGAATCCTGATACTACTCCCCGCGATGATCCTTTGAGGACAACAGACGTTGGCCTATGGCTATCTCTAGAATCGCCGGAGAAGGCTGTCACCTATCATCTTGGAACCACCATGGGCGAAAAAGTAAGAATGTCTTTACAGAAACAGAACTTGGGACTCCGTGACAGACAGTCTATTATAGAAAACTCTCCCTGAAGTTATCATCTCCGCAGTCATTGAGGATGACTCGAAGAAATCCATTGCAGTTCCCAAGCAACAGATCTATATCAGTAAAAAAATCGTCATATGCTCCTCATCTGACTCTGTCCCCTACCATTATGTAGTGCGGCCTATATCGTCAACATGCCGCACCAATCTTGATGTGAACAACCTCTTAGAAGAGCTCACCACCACCATATTAACGTCTACATTGTCACCATCCGGCCCTCCTAACAGGCCTTCCACCGCCAATCCGGACGTTGAGGAGCTCTTACAAAGGCTCACCAACATCATCAGACAGTACCATGCTCCCACCAGCATCGATATTCCCTGTACTAGTCTAGACATTGATGGACTCTTAGAAGAGCTCAGAACCATATTACCGCGGTACTGCTCCCACGCTTCCGTCCGATACTCCCTGTGCTAATCTGGACAATATTGAACGCTCAAAGCTCAAAACGATCTTGTCACAGTACCGTCTTCCTGCCCCCGCTGATACCCATTGTACCGATCTGGGCATTAATGGGCTCTTAAGAGAGCTCAACACCGCTCTCGGAACCTCATACACACTGAACCCAGATCTGTCCTCCCTTCTCGAACCTTTCATAGTGCGTGATGACTTCGGCACTGCATACGCCTCCCTCCGCCGGAGATGGTATGACAGCTGGAGCTACTGTCCGAGACGACATACACAAGAAACTTGAAGACGAGGACCAGAAAATGCGACAAGCAGCACTGGTCAATAACCAGATTGTCGACCCGCGAGTTCCTCCTCGCCGCGTCTGGGATCTCTACAGTAATCGAGTGGTGCCGCTTTGGAAGATTCCGGTTGAGCATTGGTCGAAGATATGGGCAATTTCACATGCTTGGATGGATGAGAACGATCGTCTGGATGTCTGGACGCCTATCAACGGACGCGAATGGCCTGTACCCGTTCCGAAAGGTGCCGACTTGCGTCTCATTAGGATTGAGCTGCTGAATCTGGGAGCAGAATACGTGTGGTTGGATGTTCTTTGCTTGAGACGCAGGGGCGGACCGAGGGACGATCTGTGCGAGGATGAGTGGAAGCTAGATGTCCGCACAGTTGGAAATGTGTATGAGAAAGCCGAAAGGGTGGTTTGCTACTTCAGTGGATTGGGGCTGCCTTTGCGGTTCAAGATGAATGACTTTACAAGTGACCGGTCCTGGTTTAAACGTGCGTGGATATTACAGCAGCTCACTGGGAACTATATAATTGGTGGACAGCCATCAGAAAGTGGCGAAGAAGACATGGGGATGGAAAAGGATGTCAAAACGGAATTTGACAAAAAGCTGTTGGAATTGAAAAATATCAACAGGTCTCGCGTGTTTGATGTGCTCAGGCATATGCGGGATCGAGTGTCGATAAATGCTGTGGATCGAGTTGCTGGGTTGGCATATCTTCTTCGGTCACAAAAGCTGCCCACGTACTATGAGGCCAAGACTCCCGAGGAGGCATGGACAATGTTAGTGGAGACAATGGACGAGCGAAACCGGGCAAAACTTCTCTTCCTGTATCCTGAACCTGGAAAAGCACGCAAACTATGGGGACCCTCATGGAATCAGGTCATGGCTGAAAACCTTCCGACAATGGACAGCGGGATCCAGCTGTACGACAACATGGTTGGTCGGGATGATATTATGAAAACCGATTTCTATTATGGATACTGCATTGAAAAGGGCTGCGTGCGAGGACTGGACAAGGAAGGCTCCGAAGGCGAGTTGCGACGTGGGGAGTTGGTTGTCAAGGATCTCAAAGATATCCCACAAACATTCGATATCACCTGCCACTCACCAATACCCTATACCTACAGCCTCGTACACGCTGATAGGCAGTGATCCATGGTCACCGCAATCGGGTAGATCCAAGGACGAAAATTCCAAACAATATTGGGTGGTCGGGGAACTTAGAGAATCAGGCCAGATGTTCAAGAAAGTTTCGGTGTTTCAAATAGACAATGCAGGTCACGTCATGAACCTGTTAGATGAATCAGGAATCGCCCAAAAGACCCATAACACTCTCATTTGACATGAAGTACTTAACATATGTGGTGATTTCTGATTCCTAACGTTACCAATACCTGTAATGATACTACGTACTATGGATCGAATGCATACTCTCCTCTTTTTTTACCGGTCTTGTTAATCTTGTATATGTGCCTGGCACTGTCACAGTGAGAATTGCGGCGAGAAGTCTCACCTCCTTGCACAAGTCGGCATGGTGTAACAGCACGACGAGCAGAGCACGGAGGACGGCGCACACCATATAAGTACATGATGTAAAATATTTACTCCATCAGCTCGAATTCGACGGTCGACATCCACTCATCAAGCTTACTTCTTGTCACCACTCCCAGTACTCACCAGCTCATCGCAGCGTTACCTTAGCTCCCCGGTAGGCAGGCAGGCAGGTGTCGGGATTTTACCCTCAAATCTGCCAGTCTTCCCTCTTACATCTAGTCACATCTTAACTGTCACCGTATTCTCACTATTACTTAGCTCCTACGGTTGGTGCTAACTAATGGACTATGTCATCTACACTGAGATTCGTTTTCATTGACAAGAATCAGGAACACACAAGAACATCCCATGGTACAACGCGTTTCACTAGCGCTTCAGGAATCACGGAAACAAAATAACCAAATTTATGTGAAGCTGCATACAACTTTGGTGATATATCTCTCTGCCGGCGTAGTAACTGTCCAAAGGAATAATTCATTCTGTCGGCTCTACCTCATAGTACGCGATCACCTATAAGATCTTAATAGACGGCTTCAGGCGCTAGTTTACTGTATTAGCAGAGATGAGCATGAAACAACACGTCTCGTAGAGAAGCGGCTCTCCACCATTTCATTGTTACTTCTGGGTGGAACAAAATGGAAGTGTCGGTACGCTGTCCATCGTCGATTCGACGGAAAGAAGAATACTCGGGAGCTGGATCTGATAATAATTCAATCAGTCATGTAGGAGTGAAACTATCAGATAGTATACGCACTTTTTCGCACTGTCTCCCCCAAGACAATTGACATTCGCTGAAAACGCAAGCAAAGCCATTTCAAGGCGGAGTATCTGATGACCGTAGCAGATAGATTTTCCCCGTTGGTGCTTTCCCATCCTGGATCCTGCGATCAGACAAGAATCGTTCGGGGGAGAAAGAAGCCTACGAAACATTAGAGACGAGGAAGAGGTACATCATGGTCTTGATTGGATTCTCCGCAGGCGCCAGTATCAACAAACTGCGACCACACGGGAATGCTTTTCTCTGCACCAAGGAGGTTTACCACCCTCAGCGTACGTCCTCAGCACAATCTTCTCTAGAGGTCCAGAATTGGTGTTGTCGGGCGTTAAATGAAGCACAGTCGAGGGTCAGAGGGTATTCTCCACGAAAAGGGCAATGATGACTGTCATTCCTCTTTTTGAATAGGATTGGATGCGGAAATGTGAGAGGTAGTATGGCCATTGAAGGGCGGATCCGGTGCAGCGACCCGCTTCAGGCCCGGAGGTACGAATGGCGTAGTAAGATTAGCCGCGGTTGCTGATGCATTAGGGGACGCTCAATGAAGGCTTGCATCCTGAACTGGACTGAGTTTCACAGGTTGAATTCGGTCTGAGGTGTGAGAAGATAGAACAACCGTCCCTAGCCCAACAGCGGGGAGAGCATGCGTTCTCGCCGTCACTCTCTGCCATTCTACCGAGGCTAATCATTGAGGAAAGTGAAGTGATGGTCGAGCTGTAAAGAGCGAGATATTACATCTACGAGACTGCCTGCCGGTTTGGAAAAATGGTGTATCGGAAAAGAATCGGGAAAAGAAGAAAGATTGTTATTGTCTTCACGTGGCCGTGACGTTTCGCGTCGATCGCAGATGCGTGACAAGTAGTGCTCTTCAAAAATCAAGTTTTGTTCCGTGCTTTATCTGATAGATGGTGCTGTCTATAGTTCACCGTATAGACCCAGATTAGTCGCGGGAAAACATCGATGAGGACAAGGCGACCTGCTGTCGGTTTGACGAGCCGCCGATAATTCTAGCCGACAGCAAAACGTTGTTTGCAGCTGTAGATATCGTGAAGATGGACATGATGAGGAAAGTGAACGGGGCTTACTGGGTATGACCTGAATGATCACGTTCAATACTGATACTCCAGCGTCGGTTCATAGTTCAGCCTTTAGTCTGTCTGTCGGCCTGCAACAGAGATATAGCTAGTATTTGGTGTGAGCATTAGCACATTTTGAAAACAAAGCGCTTACCCGTCCTGACACTGCCAAGAGAAGCATATCCCCACCCACCGCCAACTAAGCTTCTCGTAGTCTGGGGATAGCAAAATTCTTCTGGCGTCTTCGACTGATTCTCACAGATGCAAGATGCAAGAGGGAGAGGCCACAGGACGAACTATTCTTATGCCCTCGTCGCCTCCTTGTTTGATTCTTGTCCACGGACAGACAGGGCACTACCAAACGTCACAGTTGGGACTGGTCAAGGATGTAATGATGCACATAGGTCTGAGATTGACGACTGAGATGCTGGGGATATCTATCCTAGGGAATTCGTATCTTCGATGGTCGTCGTCCCTACATGAAATTCAGTCAAAGCGACAAAGAAGAAAACCAAGCACATACCTTATACAGACTCTGTAAGCCTTGTTTCCAAGAGGTCATCCAGCGTTAAACCCTTCTGACTAGCCGATAGCGTCAGCCCAAAGCCGCTCGGAAACGTCGCTTCTAGTCTCCCTTGATAACCAAGTCCTCGACGTAGGCCATGACGGTGATCCAACGATACAAGGTCAGTCTCAAGAGCAAGTAGTGTCAAAACCCGTTCACGATCATTGCTCATGCTCCGGCAATCGATGAAAGAAACGGCATAAACTCTCCAAGTCGGGGTGGCAAGAAATACGGATGGCTGTAGCTGGGGGGGGGAATCAGAGAAAAGGCCCGGGATATGCAAACTTTTACCACGTACCGACCAATCTTGGCTCCAAGCGCCACACCGTTTGACAGAATGCTCCGTTGCTGTGCCGAGCTAGCATTATACGGTGAAAATCGATCGGGGAGGAAATGATGGTGATGGTAAGAAGCCAAACTTGGCAGCGATGATTCCGACCACGATCGCGGCGACTCTTCATTTTTTTCCTTCGTCTTCAGTATCCCTGCCTTCGTCATCCTTCGTCCAATTTTCTTCCATGAACAGGTACAGGGACCGTGCGATGCTACAGTCAAATCAGGTCAGCTTTGACGAGCACAGAGGTCGGGAGCTACCAGTCGAAATGGCACTTTGGAGGAGCTGCACGCCTAGCAAGGAGTTGCTTGGAAAGTAGTGAAACAGGCGGCGTCGAAGGGCCTCGCGGTGAGTATCGCTTCGAGCAGTACGCCTCCACCTGCTAAATCGCACCTAATAGCAACCGTTAGTCCGATGGCTTTCTTCTCCTATCACTATTGCCCTACTCGAAAATTTAGAAGACAGACACGAAGATATCGCAAGCGCCATTTTTACCGTCGTTTGCCATGTTGGCTAGGCAGGAGTCACCTAACGGATTCGGGAAACTTCACTGCAAGGACTGCTTGACATTATCTTCTCGCAAATTCTTTTCTTCGCAACTCGAGCGCCCACAAGGCAGGGCGCTATGGTCAGGATAGTTGGTCAGTGCCCATATTGCTACCTTCTCGTTCATTTTTTACTGTAATGCTCTATAAAATCCAAAGGCGTGCTAGCCCTACCATTGTTCACCCAGTCGGTAACTTTATTTTCTTCCTTCGTAAGAATAATGCCCCAGAGCTACATCCCTTTGGTACCAGAACTGCTGCAAATCGAACATACCCACCCTCACTTGCTCTCCAGTCGCTCCTCTCGCAATAGACGTTTATCTTATCAATCAAGCTGTTCCCACACTTTCCATGGAGATTGCAGACTCTTCACCAATCGCCAGCATCATTCTCTCATCCACCGTCCGGCTAGACAGCCCAGTCTACTGGAAATGCACGTTCGTTCTTGTCGCTGTGGCAAATCGACGTGCAGTGGCGGTTCTTCTACCTCGACCGAATGATATCCACTACTCATCCAGTCCCCGGCTGCTTAAGGCAAAGGTTCAGCCCAATCCCACACGAAACGCCCCAGATAGATCAAATCTCCCTTCCCCTAAGTTTAACTCGAGCCAGATTCAGCTTCCGCGATGCCTTCGCAAGCCCGGTTTTCCGTCCAGACTGTTTTGTGCTTCCTCGAGTGCGAGCTGAGCGGACATGCACCAGGACAAGCTGGTCTGTTCGGGTTATAGGTGCGATGCTAGCACCCGTGATCCCGGGAGCCGGACATTCCATTGGGATTCATGCGCTGGTATTGATAATTTCGTTTTGAGAACCGTTGTGCATACCTGGGAAGCCGAGGTTGCGGAGCCTGGCTTCTTCGAGAATTGCTGAGCTTTGATATACGGCGGTGGAATGAGAAGAGCTCGAATCATATAAAGGGTCCCTTGCGGGATATTAACCAGATTACCCCATGGGGTATGATGACGATTACATGGGTGACCGGTGACCACATATGATTGCCCATTTCGTAGGACGACCATCGCGCAGCCGCAGGTTCTTTCGAACATTTTTGCTTACTTTCAGTGGCATATTCTCACCACCACCGACTGATGCCTCGAGGCTTAGAAATGCAAATTTTCCCTGCATATATAATATCGCGCGCAGTGCTCGCTATATCCCAACCAACATCTCATGTCTCTCTTCCAACCCGCTAGTGATCCTCCTACCAAGCTCGGTATCTATCGTGTCCTGTCCTCTCGCGCAGGGGTGAGGTGTCGCCTCTGGCCTTCGGAGCTATGAGTATCGGCAGTAATTCCGAGGCCCATGGTAAGCGCCCGATGGATAAGGAGTCTGGTTTCAAGCTCCTAGACGCGTATTTTGATATGGGTGGAAACTTTATCGATACTGCGAATGCATAGTAAGCAACTAGTACATTCATACCATTCCTGTTCTAAGTTCTATGTTCTACAGCCAGAAAGAGACATCTGAAGAGTTCCTTGGCGAGTGGGTGGAGAAGCGAGGAATACGGGACCAGTTGGTCATTGCGACAAAGGTGCGTTCAGAATCACCAATTTATCTGAGTCTATGCAAGGACAGATGAGACCCTCTTACAGTACACATCAAACTACAAGCACGGAAACGACGCTATTGCGCAGAAGGTCAATTACGTTGGGAACAACACCAAGTCCATGCATATCAGCGTGGAGGCGAGCCTTAAAAAACTCAGAACGTCGTACATCGACATCCTATACGTTCACTGGTGGGACTACGAGACGTCAATACAGGAAGTCATGGACAGCCTTCACCATCTTGTCGCCGCAGGGAAGGTTCTCTACCTCGGGATCTCTGACACCCCCGCATGGGTCGTAGCTCAAGCCAATCAGTACGCCATCGATCACGGTAAGACACCATTTGTCGTTTATCAGGGTAAATGGAGTATCCTGGAGCGCTCATTTGAGCGCGATATCATTCCCATGGCGAAATCACTGGGCTTGGCACTCGTTCCGTTTGCTGTTCTCGGGCAAGGCAGGTTGCGGACGGACGCAGAGGAACAGCGGCGGAGGGAGACGGGAGAGAAGGGGCGTACGATGTTTAATCCAAATTGGGAGCGTACAGAGGTGGAAGTGACGGTGTCTAAGGCGTTAGAGAAGGTAGCGGCAGAGGTTGGTGTAGGGACCAATATCGCAGCGGGTGAGTCTGGACTAGCTTCGTTCATCTGCCGGATTTCTGACGAGTGTTTGGGTAGTGGCGATCGCATATGTGATGCAGAAAACACCCTATGTCTTCCCTATCATTGGAGGCCGAAAGGTGGAACACCTCAAGGCGAACCTAGAAGCGCTAGACATTTCGCTGTCCAAGGAGCAGATCAAGTACTTGGAGAGTGTCATGCCTTTTGATCCTGGGTTCCCTACGACGATGGTTGTGAGTTTCGATTTACTTTCTTTTTGGGAGTCTTGGTCTGACGAAGGATGTAGGGCGACGGATCCAGTTATTGTTTTCTCCTTGCGTCGGTCGCGAAGATGGCGAAACAACCCGGTCTCCAACCCATCATGCCTTGATTGGATGTGACTCTGATGCTAATGAATGCTCCTGGTTTTTGTAGTTCAGTTTTCAAATGATATACGTGCATGTACAATTTCAAATCAACTGTAGTGGCCTATCTGGCCGAATGGATCTTTGCTTTGCACGAAGAGTCATGGACCGTGCTTGAACTTTTGCGCTTAGTCGCTACCCAAGACGGAACACTGTTATCCGTCAGTACTTGTAATTATCGCCTTCTCGTTTCACTAGCGGGGTGAGGGCCAACGCATCTGCGTGGCATGGCCGAGTCCTATGTGTCTTCTTTCCGTCAGGTATGCTAGATTTCATATATCAGTGGCCTGCCTGTATATGAACACGCCACGGTCTTTGCTCATCTTGTCTCACATCATGTCGACATCGTCAATTACCTTCCTGTAACGAATGTCTGCCTAATGCAATGCCGTTGTTAAATCATACTTGGTTCTCCGCATCTACAAATCACGCGGTGAAGTGTCACGCACGCTCCATAATAGGCAATACCGGCCAACCGAGGACCGATACTCTGTCAAATTCCCAAGGGCACACCGATCCTGAAGGAAACTCCGTGAGCATTATCATGCAGACGTCCAATGCTCGAGACTGATTGCGTGTTCCAAGAAGCATGAAAGACAAGATCCATTTTATGAACCAAGTCGGTGACATAATCCGGACTAAGCAGCAAGAGGTTCGAAGGGATGATAGAGGGACTGAAAGGTATGCAGAACACGGGAGAAAGAAAGTTTCAGCGGAGTCAATTGCAGGAATGAATACCGAGGGAAGTGCAAGGGTATGAGGCGTTGCAGCTCTCGAACAGATACTTCCGACCCGAGGAACGATGCCGCGGAGGAAATTCCTATGAGCGTGGACGTCGACCCAAACAGTATCTTGAAGGGGTTGGCAGGAAGTAATAACTTGGTTCATACAGAGGACAACAGGGTGAGCTATTTCAGGGGCATAATGGAGTGAGGCAAGAAGTGAGTGTTACACCCGACCCTGTCTGACTGGCGGTGACAGATACGTGAAAGTGAGGCAGCATATGTTCAAGATAAGTGACATAGTGGAAGTGCAATGCTCCGTCATATTCGTGAAGTGCCGAGGAGGCAGCGTAAGGATGAAAATGATATTGCGAGCGATAGCACTCGTGAACTGGAAATAGACGAAGTAGAGATGACAAATGATCTGGCGTATGGAACAAGAGGAAGGACAGAAAGAAACGACGAACATAAGAGGAAAAGACGGAAAAGAAAAGCAAAAAAGGAAAGTCGAATGGGAAGGAAAAAAAAAAAAAGAAAGGAACCGGGTGGAAGAGGAAGAAAGCGAGCACGTTAGAGGGAAGCGAAACGGAAAGTAACGGGATAGGCAAACGGGTAAAGACGGCATCGAATAGAAATATTCCCACGGTAAGGTCAGGTAGATGAGTCGGCAAAAGCCGATAAGGTTTGATACCTCGAATAGAATTTCCCACGATAATTCAAACTGGCATAATAACCGATACCTATATACATAGGACTCGGAATTTCTGACTTGAACACCCCTAGTATCCAAAGTCGTACTAGCCGAAAATCTACCATTGTTCGCCGAATCGGTAGCATTGTTTTATTCGGAAATGGTCGGCATTTTCTTTGTCAGAATAGCGTCTCACACTTGCATCCCCTGGTAAATCGAGCCTCATCTAATATCCAGCCAACCACCCTCTCGCAATGGGCATACTCTTTTCTATCCTTGCACCTTTGGTGAAGATTTTAGAATCTCTAACGATTGCCGGTGGCTCTACCAACCTCAGAGACTACGACGCATACCCACAGGAAGAGACTCGAACGACCGTCGACTCGACATTATTGAAGCCCAGGGCTGAGGCACCGGCATTCTCCCATCCACCATCAGGTTGGACAGCCCAATCTACAAGGATATATACTCGTCCTTGTCGCTGTGGCAAATCGGCATGCAGGTGGCGGTTTTTCTACCTCGACCGAATGATATTTGCCACCCATGAAGTCCTCGATTCGCTTGAGGCAAAATTTCCGCTTAGTCCTACTACGCGAAACGCTATGGGCATTGCAAACCTCCCTGCTCCGAGGCTGAACTCACGCCAGAAGGAATCCTTCTTCCTATCAACTATCGAAGGGCCCAAATTCAGCTTCCATAAAACCTTCGCAGTCCCCGTTTTCCGGCGAGGCTGTGGCGAGAGCGGTCTTTTTCGTTTCCTCGAGCGCGAGCCGTGGGCGGATACGCGTCAGGGCAAGCCGGTTTGTTTAGGATGTGGTGCGACGTAAGCACCGACGATCCGGAATACTGGATATGCCATCGGGATTTATGTGCGGGCATTGATAACGCGATTTTGAGGTCCGTTGTGGATGCTTGGGAGGCCGAGGTCGCGGAGCCTAGTCTCGTCGAGAATTGCTGAGGTGCTAGAATAAGAAGGGCTCGAGTGATATGGGGGCCTTATGCGGGGTATCAGCAGGCCGGGTTGGGATCAGGAATATCGACGCTAGTCTGGTCGAAGGTATGAGATGAGATTACTGCCTATTACGTTCATATGTGGGACTACGAAACGTCGATACCGGAAGTTATGGATAGCCTTCATAATCTCGTCGCAGCGCGGAGGGTTCTCTACCTCGGGATCTCTGATACCCCCGCATGGGTCGTCTCTCAGGCCAACCAATACGCCATGGACCAAGGCAAGAAGCCGTTCATCATCTACCAAGGTAAATGGAGTATCTTGGAGCGTTCGTTTGAGCGCGAAATCACTCCTATGGCAGAATCTCTGGGCATGGCGCTCTCTCCGTGGGTTTTTCTCGGGCAAGGGAGACTGCGAACGGATGCAGAGGAGCAGCGAGGGAGAGAAGGGACTTATGACGAGGGACCCGGATTGAAAACGCACAGAGGCGGAGGTGATGATGTCTGGGGCATTGGAGAAGGTAGCGACCGAGATTGGTGTAGGGACCAATGTCACTGCGGGTGAGTTGGAATTATCTTCATCCATGCCTTGAATTTCTGACGAGTGTGTGAGTAGTTGCGATCGCATACGTGATGCAGAAGGCACCGTATGTCTTCTCAATTATCGGAGGCCGGAAAGTGGAACACCTTCAGGCGGACTTAGCGGCGCTGGACATTTCGTTGTCGAAGGATCAGATCGAGTACTTAGAAACCGTCATACCTTTTGATCCTGGGTTCCCTACGACGATGATTGTGAGCTTTGGTTTACCCTATTTTTTGGTGTTTTGATCTGATGAGCAATGTAGGGCGACGGGACCAGCCATAAAATATTCCTTGCCTTGACCGCGAAGATGGCGAAGCAGCCCACTGGGCAAGCCTATCATGCCCTGACTGAATGTGACTCGGATTCTAACGAGTTACCAGTATTTTGTAGTTTGACTTTCAAACGATATATGTGTATGTAGTACATTCTCATTTCAATTCTAGTGACCCATCTAGCCTATTAGATCCTTGCTTTAAGAGTCAAATGATACTATATTGAATGTGAAGCGGGTCAGAGATAGCCTTCTTGTAACCCTGCAATAACCAAGTCGTGGTCCAGAAAGTCCATATGACCTCCAGGTACTCGCACGACTCTGGCTCCCGGCACCCAACATGAAGCTCCTAGGTCGTCTTGTTCCTCTTTCGGCATTGGTATAAGTCTTGCGCCCTCCTCCGCAACATACACCGTAACCGGAGCCTTGACATCCTTCATGCTCCCCATCCACTCTTCTATATCAGGCCGAAGACAAAAATCACCAATCAAGCCCGAAAACTGCCGCGCAATATTCATCGTCAGTCTCTGTAAAGGCGAACCACCGGTTCCGTTGAAAGCAGAGCGCAGTGCATCGACAGAACTTTTCCTACTCTTATCCCACGCCGTTAAATCCAGCATGATCTTAATGACGGCAGCGATGAACTCCTCTCTGCGGTTTGGATGGTCGGCAGGGGGGATTTGGTGTAAGAAAACAGAGGGGAAAAGATCCAACATAGTAAGCTGCGATACGGTATCACCATGACGCTCAAACTCCTGGGTCATCAAAAAAGCGAGTATGCTTGACGCAGAGTATCCAGCAAAACGGTATGGTCCAGTGGGCTGTTGCTCCTTGATTTTACGTCTGTAAAATGCTACGAGATCTTCCAGACTCGTCATCGGCGCATCCGGCGTCACCTGGACAGTCGACACAGCTGTGCGGAATTTCTCTGGATATGACCTGAAGTCGAATGCAAGACCCGCACCTCCTGCGAGTTCTTTAGTGACGAATATACAGGCTAAAAAGGAGGAACTAACCGTGGAAGGCAATTAGCGGCGGCTCTCCTTTCCCTTTTCTGAGCTTGACGATGGTCTCTCCCGGTTCCGGAAGTTTCGTGAACGCAATTACAGGCTCACCCTCGTCGTCGTCCGAGTCAGAAGTATCCGTAGTTCCATTAGCCAGAGAGGTAGTGATAGCTTTATGAACGAAGGCGGCTAAAAGAGATATCGACGGGTTATTGAAAACGAAATTCTGTGGTAGAGCCCGGATGGCACTGGTGGAGATTATGTGGGTTTTCCGAAGGGTACTGACAATCGTGTTGCGGATCGCAATGGCTATGAGACTTTGGGGGGATGAGCTTGACATGTTCGGGCAGGGAAGGAGAAAAAGAACACAGACCTGTCAACTCCGACAACAAAGATGTCCTGCGTATCAGAGATTTGAGCATCGGTATGAAGAAGGTTGTGCACAATGCGCCCAATCCATTCTGTAATATCGTCGACACTCCATTTCTGTGGTGCCGGGACACTGGAAAGAGAGATATTTTCTACCGCTTCGTATGCCGCCTCAATCTCCTTACTGTAGGCCTCAAGAATAGCTGGTCGTCGAAGAGTTCCTTTAGAGGTGAATGTGAAAGGCTTGGATGGATGCGTAACAATGATCATCTACGATACCGATGTTAGTGTGAGTGCCCAAGTAATGAAGTGATTACGCGCTACCTCTTTGAAGATCCTTGAATGCTGCGGTGCCTCTTCATTCGCTTTGGACACCGTGTCCCTAGAAAACAGTGTCAATACGAGTAAAAAAGAAAAGAAAAGACATGTGCCATTACCAAATGCTCGCACGGAAGTCGGCAAGGTCTTTCTCGTTGGTTGGGTCAAACTCATATCCCGGAGCTGGTGAGACCAGCACCCCGGGTTGGAATCTAGATCGGCCAAACATAACGGCGGCGGCAATTCGTCTGTCAGTAGTAATCGTTTTTTCTGCTAGAATATTAGCATAGTACAGAAGATGGAAGAAATTGAACATGCCAATTGGCGTAGGGTTCGTCTTTTCCTGCACTAAGTGTGAGTACGAGTGGTAGGAAAGCGACAAAACGTGAACGTACCCCAGTGCTATGGATAATTTGGTCATCTATCAAGTTCTGTTCACCACAGTCACTTTATAACGAAAGCAGGATAAAACATACCGTGTCTTCCATAGCACTTGAACATTTCAGGATTGACGAGATGCCTGATAAATATGTCTGTAGTATCGTACGCCCTGACGCCGTCTATTGTGGTGTTGAAGACCGCAGGAGAATATCCGGTTTTAGGATTTTCCTTTGAAAAAATGAGAACAGACGATGCATCGAAGTCGGATCACCTACCCTAATGATTACGTGGAACATATTCTCTTCACCGTCGATTGGGAGAAGGTCATAGTTGATATAATGTGCCCACTGTGTCAAAAGAGTAAACGAAGGTCGACAGTATGGTAATTTTGAACTTACCTCAAACCATTCCCACCCTTCAGCAGGCGTCTCTTCTAATATGACATCATTAGCAAAAGCTCTCTCAATCGCATCAGGAAACATACTGGGAATTAGCTTAGCAGAGAAGGTGGTTTCGGTACTAAGGGAAGGATAAGCATTACAGTTTGATTTTCTACACCGTGGACCGAAACAAACCTGCCGAACAAGGCGCAGAGGGGCACACCTTTGGCTACCAACGAGTCTCCAGCAGATTTGGCGAGCGGTCCACCTCCAAACAACTACCAAAAGTGAATCAACAGTCGCCAAAGGAAAGAGAAAAGTTCGTACTGCTACTGTAACCTTCTTTAGAACTTCGGCAGCGGAAGGATCGCGTGCCCATGCCTAGTATTCGATAGAGCTTAGCCTCTCGACACTATGAATAAGAAAGTCACTCACCTCGAAGAAGTGAGGAACACAAAGCACAACCGTGCATTTCGTTGCTACTATTCCTTCCAAAACACGCTCTGGCGTTGGCACTATGGGTGGATTTTCAGGACGGAATACTGCTATGGTTACACCGTCTGACGCCTGAGATGATTGGTCATGGTCAGAAGGGAATGATAGAGAATTATTTAACATACGGCGACCATCAGTGTCCAGCACCCCATGAGATCTAAGCAGAAAATTTTCAGTAAAATATCCGACATTTGATGAAATAGAACACGCACGATACATAGCTGAGGCATGTGCCGAAAGAACATGCCCGCAAACATCCATGTCTCCGTAAGCTTGTTAAGAATCGTATCAGATCCCGCAGCTAGGCGAAAGAAGAAAAGGTCGCACATAACCAGACCCCCTGCATCATATAAAATCGATGCGTGTGGGGAATTGGACTGGGGAAGCGTGTTGATCCTGATGAGTGTATAATGAGCGCTAGTTGTTCCCAGTCAGGCCGCACATGCGGCAGTGGCTCCGAATGATCCTTCAAGTAGAGGTCTTCGAATGTTGGCATCGGTATCGTAGTTACGCCGTCTTGCACACGGGCGACTTCCTGCATAGCGGGATCAGCACTGACAAATAGAGACTTGCATCCAGTGCTTTCAAGCAAGTGAGCGACTGCAGCTGGAGAGTTGCGGGTAGAAATTGGGAACGCAGTGTACCCGGCACGTATAATACCAGCAACCACGGTGAGAAATGTGATGCTATCTGCAGGAAAGTGACTCGTCTCAGCCGGTGGCCGATCAGATGAAAAGAGCTTACCAGCATTTGCCAGGACTCCTACAACCGGGACGGTGTCCGTTCGAGGAACGTACTCAAGAACAATACGACCAGCAGCATGGATGGCCTTGGTGACCTCACTCCAAGTGATCCTTTGAATATGGTCTTGATCATAGAATTGAAAGACGGGATGGTCCGGGCTGTGTTGTGCGTTGTAGTCAAAGATTTCTGGGTAGGTGAGCGACCCATCGAGAGGAGGGCGAGTAAATGTCAAGAAGGATCCAGGTGAAGTCTTCATGGTAGAGATGCGTCGACAGACAATTACCGATTACCGATTATTTATACCCCTCCTCACAAGCGCAAAGTTCTTTACTGTGACTGGAAGCATAATTAGCACGTGTATTGCGGCAGCAAGATGTTCCACTGTTATCGACCAGCACACAAGGAGAATGACGATTGGAGTAGTCGCGATAACGCCGAATCCAGATGACCGTCGGTCGTGCGAACTTGAAGCTACACCTGTCATGGCAGTCGGTCCGCAAGTGAGAATTCCAATTACAAATCGTAATTTATAGAGCACATAGTTTACTGAACCATATAAGTGCTATCCTTCACACTTGAGCTCTTGCAAAATGGCCTAGCTCAAAAATGGTTGAGTACCGTAGGCAGGCTGACAGAGACGGTGTTCTCACCGCTCTTAGATCCAAGAAACGTAACAAGATTCAAGTAGTAACGTCTACAAGGACACCGCGGGCACACACGGCTTTCAATTTGCTCTGATGACGTGAAGGGAGGAGTCTGCGTCCCATCGAACCGAAAAAAGGGTGTCCACGTGATCTCATACTCCACCGAATAATTCAAATTGAACAGTTTCACCTCCACCTCCGTTGTCGAAGCATTGCTCTAGAGATATTGCGAAAATAACACCGTCTGTCGCGCTTCTCACTGATTCCGTTACATAACTTGCTATTCTGACGGAGAAAACCCAGAGCAGAGCGTTGCTTATGCGAAAGCAAGGCTCCCGAGAGACAAAAATGTGGAAAGTATATGAATCTACAGGCTTTTTTTTTGCCCCTGACACAGAAATAAATTCAGGCAGACTAGCAACTCGTGCATAGTAGCAACTAGGTACAACTGGGGTAACATTAACTCAGATGGAATCTCGTGCTCAGTTTCAAGCCTCGAATCATGCTTATTCGATGAAAATACTTTGGTAGAGGCTTCGAATAGTCCTGGTGAGCTGCCTCCTCGGTCTCGCATTCATACCCGATGTCATCAAGGACCATCATTGTCCCGCGAGTCAATGGTACCGCTGTCGGCCATTGTCCAGAAGTTCTGAGTCAGTATGTTTCCCGGGTACGTCAGCTTCCCGGCTGGCGAACTTTATTAATTTTCGAAGAAGGGACATCGATTACAATCCGCAGGTATGTGCCGTGTCCGATGGCAGCGTGCTGATGACGCAAAGATATTTCGTCGTTTCAGCTTTAACTTTCGCTGCAGACTGGTCGTAAAACTGGTTCTTACTGAAGCACTGATTTCAGAGGCTACAGCATTAGGTCACTCGGGAAATATCACTGGGAAAGCGACATATCGCGTTCCGAATCACCTGTATACCTGAATTCGTTCCTTCAGTCTAATTTTGCTAAAGACGTGCAGGAGAAAATATGTCCATGTTCCCAATAGTTCGTTCTCTTCCTGTATTCTAAATTCATATGCTAACAGATAGTAAAACATCGGTTATCATGAAGGTGGCTATACTTCGGGGTAACAACGTGGATACCTCATTGGGCTGCTAACCCCCGATACGGACTACGCTCTCTTTAGAGAAGCTCAAATCGTGCTCACGCTGCTGCTCTTCGGAACATGGTTCAAGAAGTTGAGGACTTGTGTTGAGTAATCAACCAGAGTCATCTTGTACAGACTCGGACGCACAATCCGATCATTAACGGACAACTTGAACACTTGGTGGACACCCTACTGCACCATTTATCACACTGCAGGTCTGTCACGATGTATTGCTTCTATAGTTATAACTTATGGTCGAGCGCTCGTCTTTAGTTCCTGTGGTCGTTAGGGGCCTTGTCTGATTCCCCGGGGGATTCGGAGTAACATGGCGACGAGCGATCGTTCGACTTAAACCTATGCTGGCTCTAATAGGTTCGTTTTCTTTCAAACCTGCTGGTCGTGATGTTGAAGGGTGTCTTAGAACTCAAATTAGTTAGGCGAGCTTTAGCATCATTGTCACGGTCGGAGGGAGAATCTGTAAAAAGGTGTGTCTCCCACTGCCTCCCTCGGGTTGACTCTCATCGTCTTGCAGCTTCTCTCATCAATAAAGGTCATTCCTACCTCTTTATCGGTTGACCCAGAGAGGTTGAAACTTGAACAGCAAGAGCAAGCGCAGATTCCGGACCGATATCGTCTAACGGCCCGAGAGAACCGGCGCCAGGCATGTTCCGCTCTGCATTCAGCTCGTACCACGGAACAAACGAAGAATTCGACGCATTTCTACCGTATTCACAACGACATTGATGGCCCCATGACCGTCCTAACCCTCGGACAGACGATTTTATATTCAAACAGTTTACCAAGCTTACGGCGTTTGCGTAGGAGTTTGTAACAGATTAGATCTTTCGCCGTCGATTGTTATTGTCGCCATAGGCCCAGGTACCCAGCGCTAAGTTCTCGGCGACTGCTGCAGCTCACTATAGGATACGGCATTCCCATATTCTACTGCAATTTTGGCAACACCGTCAACAGCGCGAACCAAGTGTAGTACTTGATACGCTATAAAGCTGGAGTAACCATCCGCTCTGTGAGTGAGTATCAATAGGATGGAGAAAAGGATATTGCTGATATGAATTAAGTGAAATGGATGTCACAGACCACGTAATGGCCACGCAGAGATAAACGGGACACGACTAAGGCCCCAACGATGTCGTGAACACTAAAACGTTTCTGGATGGTCATGTACTGAAGTACCGGTCGGCAACGAAGACCCGGAAGACCCAAAGATTACTACCACGCTATTACAGATGGAACGAATAGTCCATTGTGAGCAACATACTGAAAATGTCGGGACCTAGTCCAGGCTTATGGCGGCGAGAGCCCGTGTTCGAGACGAAACTCGAGAAGAAGGTAAGTGCAATCACTTTGCTTAATGTTGTTCTGGAGACTCTATCACCAGTAGGTTCTACGTCGTAATATCTAGGAGCAAGGTTAGACGGATGAACAGAAGAATTCGCATTTCACAGCCGATAACTCCAGAACTCGTAGTAAACGTTGCAAAGCGGGGGCACGCCTCCCAGAGACACAAGCCACACTCGGCATCTACCAGATCGTTGCGTTTTTGGGGGCTGATTATTTCTTTGTTCTTTGTTTCTCCGTCATTGATCAACCCAGGAATGAAATAAGACAAGAAATAAGACAACCGATATTAGTTATGCGCTGTGGTTCTGGGTTTGATCAGGGGACTCTACGGATTTCACGGGAGTCTTTTGAAGTCTCGTACAAGACCCTTTTTACGCCTACGCGCCTGGTTTGAACCGCTTCTTGACTTTAAGTGTTAAGTAGTTTTCTAGATCTTCATGGATCGGGCTTGATGAAATGGTGCGACAGATCCCGTGGCTTCCCTGCGAATTTAAGGTTTATGAAACCGCCAATGGCAGAGGATTGGAGTATTCATATGGCGGACTGGCAGTGCTTTTTATTATGTACTAAAGGTTCTAGATTTATTTCGGGCCGGTGAGCCGGGCGCTTCATTCGAATAACGTTTTAGCCTCAAGCCTTCACTGACCCCACGGTCACCGTGGACCATAGGGTCTGTACCGTAACCTCGACCGTTTAGGCCATCTTTTTCACTCCGTGAATCCTTTTCTTTGGAACCGTTGCGTTCCATGTTTCTCGAAGCTCTTAGTAGGCTCTCAGCATTCTAGGATACCAAACACCCGCCGGAAGTCCGAGCCTATGCTCAACAAATGGTAGGCTACAGCTGGTGCTTTAACCAGGATCTCTGGGAACAAATGATGGGGGTGTCTTTGATATCGCAAGATGAAATCGTTGCGTTGCCAGACAATAGGACAGGTCTAACCTTTTCAGGTGGTACTAGTACCGACTGGTCCGATTCTTTTCTGCGTGGTTGGCCAATCATAAATGCTGCCACTGGGGTGGTCAAAGCGTCTCTTGAGTCTTTGTCGAGTACTCTGCATTCGATCCTTCCCGTGACCCGATACCGGACAAGATGGTAACGCGCAAAGGTCTGATTGGACGGCTCTGTGAAGACAATAGCCAATTTCCGATATCTTTTCTTGCAAAGACAACTCAATACCGACCCTGTGCGCCTATTTAAGACGTCCAACCGTTCTCAACAATGTCTCAAGGTCTCCTTCTATCTCTCTCCGTATACTGTTACACCACTGGTGAGCATGAAGCCTTCTTTCACTTCAACTATTAATAATTTTACTCATTTTGGAACTACAGACTTTAATATGTGTATGGCAGCACGAAATCCGGTTTACATCCCCCGGGACTTGGTAGACTCAATCATCGATGAGCTCAGAGACGACGCTTCCGCCCTTCGCGCATGTTCCCTCGTCGGATGGGAATGGAGGTTTCACTCCCTCTATCGCCTCTTCCAGAAATGTGATGTTGTTCTTCGATCCGAAGCGGACTTCCTCGGTTTTATCAAGTGCGAGTACATACATCTCTGCGTCAGGTCCTTGGTCCTTACCTACACCGACACTTCCTCCGGTCGCTGCCCTCCCATGATGCCCAACGTCTTCGCTACCTTGAATAAATTGGAGTGCCTGACGCTCCGCGGTCGCTACACCATCAAATCCATGTCATCCGACACTCTCGTAAGCCTTGGTCGTCTAAGCGACTCTAAAGTCGGCGCTCTTCACACCCTCATCCTGGAAGAACTTGGGAAGCGTGTCTCTCCCCGAAGACTTCCCTCCTTTCCCGCACTCCTAGCCACGTTCACCAGACTCCGAAAACTGAAGATATCATCTTCCACTCAGTTTATTTCCTTCGGACCAGAAGGGGTGAAGAGCTTGCTCGACGTCGAAGAGCTAGAACTATCCCAGATATGCCCTGGAAGCTGGTGTCATGTTGCGCAGTTTCTCGATCGCCGTTTGAAGCGCCTCTCGGTTGATATCTGTGCTCTTCAGTCCGACCGATGCCTGGAAGACCTTTTGCACTGGGCACAGTCACAGCTAGACACGATTCGGGTCCACCACGGCACCTTCGCTACCGCTCTGTACACGAACCCAAAACTTTGGGGGAAATATACTTTGGCGCGGGATGTTTTCTTCCGCGTCAAAGACCGTCGGTGGAGTAGTATCTTCGGGACTGCTAACGAGCTCAGGGCCCTAATGGGATGGTATCTTGATTGCTTTGAGGCCGCTCAAGCGGAGACCTTCTGTGCGAGCTTTGCTTGTGAAAACACAAGGAGTAGCTTGTTCGATCCGATCTGTGACGCGATGTGGACTCGATGCGACAAAATGTCCTCGGAAAGCAAAGCGCTAAAACAGTTTACGATGGAGCTGCATGGATTCGATATGGAAGGGCGTTTCTGTAAAAGGGCTATCCGGGATCGGCTTCCTCGATTGAGTGAGGAGGGTAAACTAACGGTTAGGGTTTACAGTTCTCACGTTGTTTAAATATATATCCGAAGAACCTACGTACCTCATGTCTTGTTCTATGTACTCAAAGTGTCTACGTTTCGGCATTCAAGTTCCGCAGCGAACCCTTCCTTGAGATGTCCATGCCGACCCGGGATAAAATAATACTTTTTCAAAGGTATTGTTACTGAGCGCGGTTTGTTTCAGTCAGAGTTCTTGGCGACGCTTACCGGTGACTAACATCGTCATGGACAACGCCGATGCAAATCCGAGCGAGCTGACGTTTCCGTTACGCAGATATGTAAAGAAGGACATGAGATGTTCGATAACGAGGGCTTGAGAACAAGGAGTATTCGTTTCTTCCTCCTTCCCTAATACTTGATATATGCCGGCCTAAGTCCAAAGCAATTCCAGAAAGACAGAGCCGTCACCTCTTCGCAATCAAATCGCTGGTAGTCACCCGGGATTATTCGCAGATTGTCGCCACCGCCGATAATTTTGGGGTTTGCGGAATTTTCAGGGTATGCGCTATGTGGCGCACAATACGGTCGGCGTTCACGCTCACATCATTTATTAGCTTCAGTTGAGTACAAGGGATTGAGTCGAGGCACGATAAAATTAGAGAAGAATAACAGTACCTATGCTGTGGCTCAAGCGGGTACTTTCGCGAGCCTCGTGCTAAGTAGGAAAACTCGGTCTCCTCCCTTTCGTCAACGGGTACCGTGTTCCAGAAGTCCATTGGCATGCATGTTCGGTATGGTGTTTCTAACGACGGTAAAATGCGTAAATATTCTATGTTATCTTCCCATTGTACCCAATCCCGATTTCAATGCAACCTCCCAAAGAGGAGAAATGGAGGCATTGAAGAGGTGCAACCACGGAAGCTAGATGTCCGAATCGCAGTAGGATAAACGTGAGGTCCCTTCGAATTAGCCGGGTCACATCGCGGCGTTCCTCCTATTTTTTTTAAGTCTGGCTGTCTGAGGCGTGATAGCTGTGATATTCCTCAGTTCAACTTCTGCCAGGACAATGAATTTATATCAGTTCTAGGTACCGCCGCTGAGTCCATTATCAAAGGAAAGGCATTTCCACTCTTTCGCGACAATTCAGGGGGGTATCTGAAACGACAGATAGCATGGTGCAATGAATGAGTGGCGACTGTGAATAGAACTAGATAGTATGTGGAGAAGCGGGTGGGCTTCAGGTCGCAACGATGGTCTAGGCGCGACCAAGGTCCAGAACATGCGCCAGTGGCGCAGACTGATCGTCCGGAACCGGTCCCCGAAGCAGAAGATCCGGGAAGATCCGGGAGCTGCTCAACCCAATGAAAGTTCTGTAGAGTACATATCAGGCGCCCTCCTCGGCTCTTCCCTCAACAACTCCCTATTGCCCACGACTGCGTCGCCAGGAACGAGAACACGTCTATTTCAAGCTCTCGCCTGACCAGGACGTTCTCAGCATAATCCGTCGCCACCGCAAGTCGAAGCATACCCTCTGTTGGACGGCAGCACTGATAGTCAGTAATTAGTTTCTGGATTCGCCGGCAGGTCTTGTACGACGGCAGCAGAGCAGATCCACCAAAGTCATTAGGGTCATGAGCGGAGAGAATGAACAGGCTCTGCAGGTGTTCCCATCGCCGGAGGCATTCCAAGAGCCGCGTCTGGATATGGCGTCAATGTTTCCTTCTCGACATATGAAATTCGAGGCTTACGATAATATTATCTGGCCCTTTGACATCCACTCGATCCTGATCGACGATCACACGAAGGATCTCAAGATTCTTGCACTGTGTCAAGATGCGTAGCGCCCCATCATTGAGACACCATTCTCCCGGAGTATTGGGATGAACGAATAGCTCCTTCATCGTTCCCACGTGCTTGGGAAGTACTGTCTTCCAGAATCTCCGTGCACGCGCGTCGCTTTCTGACTGAGTAAACGTGAGCGACAGCGTCATGATACCCGAATATGAGCCAAGATACTCCAAGAGAGCGTCGTCGACCATGACAACGGAAATATGTTGTAGAAAGATCTTATCAGTGCGAAGAGCAGTCCAGAACAGCTCCGGTACATTCGCGATGTGGATTTGGAGCGAGGCAAGAAGTCGAAGATGAGGAATGAGGAACGTGACGTCGGAAGGTGGAAGCATGAACTGTCCTTCGACGGATAAATGTTCTACCGGCCGGTATGTCGCAGAGGGCAGCGAGGAGAATATATCCCGTACCGAAGGAAACGCCGTGTTTGATGTACTGAAGTTAACGAGATCCAAACGATAAACGTCGGGGCTGCTAGCCATGAGGGAAGGAATTACGTCCAATATGCGGTGGCCATTAAACGTAATGTCACGAAGGTTGTGGAAGTGAGAAAAGAAGGGTTCATGAATTGTGTCGGTGTGAAGAATAATGCTGATTGTGGAAAGTTGGGGGAGTTTACTGAAGCGATGCATAACAGCGTTCACCTCGAGCGTGCTAAAACCACCCTGGCGGAAACCCAGGAAGCTAGAGAACGAATGTCTGCAGGAGTTCCGCTTGGAAAGGCGATAGAGGGCTCACTGTAACGACTTTAGACACACCAAAGAAGGAATGGCTTCAAGAAGACGCGTCGCAATGAGACTTGTCACTCGCGCCCTCCTGTTCGCCACCTTGTCCCAAAACCCAAGGTATCTGCTGTAGGGAGGGTCAAATGAGGAGTTGATGCTGAGGGATTTGATATATCGTCCAGGATTGTCTTTCCGAGACCTTAGCGACTGCAGGAGTGACATCGACACAGGAAAGAGGATGTCGTCATTGAGATTGAGCGCTACGTGTTCGAGGGTCAGAGGTGTGACGATGTAGTTCAGATGTTTGCAGGTGAATCTGGTGCGCTTCAAATCATCCAGCTCAAGCTGAAAGAACGCGAATCAGCAAGAATAGATGAAAGAAGCCGTCGTCGTACGCACCAAGGACACGATCCTGTGCAATAGTTCGTTGGCCAATGAAAGTAACATGCCGATTTGATATGTCTAGGCACTGCCAGCACGTAAGTCGCGGTAGAAGACGTTCGGGTAAAGAGAACAGCTTTAAATGCTGCTGAGATTTAAGTGATGCCGCAAATGATGGTCGGTTCCGCTTCATCGAAAAATGGACAGATAAATACGAGCCTAAATCTCAAGCTAGGTCATTTGTTGACTTTGTCTAGAGCTTGGTTTCCAACTAGAATCCGGGGCTCGGATCGGTAAGCGCCTAGACCAATGACGTACGCGACGAAGTGAGCGCCAGCACACGAGGTTCAGGCATCGGACCGGGGAAAATTTCCGATCCTTTCGTGAAAAGATTGTAGAAGGAAATATATTCCAAACGCCATCTTCCTGCGGGTGTGAGGAGGCGGGAGAAAGACCAGAGGAGACCGCCCGAGGATCATCTTGACAATTAATTGGCGCTAGGTAAGTCTCGGCCTGGTGGGATCAGACTTCGTTGATGTTTCCGGTGCGAATTGTATATCCCGGGAACTGAAAGTTCTGGCGTCAATTGATAAATCTGGGATATGAAGAGAAAGAAGCATGTTATTTCAGGCGGTTTGACTTACTGATGAAAGCGTAAATGAACTCGAACTAAGTATGGATTTCCGTCTCCCTCATGCTGGCCGAATCTTCACAATAGTCAGATCAAAACGCGTGTGAACGCGTCATCTAAAATGAGAAGGTGCCAGGCTTGGTCGGTCAGCGGCCTAGCATGTAACGTCCCAAGTCAGATTCCACCAAGATATGATGCATATTATCCGTTGGTTGCCTGCACTAAAAAGCAGCGATTAGATCGTTAATCCGCTCAGGGTGAGTGCCTCGGGCTGTGATATGGTACCCGATATCCGTATTGACTGGTATACCGACAAAAATATATCAAACTCATATGCTGCCATATACAGAGCGTTCCTAAAACGCGTGTCTGTCTCCGGCATTAGACAATTATCGACAGGTGAAATAAATCACGCACGACAATATTCTTTGGACCGCCTATATCCGCACGCTGCCTGTCGACAATAATACTCAGAATCTCGAGATTTGCGAATTACATCAGACATCTTAGAGACCCACTGTCGATACACCACATTCCAGGTGACAGAGGTGGACAAGTGGCCTCTTCATCGTATTCGCATGCCTGGGAAGTACTTGATTCCAGAACCTTAGGGTTCCGGTTTCGATTCCCCCTGTCTACGATAGGCATCATTATGGTGATCCCCGAGAACGAGCACAAGCAGTCCAACAGGGCATCGCTGCCAATAACGACAGATAACTCTTTGACGTGTATATGCTTTCCATGCTGAGAGCAGTCCAGAACGCATCTGAAATGTCATGAATGAGCAGTCGGAGTGAGGTGAGGTGGCGTAAAGTGTGGGATGACGGGGACAATATCAGGTTGCGGCAATGTAAAATTTCCCTCTAAGGTTAGCTGCTCCACAGAACAACGAAATGCCGGCGGTAAGGCAGATAAGAGGTCCAGAACGGAGTGGAGGTTTGTTACAGATGTTTCGGTGCTAACCAGACGTAGACGGAACAACCCTGGGCTCTTGGCGATGAAGGATGGGATCGCGTCGATCATCTGTCCTGTGATGTTGATGTCGCGAAGATGATGGAAGCAAGAAGAAAACTGCGGCTCGCGGTTCATGGGAGGATAATAAAAAGTATCATGCAGCGTGTCTAGGCATGGCAGAGCGCTGATGCGGCACATGATGCCATGCAGAGCAGAAATGCTCAGTTCGGACGCATGATAGAAGTAGAATCTAGATAATATTGAGATTGCAGTTCGGTGATTTGGAGAGCAGCTCACTCTATAACCACAGGAAAACCAGAGAGGGCAGGGAGAGACAGTGCGTCGAGAATGAGCTTTTCGATGCGCGAGACAACACGGCGTCTCATTCTCATCAACCAATACCACAGTTCGTGGTATTTTTCATATGGCGGATCGAACGAAGAATTCACGCGGAGATATTTGATGGATTTTCCCGGATTATTTTGTGAAGAACCTAGAGCACGGGGGAGCAGAATGGGAGTGTCAAAAGTCCACTCAAAGTTGAGATTTAATGACACTCTTCGGGGAATAAAGGAAGTGATGTTGCCGTTATAGGACTTGCAGACCAATCTCTAAGTGTTTGATGAACCTTCAAATAGATCTGCCAGAACAAAATTAGTGCCCAGAAAATTGGATTCCATGTAACCGATTTTCGCCCACCTGAGAGATAATTTTCCTGAAGGAGCTCTGAGAGAATTTTGTCGAGCATGATTCTTCTGGTCACCAGCATGTCGAAGCGATCTTAGAGCAAGCGCTTGAAGTTGTTGCAGAGATGCCAGAGAATCGAGTGCCGTGCGCTCGGCAGCAACGGAAGTGTGGTAAATGATGTCGAAAAGACTGCATCCAGCAGGGGTCCATAGCGATGTAGCCGAGTGTAGAATACGATTGTAAGGCTTCTCGCGCCAATATACGCTTATGAATCGAATTCAGAGACGCCGGTTGTTCGTAGCCCGGCGCTCGGATCGAATACCGGTTGAACCGATCACGTGCGCTTTCCATCGTCGCGGTTCATAACTTAAAGTTAAACTTTCAACTTAATGTTGACTTGATGAGCTGCGTACTAAGCTATCTTTAAGGTGAGTTACTCTGAGGCTTTGTCTGAGTCTTCGACGTCTGCATCCATTTATGCTGTCGTGTAACTTCCATTTACTGTGGAATTTTTAACATCTTCCTTTGGCAGTTATTTACCCATTCGAGGTTCAAGATTCGCAGACCTCGATTTGATTCTTGATTCTTAATTCTCATTGTATTTCTACTCACTGAAACATCTCTAGACCAGAGCCAGAGGCGTCGAGGTACTCGGAGACGTCATCAACCTTCTTTCGCCAACTCCAGGACAGACAATTCTCATTCAGCAAGTTTCTATCGGACTTTTTTGCCACTCTTGATGGTGCAGCGACGAATTCTTAACTCTTACAGTCTAGTGGTACCGCGTACCTTGGGTACTGCTTCTACCGCGCGATCCAGCCCCTTCGACTTAGGCCCGGCCCGTGAACCATTCTTTTCTCACAGCGTCTTGTGGTTTTCTTAAGCTTTGTTGCACCAGTAAACGACAAGCCTCGGCCACTCTAGCCTACGAAGTTCATTGTTCAAAAATCTTTGACACCAAGGCCTGACGTGTCCTCGTGATTTTCCCCTGCAAATCCCTGGTCAGGGCGCCTTGCAACGAGATACTAGTAGTAAACGCCCCCACACGTACTGTGACCAGGGGCACTCGGAAATAATTCGGCTGGCGCAATGTTCCGCATATAAGACTCGGTCGGGGATACCTCAGTCCCCGCTTTTCATATTGCATCTGGGTCTGGGAATCTCCCGTCGGCTAAGATAAAATATCAAATCCTGATCTCCCTATTCACATGGCCTACTTTCGACCTATTTTTTTCTCCCAATACTCGCCCTCCAGGCAGCCAGTAAAGCCTCTGCCGCAGAGAAAGCCCTATTACCTCCTCTCACGAGTACATCTTCCCCGTGCTGACATTTTTAGCCCTTTGACGGTTGCAGACGCAGAATGGCTGAATACATCCATGGTTAGGCCTATTAACAGCGCGCGGTTCGAACCTCCTGTGCGACGCCGTGCGCATGGTCCACACACGAAGGTACCACCGCCACCACTGACTCCTGTCGCGCAACAGGGACGCTGGCTGATTTCCTTGACGACTATCTCATTCACCCTCCCCATCATGGACCTGATGGCTGTCGTGACTCGTCCAGAAGGTTTCCCTCGATAACTTTGGCTTTCTCCTCCCATGGCCACGCGAAGCAGGCGTAATCTCGCACCCTGTGTGTCAGATCTGAACGATCTAGCCTTTCCCTCCCCCGCAAAACTCTTTTCCCTTCCAATGATGGGTCCTATCGTGTGGCGCGAAGCTTCTGAATCTCTCATCTTCCCTGCGTTTTTTTTTGGTGGCGCGTAGAATGAAGGTGGACTATTCAGCGGGATTCGGTCCGGCTTCTTCTGAGCCCTGCCCTTCTTAATACCACGAGCGAAGCCACGGCGTGCACTCGAGTCCATAGGCCTTCGACTCGAGTCGATGACCTGCCACTGTGATGATAACGCGATTTGCTAAGCGGTCTAGCTTCATATGGAGCGGCAATACGATAGATAATTGGAGGCAGTTTCTATCTTGGAGCCTTTTGCGGTCGCCAATGAGAGCCTGCTTTCAACGGCAAACACTCCCCGTTTTCTTATACGACTACGTATCGTCTCAGCCCCAGTCCTTCGGACCTTGTCACTTCTCTCTTGATCATTAGCTTCTAATCATTTCTGGTAATGAACTTGGGAAGGCCGGGGACCCCGTACTCCGTGATTTGCGAACTTTCGCAGTGCTGAGCTTCTAGTCGTGACTGGATGCGGTGGCGATACGATAAACTCCTGGTCTTGTAGGCAATTGAATTGGGGTCGACCGCAAGTTTCGTATTGGACTCCTGACAAACCCGTCCATCTGGGCACGTAGTTTACACGCTGAACAGTGAAGAAGCACTACGCCGGAGCTAGCCTACCAGGTTTCGACTTCTCTCTGGGCTCCGAACTTCGACTTCTCATAGTTCATGAACGGTCGAAGTCATCGATGTAATATTACCGCGTAGCGTCGAGGACCCAGCTCAGGCTGCAACTGGAATGGAAGAGTAGCAAAGACCTGAACTTGGCGGCAACGTCGATTCTAGCGTACTGCGATCTTCATACCGTGATCCCAGATTTATAAGCACAAATGCTCCGCAGCATTCGTCTGAATCGTATACCCTTACAGCGTCTTAGCTTCGATTTCTCCTGGTTCGTGGACAAACTTCGATAGTCGAAGACGGCCTCCGGGGTTTCAATCGAACCGGTTAGGTTTGAGGTTCTCTTCACTTTGAGGCGGTCCTAACGCGTGGAGGACACTGCCAGGCTCCAAACAACGTTCTAGTTAAGTCATCCATCTCACCTCATGGGCTTCACGGAGACGAAAAAAGCCAAGCTAGGTAAACACTTAGCATTAACCTTTTGTCTACACTGTTTACCGATCATATGCCTAGACTTCTCAACTTTCATTCTTCCGATATACGGGCACTCTAAAGTTCACAACGCGCCGCGATGGTGATAAGTACGACATTATCAAAGGTATTAAATGCTGAAGGGCCTGGCCTTTGATTGATTACAGTGGCAATAGTTACTCCCTTCGACTTTGGGTACTATTCTTCCATCTCAGTGGAAATTTTGGGCTCATTCATCTAGATTTCCTGGTCTGCATACGTAGGGGGCCACGGTGAACCCGCGGTAGATCCCGCTGCAATGGTAATACGCTTGCATTACACTTACGCAGCACCTAGCCTCTGATCAATTACTTACTATTTCACCCCTGGATGCGATTCTTCCGTCCTTGAGGCTTTGAGCCAGTTGTAAATGTATCGCACTACTGCACCGCCAGTACGGAGATGCGCCTGCCTCGTGCCAATCCTTCTGGACTCCTTGTAAAACTCGCTAGACAGTAAATCCTGGTTGGTCATTTGAAAGTCTCCTTGTAAGCTTCTGGCAGCACGCTTGATTCACTTTCACGTCACAGACGCAACTTGTCAGGACTTGAATTGAAGAGTTGTGTCAAAGTCGGCTGGCACGCAATACCGCTTACGCTTCAAAGATGTCGCTATGACTAAGCAAAAACTTTAAATTCAAAGTCTACCTCAACGAGCACCACCAAAACCACTTGAACCGTCGAGAACAGATAAAATTGCAAGCCAAAGTACCGTATAGAAAAAATACAGAGCAACGGCGGTGGGAGCCTGCTGGAAACACAAACAAATTGTGGCGCAGGGCCGAGAGTGAGGCGGAGATTGAATACAATCTCACCGCTCGCCTTATTTTTTCTATTCCGCCGCCAATTTGCTTGACGGTAAGTCAACTTTAAGTGAAAACTTTATTCTTAAATGTATCTGATTATTTGCTCTCACTATCTCTCGTGGTCGTTCGTTGGACAATGAAGACGTTTCAAGCATGTCGCAGTCGTCGTCAGCGTGGACAGAGCCACCCTGGTCGGGGTGGATAGAAACGACTGGGGATGCTCTGCTCATCCTCGAAGCCGCTCGTCGAGGCCTGATACCACGGGTGACCCGTCGCTTAGTCGATGCTGAACGCAAGATGATCACGTCGGGGTCTGTATTCGTATTCGACGAGGATGAGAGTGGCATCAAACGCTGGACCGATGGGTTCTTCTGGAGTCCGAGCCGAATTTTGGGTAATTTCTTGCTATATCGCGAGACAGACAAGAGAGGGCCCAGTCATCGAGGGCGTGGCGACGAGCAGCAGCAGGAGACAGACGATTTTTCAACGGATAATCCAGCCAATAGGCGCCCTCGGACGGACGGACGTCTACTCAGTGTTGCTAAACATCGTGAACGGAGTTTGGTCGGAAGTCTGACGAATAGCTACAAGTTCAAGCCGGATGGATTAATGAAAAAGGTACGTCTGCCTTGCTTTTTCTGTTCTTTAGTATTTTATCTCACTTTTGCCTAGACTTTTTCTTTGAATATCGGAGGAGTAGCGCAGCACCTGATATCCTATTACAAGGTCGAAGACGTAGAAAATGGCCGACTGCGCTCGCCTTCATCTCTGCCAGAGCTTGCATCGCTCGACATCAGCCCAGAATATCTCGACAAGACACACTTTCGTAATCCACCAAAGGTCGAGATAGGCGCTGATGGAATACCGCGGTACCGCGGTGACGCAGACGACATTGATACCTCTCCAACGCTATCACCCACATCAATCGCAGGACTGCCGCTGCTGAGTGATGCTCATATCATTGAAGGCAACAAACGTTCTGGCAAGCGGTATGATCCGTACGGTTCCCCTCCAGTGTCAAAGCGGCGCAAGCTGAACAAAACCGAGGAGCCAACGCCTAGTGCACCTCCAGAGCAGCCCCCAGAAACACCAACTCCCACAGCGCCTGTACCAGTAGCTGCTCCCGTTCCTGTTGCCACCCCATTTCCAGATCCTACTGGTGCCGCTACCGCTACTGCAGTTATTCCGGGCCATCATTTGCCCCCATATCCGTACAACTTCTACCAGCTCCCACATCCCCCCGTTTATTACTCTGCTCCGGTGAATGGGGTGTCGCCACCGCCGCCACCGCAGTCACCTCCGTACCCGGCGCCTTATATGCCTTACACACCACCAGCAGTGATAACAGCAGATCCAAGTCAACCGGGGGTGCCGCCCCAACCTCAGTATTATTCGTATTACCCCCCGCCGGGGTATCCTCCGTATCCAAGTATATGGCCGGCGTATCCTGGGTATCCCATGCCGCCCCCGCCTCAGATGGTCCAGCAGCAGCAGTCCGAGTCTGCGGCCGAGCAGGGACAACAGGAACAGCAGCAGCAGCAGCAGCAACAAGTAGCGGTATAGAGTTTCGACTTTGTCCTTCTAATCCTCGTCTTCTTTCGTTTATTTTATTTTGTCGCGTTTTGCAAGTGTATGATTTCTGGTATCTAACCCCGTCCTGTATCTTGTCATCTTTTCGTTCTTCTATCGGCGTTTATTGTAGTATGGTTTCATTTGTCGTGGGTTTGGGTTTGGGAGAAGTTTTGTTTTAAAAGCTCGTGTACAGTACTAACTTGGTGGATTCGGTTCTTAACCCAGTAACTTAGCTGTTGGTGTTCGTACCGTACATTATAATCTGACATATGCCATTTTGTATCAAAGTAGAAGTTTGTCGCTGTAGCCCAAGTTTGAGGTTGAGTAGCTTTTTCTGGGTCTTGACAAGGCGTCTGACGGTGGAGAAGATCCTACAGGAATTCTTCTGAGGTACTGCGAAAGCTCCTGAAACAGACAGATTCCGTTTACAGCGGCAAGCTGAGGACTTGGCAAGCTGGATCCGGACAATCGTCAGATTTTCCACTTGCAATTTTTACATCTGCCCGCCGGATTTGCGGGCGCCTGGCAGTTTCGGGAGCCGCGAATTGTATGGACACTTTGTACCAAAATAACGGTGATGCTGATCATGATGATCACGCACCAAAATAGCATTCTATCTACTAACTTTGAACCCAATGCTACTTGTTTTGAACGAAATGTTTCAGGAAAATCCAAGAAAAATGACAAGAAAAATATAAGAAAAGAGGTCAGAAACGGTAAAAAGTAGGTTTCAGCTTCTTAATGTTAGAAGTCGTACGGATCTAGTAATATCTGAGCTTCAACCTTTACCACCGAGCCATCACTCAGGAGCCAGGACAAGGTCCTGGGCAATGGGCAATTAAGAAGCACAGTCACGTGACGTTCTGACCTTTGTACGGAATGTCAGCTTTGACCTTGTCCCTGCTATCATCAGCTGGTAAAGCTCTCGGAACTCGAGGCACTCCGTTTGACAAGGGAGGACCCATTTTTGTTACCCAGGGGTCGTCTGTGATGCTTGTAATCCATCGATAGGCCGACTGCCATATGATACTCAACCCGGAACTTGCGCCCTTTGTCTGCTGAGCGCTCTGTCTCTGGCAAGGACAAGAATCTTGGTACCTCAATGTCTTTTGTAGGATCCTTCACATGTGGTACCACTTCTCTTCTGACTCTCTTCCCCCGCATCCTGAGGAAACATCCGATTGATTCGAAATGCTTTCTGGTCCTTGTAATCCCTTTTTCCACTCAGGAGCCGGTGCGAGGTCTGAAATACGACGTGGGTAACGGGGTTGAAGCATTCTATTCGCACTCTGCCGTTGAAGATGCGAAGGCGGCAAGTACTCGTGCTCGCAAACCTGTTATACATTAGATTGTCCGACTGGGTTCCTCTAGACTGTTCTTGAGTGACAGTTCCTCCTGTTATTTCCCGCCAGCAACAAGAACCGTCCTGTTCTCCCGAGATTTCCACCTGTCCACTGCTCTACCTTGGGCCTGAATATCTACATCTCTATCCGATCATCGAATGGAAATGCGCAAGATGGGGGCTATGTACTTCCTTTCTGAGGCCCAAGGCGCGCTAGGAAAAGGGCGCTAAGGTAAAAAGAGTACGAGAATCCACTCATTGCCGCTTTCCATCGGGTTCATGTTGGAGCTCTCCGCTTGGCGCGATGAGTTTGAGTTTATCTCTCTCGAGGGCGTCGGCTCTCCGTGCCGTCTTCAGTAATGAAACTCCGGTCCTCGCCTCATCTCCGCCTTCATGGAATCATGATGGATATGTTTACACACCGGTCATATGTATAGACCTACGTGACATATGTCGTCCAACATTCGTTGGTACCTCTTGATGGCATATTTTCATCGACATACCAGCTCTCAATTATATGGATGACCCTTCATTTCCCCAGGTCCCCCAGGGCGAGGTCCCGGCTCCGCCGCAATAAACGCGATTTGGCCTCAACGGCAGCAGACCGGCATATCACAGGATCCTCGCTTACGCACCGTTTACGGGACCTTTTCCCTAGCCGCGGCTATATCTGCATCATGAATCAATTAAACCGACAGAGCCTGATCGTGTGGGTTCAAGCTTCTTTAATTCATATCCGGTACCATTGACACATCAATCAGGGCCCCGAAGGCACAAATAACTCCTCCGGAGACGTACAGCCGCCATTTTGTGTCGATGCATCAGCTAAAAATCAGCGCATAACGTTCGCTGGCGAGTACGTAAGGCTTCTGCATCGTTGTCCAGAACAATCGCCAATTGGACAGATTTCCAGGGGTATTCTTTTTCCTTGGCCTTGTTTATAAGGTGGGCGATCATGGATGAGTTCTTCATCCACTCACCAATCTTTCGTTTGCTGGGATGGTTTTCCTCAATTCTTTTCTTGGGCCAGTCGCCCTTTCCGCTCTTGTACGCATCTCTTGCCGTCGTGACGAGTAGTGTACTAACCTCCTATTCACAGTTTTCTTCAGCGCAAGCTTCAACTCACATTCGTTCAGCGGCAGCGGGGCATTTGCACCGTCGTCAATCTATCCCGACTGATCTTCCCGGAAATTGGACCTCTCTAGGATGTTACACGTTCGTGGCTCAATATGATCTTGAGATCGCGTCTAACCTCGTCTGTTCGTAGGGATACCCAAGGCACGCGGACACTCTCCTTGTCTACATACACCAGCACGGACAATATGACCGTCTCCAACTGCATCAACTTTTGCGGCGACGGAGGGTTCATCTATGCGGGAGTCGAATATTCCCAAGAATGCTGTACGTAGGAATGAATAAACGTTGAGCTTCCTCGTGCTGATCATCTTTTTTTTGTTTCCGCGACGTAGATTGCGGCAACAACATAGAATCCGGCGACACAAATGCAACTGCAACTGATTGTAACATGGCATGCACTGGCAACACGCTGCAACTTTGTGGTGGCCCATCACGTCTAAACTTGTTCTGGAGCGGTGCAACACCTCCGCCCCCACCTACAATCGTACCGTCTGTCGGAAACTGGACTTCTCTCGGGTGCTACAGGTAATTGTTCCCTTTCCTCTTTCGTAATTACTTCTTGTGCTAAACATATCTTCCACTCTGAAAGCGACAATGTTGATGGACGTGCACTTACCGTCGGAATGGATGTTACGGACGTCACGATCGAAACGTGTACCAGTGCCTGCTTCAGCTCCGGCTATCAGTTCGCTGGGACTGAATATTCTGCTCAATGCTGTAAGAATTTCATTTAATCATCTGTATCGTTCGACTTTTTTGCTGATGAATGACGAAACAGTCTGTGGCTCGAGTATTGTGAATGGGGGCGCACCAACAGCGAGTGATGAGTGCACGATGACCTGTGCCGGAAATAGTTCACAGTTTTGCGGTGGACCAAATCGACTGAACGTTTACAACTATACTGGAACCGACTTGCCCCCCATTAACAACGGTGGCGGAAACGCTGGAGGAGGCCAGGCGGTAGCTGTTTTCCCCGTCCTCACAGGTCTGCCCGGCTCGTGGAGCTACAACGCTTGTTGGGTGTACGTTATCTTTTCGTTTCCTTCATCATTTGATATCGTATCGCTGATGTCCGGGACGTTCTTGTAGCGATAATGCCCATGGCCGCATCTTCGAAACTGAGATTGGAGCGGATGCGAACCTGACGGTCCAGTCCTGCATTGCCTCCTGTATCGACAGGAACTTCACTGTAGCGGGGATGGAATTTGGTCAAGAATGCTGTGAGCCATTTTTGCGTCATGCCACCGTGATATTTCCTAATGGGACGCTCTAAGACTGCGGGGATCGACTCGTCAATGGAGCGACGCTCGCTGCAGAATCTGATTGTAGCATGAGCTGCACCGGAAACTCAACGTGGGTCTACTCTACAGGGCTGTGTGTTGTCATATCAACTAACTGTTGGTCACCGTTAGCGAGGCCTGTGGCGCAGGAAACCGGCTCTCAGTATATTCCACGACGGAGAACATCACCGCACTTCCTGTCGCAGTTGCTTTGGTTGATAATCTCCCTGGACAATGGACGTACCAGGGCTGCTACACGTCAGTGTTTCCTCTACCCGTGCTAACATAAGATCTGACAATCATGTCACTTCAGTGATGAAGTAGTCGGAACACGTACTCTGCCGTGGCAGAACATATGGTCCACGAACAACAGCGTCGAAGCTTGTCTGACTCAATGCTCTGACTTTGGGTACACTGCGGCCGGACTTGAGTACGGCGACGAGTGCTGTAAGTGACCGCTGTTTCATCATATTCTGCGTCCCCTCAACATGTTGTTATCGAACGCAGACTGCGGAGATATCTCTGATATAGCCGCACATGATTCTGTTCAGGCAGAGGAGTCTGACTGCGCAACTCAATGTCCGGGTGATCCCCTCCATCTTTGTGGCGGAGGTTTGCGCCTACAGCTGTACACTTGGAATGGAACAATGAACGTTTGGCACACGCCTGCAGTTACTGGCCGATACGAAGTGAGTTATCTCCGTGCTATGTTTCTTGATTGTCCTCACAATTCCCATAGTTCTTTGGTAAGGCTATACTTACTCTCGGCGATAGCGACACACTGACCCTTCAACGACTTACCTTCCAGTTCCCGGGTAAGTTTTCGCTTCCGACTGGTTATCAATCCGCATTTTAACCTCTTTCGTAAAAGGGTCGTTGTACCTCTGATTGCGACCGTAGGGGTTAATAACAAGGTGACGTTCCTTGAGAAAGACGGTACTGGGTCCGTCGGCAAATTTGTTCTATTTGTTCTTTTTTTGATCGGCAAATATGCTCTTCATTTACAGCTTCCCCAATTCTACCGGTGCCTACGAACTTGACCTGAGCCTGGTGGACAACTTCGATTTGGCTTGGCGTGAGATGCATGTGAAGACTGATGTCTTCTGTTCGGGGAGTATCATTCTTCCGGATAAAGGTGCACGGCAGATCAATGTCGGAGGTGGGCATATAGCACATTTATTATTTTGGTTGGACTAACTTCGTGTTCGCGTAGGCTGGTCGCTAGAAAGTACCTTTGGCGTCCGCCTGTACACACCCGATGGCGTTCCTGGAACAAACTCGACAAATGATTGGGAAGAGAACTGGGAGGAGTTGAGTCTCCAGGTAAGTATTCTCCGCACGCGAACGAATTCGAAGCTGAGGCATCTTTTCATTTACAGCGGGGCCGATGGTATCCGACAGCGATGATGATGGCCAACGGAACTATTCTGGTGATTGGTGGCGAAACCGGAAGCAATGCATCCCCACAGCCCAATCTCGAGTTGTTACCCAAACCAGAGGGCGGAGACACGGTCGTAGAACTCGAATGGTTGCAGAGGACAGACCCGAACAATTTGTATCCCTTCATGTTCGTCTTGCCTGGTGGTGGTATCCTTGCTAGTAAGCGTCTTTTCCACCCCTTTGACAGCTGATACTTATCTGAATCAACTAGTCTACTATAACGAAGCTCGCATTCTTGATGCCGTTACGTTTGACACAACGAAGGAACTTCCGAACCTTCCTGCATCCGTCGACGATTGTATGTTTACCATTTAAAGTATCTTCCTGCAGCTGACATATGTGTTAATCCAGTCTTGGGCGGCCGAACTTACCCTCTCGAGGGTTCCGCGGTGCTCTTCCCTCAATATGCTCCCTACACCGACCCTGTTCGCGTTTTGGTGTGCGGTGGTTCTTCTCCCGGTGCCGGTATAGCTATCGACAACTGTGTATCCATTGAACCCGAAGTTGACAACGCAACCTGGACTTTGGAGCGAATGGTATGCACTCACACTCTTATACATGATATCTTGTCAATAATCGCATTAACATAGCCATCCAAACGTGTCATGAGCTGCATGGCACCACTTCCCGATGGCACTTTCCTCATTCTAAACGGTGCTCATCAAGGTGTAGCTGGCTTTGGACTCGCGACAGATCCGAATCTGGGAGCAGTTCTTTATGATCCTACTCAACCTGTCAATCAGAGGATGTCGATCTTGAATACGACGATCGTCGCTAGAATGTACCATTCCGAAGCGATTCTCCTTCCGGACGCACGTGTTCTAGTTTCTGGATCCGATCCGCAAGATGGTGTTAACCCAGAAGAGTTTAGGATTGAGGTTAATCTCTTTGGATGTATCGTGGAATAGCTAACTGAATCGCATCGTTTTCAGATATACATCCCGCCTTACCTCGATATGGGTTTCACCCAGCCCGAATTTACCCTCGAAGAAACCGACTGGGCTTATGGAGGAACATACACTGTGTCCAACATCACTCTTTTCCAAGGTGAAATATCGGATGTCAGAATTTCTCTCATCGGCGGTACGTGTACACTCTTTATACCAGCATCAGATCTTCTAATGCATCCATTTCGTAGCTGTTTCCAGCACCCACGGCAACACCATGGGTAGTCGTACCATTTTCCCTGCGATCAGCTGTTCTGGAACGTCTTGCACCGTCACCGCACCGCCCAACGCCAACGTTTCTCCTCCGGGATGGCATCAGCTCTTCATTCTCGACGGGCCAACGCCTTCACACTCCGTGTGGGTGCGCATTGGCGGAGACCCAGCACAGCTCGGGAACTGGCCCCAACTTCCTGGCTTTACCACCCCCGGTGTTTAATCCGAGTTGCTTTTTGTTTCGTAACGTTTTTTATGGACTATCTAGTAAATCTCAAAATTATGGTCTGTCCCTGTTCGTCTTTATTAGCTATCTCTTTTCCGTCGGACACTGGTGCTAACCTGCTGGCGATTATAATACGACGACGCTGTACACTGTATATGTAGCCTGTTGTAACGAATCGTCACGGACATATACTTCTAGCCTTATCTACCATAATGAAGGGTGCACATCGGATTGATCTCTCAAAGTTACATTCAAGCTACCGTTCGTGTTCTGATTGGACAAATCGTGAAAAACGGCCTCACCAAAGTTATTGCGGCTGTATAACCTTCCCGGTGTTGTGGTGAAAGAGTCTATACTATACCGAGCTGCGGTGAAGGGTTTTCCGTCTTGAACGGTATGAATTAGGATCATCACATTAACAGACAGGCTAAATCTAGTAATTACCTTCGTATTCGCTATAACCACACACCTTACTCGGAATGAAGGGAAGAAGTCTCATCTTATATCCTATTCTCGAACCTGTACATTTCTTCCGGTGTCATGTTCCTGTAATCCCGTATGAGTTCCATGGCCTCAAGCATGCCCTTCTCGTTCCACCACCCCGCTTCCAGTAAGTATTCCTTCGAATGTGCATACGCACAGGAACTCCCAGAAGTACAGCTATCGACAAGGCATACATTACGGCCTCTGGCAGAACCATATCAGTCTACACCCAATATAGAAAAAGAAGCACATACAGCTGGTCCCGCGTCGTATCGTCTTCAGGCCCATGTTTGAAGACACAGTTAGAACGCAGGCTACGTCCCTCGTGATTATACGCCCGGCAAGGTTCGCCGTTTCCCTCATGCTCATAATCACTCGAATCAGAATCTGACTGGACCGGCTGCTCTGGGAAGTCCAGAGGCGGGTCAAAGAATGGGCAATCGTCGTCGTTATCGTCGCTGAGATATTGTGGTTCTTCCTCAAATTGATCTGGGATACCCGCAGCGCGACGTTGATCACTCTCTTTTCGAGTCTGTTCTATCTCCTTTTCGAATTGAGGATCATGTGGGGCAAGTTTGGCACAGGCTCTGAAATCTATCCGCTTCAGGTTAGTAGATAGATGTGAAGATCACTTTGACACCTGCCTTCTATGGCCGACTTGAATGCAAACATGCTGCGACGAGCGACTCCTCGGCGATAGCGAGCTTTGATGCATTTGGGATCGTACTCCAGGGCCTCAGAGGAAGCCTCCTCTGCCTGTTGATAGCTGGGTCCCAGTAAGTTTGCGGAAAATTTTCACCAGCAAAACTTACAAACCAAGCTTCAGCCATGCTGCAGCGACATTGGCATAATACGTAGGTCGTGGTCCATGAACACTGATGGCTTTTTGGTAGTACTGAATAGCGCGTTCATATTTTCCTTGTCGAAAATAAGCGTTTCCCTGCATGTCGCTCTGTTATTGCTGTTGCCGTCGAAAGGAAGCTCATACCTGTTCCTTGAACGTTTTTGCTTGCTCCGATTTTTGTTTTGACATCACAGCTCGCTTTGCAGCTCTAGTTTCCACTTCATCTTCGCGAGGGCGGGGTGGACAGCGTCTGTGGTTTCCAGACTGAGGCGATGCAGCTGTAGATGATGTTGACTTTTGTCCTTCTGCCTGAGAGATTTGTGGAGTCCCCGACCGTTCTCCTGCACGACCTCGCCTGTGGCCGGTGATATATTCAGCATGACCTGCCTGCCTTATCGTATCTGTGAACATTACGGGTTTATTTGGGTGTTGCGCTCCTTGCACCTTGGTGGGTCGCCCTTCAGCTGAAAGAAAAAAGGAATACGTTCTGTCACTTTTGTCTGGTACCACTGCGCTCTGTGGCAAGCAACGAGTCATAGCCGTGACGACTCGCGTGCTTCCGTCTTCGTTGTTAACATCTCCAACGTAGCCAAGCCAACCTTGTCCCACGGGCCCATACGCGCAGGGGCATTCGTTAACATCAATGGGGATTTCGTTGGGTCCAAATACGTTGGATTCGACATGCGAAGTCGATGATGGCGTGTAAATTCTGTGGCTTCTAGCAACGTTCAACAACGTCATTGACTTGAGACTGTAATATTCCGGCAGACCGTCCAACTGCACACCAGTTGCAGCGTGATTCAGGTGAACGGTTGTCCGGAAATACGACCCTAGATCCCATGGAAGGCCCCAAGTGGCGAAAAAAGTTTTCACCCGGGCGTTGTGGATGGCACCGCTGAAATTGCAGCAACAAACGGTGGTGCCACCTTCCCTCGTGTACTGGAGCAGACGCTGAAGTACAACAGCGTTTTCTGGCTCCGAAATTCCTGCGTCAATGGCGATGACAATGGTTGGTGGTGAAAGCTTCATTTCTCTTGCAAACTCTCCCTTTGTTTCGACCTGGGTCACAGTCGCACAAGCTCCCATGGAGTTCATTAGTTGGGCATAACAAGAGTACAAGAATTGCTCCTGCGAGAGATCCAGGATGAGAACAGATGGTCGTGGCGTTAATGTCATGGTAGTCGTGGTGGAGGTCGCGAATAAAGAGGGGTTGGGATCACGGATTCCCTTTTAGGGTTCAACATTGGCAATTTGACGTTTCGATGCGTCGCGTCGCGTCAATTGCCATATTCGGAAAACCAAGAAAAACAGCAAAAAAACACTGATACGAAAATGAAGACGTTCTGTGCGGTCTCTTCGAGCCTTTGGATAACTTTGTCAAACTTCCGGATGCCTGCCTAGGGAATTGGGCCGACTCATGGGCGGTGCTTATTTATAGTTTCTAGTACTTATGCGGAATATCAATCATCCCTCACAATAAAAAGAACAGATTAGGCTCGGTCACAAGGTAAAAATACGATATAGCGGAAGAGGTGAGCTGACCGAAGAGATACGGTCGTCCAATACAGGCCTTTCGAATCCCGATGACTCTTACAGACTCCAGATTGTACGAAGAAAACTCAGAACTCGCCACAGTTGACGCGCATGTGGGATACTGGCCTCATATAATTCCTTAGTCAAATGAGACAGAGGGACCCAGCTTTGGTTCCAGTAGGGGACTCTGATGATTTGGCGACACTTACCTTTTTGTAACTACTACTCAGGTATAAAGGTCGTAAGAGCTGTACTTCAATAGAGGCCCAGCCTGTCAATGTGGAGGAAACAAAGGGCCATTGCTTTATCCTTGAACCACCGCTGCGATGCCATCGGGTTACGGGTACGGGTCCTACCTGTGTATCGTAATCGACATCTCTCCAGAGTTAGTCATCGTGAAGCTGACGCAGCTGGGGAGGAAAACTGACTCAGAATCAGATAACGCCCGGCAGGCGATTGCCAGAATTTGCTCACGAGAGACGTTAATAATCTTAAATCTCGGGCATAAATCTCAGATACCGAAAACTTACAGCTAACCGCGGCTGGCTAAACCTTTTACGTGGTCATCGTGGAGCGCTGCACTGATTACTGATTTCTCAACGGGAGAGCAAAAATAGTAAGCACTTGTATTTTCACTTGCCTAATTGAATTCAGTCCGACGGCTGTTCAACTTGTCTTGAAGTAACTGGAAGTGTAACATGACTCGGGCTTTCACTTGACGTTCTTCTCTGCATTTTCGTCATCAAACCGGTTATATGGGGCAGTTGAAACGGCATTAGTGGTGAGTACGATATACAGTGCTATTTTTGTCCCAATGCTTTGGAACACTTCTTGGGCGCCAAAAGGTTAGAGGTGCATGGTTAAGCACTGAATTTGAAATATCGGGTTGGATATGGGCATCACGTGGATCCATTTTTTCCCAAAGCGATTCGTCGACGTTAGCTTCCCTTTGACGCATTCAGCAAATTCAGAGTTCCTGCTATCTGTGACGCTCAGAATATGGTTCTCGTACCTTTTGAGGAGCGGCCACAATATCAGGATCTCCAGTGCACTTTGAGGCTAAATACCGTCTGTTGTTCTGCCTACAACACCCACTACCTATGCGTCGGCTTCTGAAGTCTTTACAGAAAATTTACTCCCGGAAGGTTCTATTCAAAGATTTACTCTGCAAGCTACAGCTTCTCAGGACAAACTCTCACACCGCGGGCCGTCTGTAGCCCGGAGTGATCATGCCTACTCCAATTGGCATCCCCCTTGTTTGCTAGTCGGTAACAGTGGAACATCTTATTACCGCAATGCATGTGCCAATTATGCTTCCAGTCGCTGTAAAGAACCCTGCGCTTGTGAGGATGGTATAAATAATTGGGCAATGTCTGTTGACTCATACTCGACCGTCTCTACCATGAAGACTTCCCCTGGATCCTCTTTGACATTTACTCGTCCTCCTCTCGATGGGTCACTCACCTACCCAGAAATATTCGACTACAACGCACAACACAGCCCAAACCACCCTGTCTTTCAATTCTACGACCAGGACCATATTCAAAAAATCACTTGGAGCGAGGTTACCAAGGCTATCCACGCCGCCGGTCGTATTGTTCTTGAGTACGTTCCTCGAACGGACACAGCCCCAGTTGTAGGAGTCCTGGCAAACACAGGTACGTCACCTTTTCATCCGATCGGCTGCCAGCTGAGAGGAGGTCTTTTTCCCCACAGATAGTATCACGTTCCTCACCGTGGTCGCTGGGATTATACGCGCCGGGTACACTGCGTTCCCGATCTCTACTCGCAACTCTCCCGCTGCGGTTGCTCACTTGCTTGAAAGCACTGGATGCAAGAATCTATTTGTCAGTGCCGATCCCGCTATGCAGGAAGTCGCCCAGATGAATGATGGTATAAACGCGATGCCGACGCCAACATTCGAAGACCTCTACACGAAGGATGATGCTTCGGAGCCATTACCGCGTATGCGGCCGGACTGGGAACAACTAGCACTCATCATGCACTCTTCTGGATCGACGCGTTTTCCCAGCCCAATTCGTCACACGCATCGGTTTTATATGATGCACGGAGTTTGGTTATGTAGGTCTAAACTTCTGCCCTAGTTACGAGATCTGATACGATTCCCAACAAGCTTACGGTGACATGGATGTCTGCGGACACGTTCTTTCCGCACACGGATTACCTATGTACCGTGCGTGTCCTATGATCTATCTTTCATCATGATCGAGATTGTTCTGACGGATACATGTTCAGATCTTATGGGCTGTTGGACGCTCATGATTGCTGTAAGTTCAAAAATATCCTTATGTTTCTCTTTTAACAATATTTTGTAGGCCTCAGACGGCGTAACCGTAGCGTTGCTCCCTCCCAAAAATCTTTACGTGGTACCAACACCAGAGCGTGTTTTGGAGGGAATAATGGCAACCAAATGCACCCTTGTATTTTGTGTTCCTCACTTTTATGAGGTGAGTGACTTTCTCGACTTTTCGTAGTCGAGGAGCTAATTACTGCTTATCAGGCATGGGCGCAAGATCCAGCTGCCCCTGAAATTCTAGGAAAGGCTACAGTCGCAGTATATATCGTTTTACCATACGCCAACGATAGTTTGATTGATATTTGACAGTTATTTGCAGGCGGACCGCTTTCTAAATCTGCTGGAGATTTATTGGTAGCCAAAGGCGTGCCACTTTGCCCTCTATTCGGAAGGTCGGTCCCCGGTATATGGCACAAAGAACCACACTTTGCTCAGCTTTCCATTACTAGTACCGAAACCACCTATTTTGCTAAAATAATTCCCAGTATGGTCTTCGACGCGATTCAGAGAGCTAATGCTAATGATAACTTTAGAGGAAACGCCTGCTGAGGGATGGGAATGGTTTGAGGTGAATTCAAACTTGACACTATCGAGTTTTACTTACGTTGTCGATGCAGTGGGCGCGTTATATTGATTATACCCTTCTCCCTGTTGAAGAAGAAGAGAATATATTCCGTGTGATCATTAAGGTAAGTAATGTGACCTCGACATTCCGCCGTCTGTTCTAATGTTCTGAAGGAAAACACCAAGACGGGATATTCACCTGCGGTCTTCAACACCACAATAGATGGTGTCAAGGCTTACGACACCCAAGATCTTTTTGTCAGGCATCCCATCAGTCCCGAAATGTTCAAGTGTTACGGAAGACATGGTATGGTTCTTTCACCTTCGAAAGAGTGACTTTGTTGAGCATTGAATCCTGATAGATGATCAAATTATCCATAGTACAGGGGTCAGTTCAGCCTTTGCCGTGTACCTATCTCTCCTACTCATACACGTCACAGGAAAAGACAAACCCTGCACCGATCGGCATGTCCCTTTTCTCGTCTTTTACATTATTCTGATATTCCAGCAGAGGGAACGATTACCACCGACAAACGAGTGGCCGCCGCCATTATGTTTGGTCGATCAAAATTCCAGACCGGAGTGCTGATCTCGCCTGCTCCGGGGTACGAATTTGATCCAACTAATCAGAAAGACCTCGCCGCATTTCGCGCGAGCATCTGGTAAGATTCTGGGCCTTCTCCTAGTGCCTTTATTAATGCCTTTCCAGGGACACAGTATCCAAGGCTAACAAAGAGGCGCCGCAACATTCGAGGATCTTCAAAGAGGTAGCGTAATCACTTTACTACTTGGGAATCCACATTGACATCAATGTCGTAGATGATCATTGTTACACATCCATCCAAGTCATTCACGTACACTGCTAAAGGGACCCCTCGACGGCCGGCTATTCTGAAGGCCTATAGCAAGGAGATCGAGGCGGCATACGAAGCGGTTGACAAGATCTCTGCATCTGACATTCCGGCACCACAGGAATGGAATATCGATGATATTACAGAATGGATTCGGCGGATTGTCCATAGCTTTCTTCGCACTGATGGTCAGATATCTGATACACAAGACGTTTTTGCTGTTGGAGTCGATAGGTCTGCGCTTTGCTCTCTTCCTTAGATATTACAAGCTCATTTTTCTCAAGTCTGATAGCCACTGCAATTCGCAATACGATCGTCAACACCCTTCGAAAAGCCAATGTAATCTCGATAAGCACTATCCGCGCACTACCACAGAATTTCGTCTTCAATAACCCGTCAATTTCTGTGCTGAGTACCTTTGTTCAGAAAGTTGTGCTTGCAGCGCAGGCTACTGGAAAAGTGGAATATTCTGAGGAAGACTCGGACGGCGAAAATGAACCGGTAGTTGAGTTCATGAAATTTCCCGAACCTGGCGAGACCGTCGTCAAACTTAGAAAAGGAAAAGGAGAACCGCCATTGATTGTACTTCACGGTCCGTTCCCCCATTCCTTTCTAAGATTTCTAACTTATATGTTTGCAGGAGGTGGAGGCCTCGCGTTTGATTTCAGGTCATACCCAGAGAAGTTCCGCACGGCTGTGTGGGCTCTTCAAGTGACGCCAGATGCTCCAATGACAAGCCTGGAAGACCTCGTGACGTTCTACCGGCGTAGGATAAAGGAGAAACAACCCACCGGGCCATACCGCTTTGCTGGATATTCTGCTTCAAGTATACTCGTCATTTACTTGGCGAGGGTATTTGAGCGGAACGGTGATGTTGTGTCCCAGCTTGCCATGCTCGATCATTTACCTTCTCTATTCTTACACCAAATCCCATCCGACCATCCTAACCGCCGGGAAGAGTTCATCATAGCCGGGATCGAGATCATGTTCGACTTGATGATACGGGACAAGAGCAGGAATAACTCTGTCGATGTTTTACGGGCTGCTTTGAACGGGAGCGGTGGTTTGCCTCTACATCGACTTGCGATGAATACGGCGCGAGATATTATGGGCATGATTGCTGATTTTTGTTTTCAGCCTCAAATCGAACAGTGGATGCAAAGCATGAAAGATGTCAAGGCTTCGGTTACGGTGTACGTTGCGGAGAACGGCGCAAAGCTTATACCAATGCCAGACGAGGAGCGAGAAGACCTGGGAACTTCACGTTGGTTGCCGAGAGCTAAAGTCGTGCAAGTACCCGGTGGTCATATGGAATTTTTGGAGCATGATTTGGTTCTCACAGGACTGCAAGAAGGTTATCTCTGATCTTGTTTCAATCTAATATCGTATTCTTTGACCCTTCAAACATCGATGCATTACTAGAATTGATTTCAGTTTGCCGGGGTCTCCCGGTGGATGGTATCTTGTAATACTACCTATCCTACATGCATTTACATCATCTGAAGTACAAAAAAGTGGGAGCATTCATTAGCCTCAGTGTGACATCCAGTCAGGGCATGATGGGTTGAAGACCTGGTTGTTTCGCCATCTTTGCTACCGATGAGAGGAGGAAACAGTAACTAGACCCGTCGCCCTACACCCTAGATCAGATCGAAACTCCAAAGAAGAGGGTAAAACAAAGCTCACAATCATTGTCGTCGGGAATCCGGGGTCAAAAGGCATAGTGCTGTCTAGAAAGGCGATCTGCTCCTTCGACAGCGAAATGTCCAGCGCCTTTAGGTTTGCCTCGAGATGTTCCACTTTTCGTCCTCCAATGATAGGGAATACGTAGGGTGTTTTCTGCATCACATATGCGATCGCAACTACCCATGCACTCGTCAGAAAAAAAAAATATAGGGCATAAATAAAGATTTGAGACTCACCTGCCGTGACGTTGTTTCCTGCGCCGACTTCAGCCGCTACCTTCTCCAAAGCCCTACATACCTTCACCTCCACCTCTGTACGTTCCCAATTCGGACCCCAGGTCGTACGTCCCTTCTCTCCTGTCTCCCTCCGCCGTTGCTCCTCTTCGTCCGTTCGCAGCTTCCCTTGCCCGAGAACACCCCACGGAGAGAGCGCCATGCCCATTGATTTCGCCATGGGAATGATGTCACGCTCAAACGACCGCTCCAAGATACTCCATTTTCCTTGGTAGACGACGAATGGCGTCTTACCGTGATCTATGGCGTATTGGTTCGCTTGAGCAACGACCCATACGGGGGTATCGGAGACACCGAGGTAGAGAACCTTCCGTGCGGCGACGAGATTGTGCAGGCTATCCATGACTTCCGGTATCGACGTCTCGTAATCCCACCAATGAAGATAGAGGATGTCGATGTACGACGTTCGGAGCTTTTTAAGACTCGCTTCCACGCTGATATGCATAGACTTGGTGCTGTTCCCAACGTAATTGACCTTCTGCGCAATAGCGTCGTTCTCACGCTTGAAATTTGTGGTGTACTATGAAGAGATAGCATCAGCTCATGCGCACGGAAATAATAGATGATTCCGACCGTACCTTCGTCGCTATGACCAGCTGATCTCGTATTCCTCGTTTCTCCGCCCATTCCCCAATGAATTCTTCAGATGATTCATCCTGGCTATAGATTATAGGAATTAGGACAAGAATTAACCGAATGAGTTTGTTCCTTACTATCCATTCGCAGTATCGATGAAGTTTCCGCCCATATCAAAATACGCGTCCAGTAGCTTGAAACTAGACTCCTTATTCATGGAACCAAGGGCCCTCCATTTATCACCGATGCTCATCGCACCAAGGACAAGGGGAGATACCCTCACCCCTGCGCGAGAGGACAGGACACGATAGATACCGAGTTTGGTAGGAGGATCGCTGGCGGGTTGGAAGAGAGACATGATCGGTCAGTTAAGTTAGTGAGGTGAGAACTGCACGCAGCGTTATATATGCAGTAAAAAAGGCCCATTTGTAAGCTTAGAGGTATCAGTCAGCAACGGTGGTGGTGAGAATGAACGAGTAGACGGAAGCGAAAGTCGTTCGTCGAACTCGTATCCGCCCGGTGGTCGTCCTACGCAATGCTTCGGCAGGAAGATCGATGACGAAAGCCTAAATTGTCACCCATGTATAATGACATTTAGGGCAAGAATCTCTGCGAAAAAGGAATGAATGCGCGAGAAATTCGTAGCCTACCCGCTGCACGTGAATCAGTGTGCCGTACAAAAGGCAGAATTTTCACTTTCGTCATTATAAACGAAGAATGGTTAGCACCAGATAGTCGCCAACCAAGACGTCGAAAAAAGGGAGGCACCAAACTGCCTCGCCTCATGCCTTCATTATGACGTATCAAAGACGATAAGGGAATAACATAGTAGCACCGAAGTATCACCTTCGTCGTCATTCTCAAGAGCAGCAGTCACATCTTATACCTGCCGTCGGGCTGGTACTGTTCTTCGGATGACACGCCCCTAATCCTGGTGATATTTCGCAAATAAAGCCTTTCTTATTTTTTGTTCCACCACCGTATATCAAAGCTCAACAACTCTCGATGAGGCCAGACTCCGCAATCTCGGCTTCCCAAGCATCCACAACGGACCTCGACATCGCATTATCAATGCCCACGCATAAATCCCGATGGCATATCCAGTTTGCCGGATTCTGGATACTAACGTCGCACCCACACCCCAAACAAACAACCTTGTCCGGACGCAGATCTGCCCATGGCTCACGCTCGAGGAAGCGCAAAAGACCACCGCCACTACAGTCTTTCCGGAGGACAGGGACTGCGAAGGTTTTGTGGAAGGTGAATTTGGGACCTTCGAGGGATGAAAGGAAGAACGTTTCTTTCTGGCGTACGTTCAGCTTCGGTGGAGCAGAAGTGTTTTGTGCGGCTGTTGTCGGAGGAAGTATCTCTCCTGCCTCGAGCGAGTCAAGGACTTCATGAGTGGCAAATATCATTCGATCGAGGTAGAAGAACCTCCACCTGCAAGTCGATTTGCCACAGCGACAAGGACGATCATACACTCTTGTAGACTGGGCTCCAACTGTGTCGGGTCTACGGTAAGATCACTGGCGATTCGCGAAGTCTCTGAAATCTCTACGGAAGGTGCGGGAACGGCTTGATAAAAGGGTACGTCCATTGCGAGAGGAGTGTCAATCTGGATAGTGGGTGGGAGGGGGGTATGGTTGATTCACAACGATTCTGATACCAAAGGGATGTAGATGTGAAGAACTAAGTTCACGAAGAACATGCGGACCATTTACGAACAAAGCTACCAATTGGGCAAACAATGGTAGAGATATTCGGCTAGTACGCCTTTGTCTACTGGGGTATGAGTCAAAAATTGACCGAGAAGGCAACAACACGGGTACTGACCAATTATCCTGACCATTGCGTCTCGCCTCGTTTCACACCCGAGTTGCGCAGAAGGAAAGGAATTCGCGAAAAGACGATGCCAAACGTTCCTCGCAGGGGAGTTTCTATTATCGACTCTTGCTGGGCCAACATTGCAATAATAGTAAGAAGAGTATGCTTGTGGTATCGTCGTGTCTCCGTCTTGTGAATTTCCGAGTGAAGCAGTCGTGGTAGGAGAAGAAAGAGGTTAACGGTCGCTATTAGCAGAAATTTAGCAAGTGAAGGCGTAGCGATCGAAACTGCGATACTCACCCGTGTATTCACCGCCAGTCCTGTCGATACCGTCTGATTTGTTACTTTTCAGGCAACCCTTCGCTAATTAGCGAGCAGCCCCTCAACAATGCCATTTCGACCTATCGCTATGCTCGCCAGAAACTGGATTTTGCCGTAACACCGCACGGTCCTTCGCCTGCTTGTACACAATGCGTCGATGGACGGACGACAGAGACAGAGACGTTGGGAACGAAGGAAGAAATGAAGAGAGCCGCTGTGATCGCGGCTGGTGGTGGTGGTGGTGTTACCGGCGCCAGGTCCCAATAAGGAACGGCCGGGTCCACAGCCCTGACATGGCGAACCATGCGCTGTGGCTGCAAAGGCTCATACCGTTGTAATCACACTGTTGAGTGCGTCTCGCGGAGTAGAGACTCTTCGCAGGGTACACAATTGAATGAAAAGTGATGGGGATGAGCACAATCGAACACGGAGAACCAGTTAGCATTGGTGTATACCTCGAAAATCCGGTGCAGTGTATGACTCCTTAATAAGAATCAGTGCCGTCCAAAAGGAGGAGCGTTATGAAATGGCTCATGAGACATGTGCGTCAACAATGACAGTGAAAGAACATGTGAACAAATGTGAAACGCGTAACGGGAGAGTGAGACATGGTGCACGGACCATGAGGTGTATGGAAGGTCAGCAGCAATGAGAAGATATCAAGGACAATGGGAGCATACGAATCATCCACCAAGAAACAAAGAACCACAGACTGCAGGAACGAAACACAAGCATCATGTGCGCACAACAAAGGCCCGTTGTTTCGCTCAAGCCTTAGCCCATGAAAATGATGAAACGGAAACCAAGAACAGCGAAACAGGCAAGCTCCTTCGAGAAAGAGACTGCCTGCGAACGAAACACCGAGGACCACCAGACTGGTGAGATCCTTCGCGAAGGACACCACCAGCGGACGTAACCACCGAGTACCACTGCACAGGTGAGATCTTTCGGAAAGGATCCCATCTGTGGACGTAACCACTACACAGGCGATATCCTTCGCAAAGGACACCACCTGTGGACGTAACAACCGAGTACCACTGCACAGGTGAGATCTTTCGGAAAGGACCCCATCTGTGGACGTAACCACTGCACAGGCGATATCCTTCGCAAAGGACACCTCCTGTGGACGTATCCACTGCACAGATGAAATCCTTCGCAAAGGACTCCATCTGCGGACGTAACAACAGAGCACCGTCTGCAACGGCATCGGCAGGGCCTTTAAGCCCACGCGAAGGCTGAGCGATTGAGACAGAGGCTGGAATCAAGGCGATCCGGCTTGTCTTCTTACCATCATCATCGATTTCTACGCGCTCCGTCCTCGATTTTCACCGCAAAATGCTAGCTCGGCGCAACAGTACAGCACCCTTTCAAGAAGCTTCTTGCACTATTTAGAGCCGAGGTCGGTTAGTACGTAGTAAAAGCATGTGTATGCTGGGGCTTCTCGCTGACTTTTTTTCCAGCTTTGCGCTAGGATCTCTTGTTACCCTGACTCGTAGAACGTACGCAGTTTCTTACATCGATTGTTAGAGCATGGGCGTTAAGCAATGATGGTGAACAGGTTTCGATATTGCTTGCCTTTGGGACTGGCCTTATCGTATCGTTGGATCAACGTATCAGGGACCTGGCTCCCAAGGGAGACCGGAAGCGATGCTCCAAGTGGCTTTGGGTTGAGGCTATCAATGAGTACGAGTAGAAACATCCGCGTGTCAAACCTTTTTACTGACTTTTCCTACCTAGAAAAGTTGATATCTTTTCCTGGGAGAATGTATATGGACGCAGGAGGGCACTCTCAGGTGAGACTTGCTTTTTTCATCAGCTGCTGGAACACGGGCAATGACGATAAACAGGTTTCGACATCGTTGACCTTTCGAACTGCTAGCCTTCGCTTGCATCATTGGATCAAAGACAAGGTCCTCTTGGAGCCGACGCCCCGGGTTTTGGGGGAGGCTGGATACACCATTGCTAAACAGCTTTGGTTGTCAGCTAGAGGATTCGCAAGCTGGATATTCCTATGAAACTGATGATTCGTGGTATGTGCTGGGTTCGTTTTTTTGTTCCTTTGGCTAAATTCCGTCTAGAGACGACTATCAAGCAATCCAGATGCTCTGGGATATCTCCAACATCGCAGTCCTTAACCGTTGTCCAGTAACCATCAGCGCAAGTCTATCTCAACATCGTCAGCCATCGTCAACTAGTCTGACGACACTCAGGCATTCCCTCCGCTACCGCGAACAGCAATCGAATGAGATAAGGGAAGACGTGAACAGTCCACCGCGTATCTCTTCCTCTCGCATGTCGTATCTACGGCGACGAGCGCTAGAGACTCAAGCAATATTTCACTAGCCAAACCATGAGAGGCTCTGTATGCGTGCGTTTCTGGATATACTTCTATCAGCAGTATTAGGTTGGGTAAGTGCCCTGTTTTCGAAATGTGCTGGTGCTCATGACAAATCCTTCAGATATATGTCTTCTGTTGCGAGACTCTAGTCGAACGGTGAACCTACACTGGGGTGTCAACGTCGCGCCTGATCAAACTCAGTAAACTTCCTCGCCATATTCACCTTCTCGATCTCGACGCAGTATATCCAGAATTTTCTGCGGGCGGCCCCGTCCTCGTTTGATGATGTTCTCCCACGACCAAAGGATCCTTCACTCCTGTTGTAAGTCCCAATGTTTGCCAAGCGTCGTACTGCTTACGATAAACTCGCGTAGACGCGAAATGTCACATGCACGTGAACTGAGTAACGCTCCTTTCCGCTTTTTTCGACTGCCATTCTCCCAATCCGATAAAAAGTCTCATTCAGCACATGTAGCATCTCGCTCTTTGGAAGTCGATTTCACGATGCCTTCATTATCATCAGCGATCAGATCGAAGGTGTCGAAGAGAAAGCTTGCGTCTCTGCAACATCGCCAGGCTGGTTACCTGGTATTCTCAAGGGCGGTCGTCTTATCTTCCCGCAGTCTAGATCGGATTCGAATTGTGCGGTGTACTTTACCTTGGATGGCAAACAGAAGACCTTCATTTGGCGGACATTGGTGTTAGCGTCCGTGTGACGCCATGTGAAAACCCAACCTTTCCTGAGGAGATTTGTGCACAGGATGAGGATGTTCAACGTACCCGGCTGAGTTATATCGTACTTTTTGCATGGTTGGACTTTCAACGGTTTGGTGGGCAGGGGTCGTATAAGTTTCGGGAGTATTTCGATTTCTCCAAGATAATACCAGCAACTTCACGGATAGGCACACGAATAAAATGAAGGTTCCTTGTGATTTAAGCACGTACTTTCTACATGTCTCTTAGGCCTAAATTGTCGAGCGCAACAAGAAACTGCTCCAGATTCGCACCGCAAATCCATACCAAATTAATTGGACCCAGTTACAACTGAATACAAGTACAATTGAGCTTCAATACAAGTTATGCTTCTTGTGCCATTCCTCCACAGACAGCGGTCCGTATTGCTCATAAATCTCCTTCTCCCCTTCTGGAAGGCGGACCCAATCCGGTTTGGAGTTCATCATGATGCAAACCTAGAACCGAAGTCAAAACCCATCACCCATAATCTAAAAGGCGTATAATGCGCACCATACTCTCCGGAGCTTTCAAAGGCGTATCAATCGCACCCGCGAACGGATAGATCACTTCCAGCCTACAACATCAAGAGTCACTGCACCACCAAACTCAATAAGAATCATACCAAGTCTTATCATATGACACCCAAAGCATCATTTGAACAAAAACACCTCCGACGGGACGATCCGCTCCTGCGGTGTATCTCGGTCCCAGACAACCTTGTAGACACTACACCGACGAGTAAGCTTCCATCACCACCCGGACGACGCCACATCCATGCCTGGTGTATTCCAAGTTCCCCTGACGAATATCCAGAGTATAGGCCCGAGTCTCGTATTCGTTGTCAATTTCTCGCTCGGGCCGCTTTTGAAATTTGAGTTCTGGTTTCACCATCACGCATACTTACCACCGGTCCTTGCTAGTTTCTCAGAATCAAAACTAGATCGGGTTTTATTGTGGTTTCGTGTTTTCCAGAAGAAAATGGCGAGGAGCCTGAATCTGAAAGCGTGCAATATCTGCAATAAGACGGCAATTGGAAGGTAAGCACGCTCACTAACAGACACTGAGACCCGGGATGATGTTGATTACCTCCTTTCTAAGTTCGATGCATACCGTGCTCTCGACTATGCGTACTAGAACAGTAGAATAGCGTCTTTTTCCTCCGGTAAGAGCTCCCCATTTCCCGGTAAATCCTGTGCTGCACTTATGTTGGTCAAGTAAAGGTAAACTTTGTCAGTGGAGAATAAGTTAGACGAAATTTACAGTTCATTCCAGGGTTTTCGTCTGTGTGAACTTCGTGTTGTTCAAGTACTAGTCAATCGGATTCTTCCTCAGTACTGTGAACTCTTGATTATTGATTCATAACATGAAACCTCTCAAGTAATGGAAGTACGTGGTAACAAAATATTTCATGGTCTGATGGGTTGCACCGCCGGTAGCTTCGCCATCTTCGCAGTCGACGCAAGGAAGATATTATAACTTGACCCATCACCCTACACACTTCATCAGACCAAATCTCTAGAAAAGAGGGTAAGATAGAACTCACAATCATCGTCGTAGGGAACCCAGGATCAAAGGGTACAGCTCCGTCCAAGTACTCGATCTGCTCCTTGGACAACGAGATGTCCAACGCTTGTAAGTTCGACTTCAGGTGTTCCGCCTTCCGACCTCCAATGATTGGGAAGACATTAGGCGTTTTCTGCATCACGTACGCGATCGCCACTGCCACCACAATCGTCAGAATCTACAACATACTGAATGGAGATGATCCCGACTCACCTGCTCTGATGTTGGACCCGACGCCAACCTCGGCCGCTACCTTCTCCAATGCCCTAGATGCCTTTATCTCCACCTCTGTACGCTCCCAATTCTCACCAGACAACATGCGTCCCTTCTCTCCCGTCTCCCGACGCTGCTGTTCCTCTGCGTCCGTCCGCAGCCTCCCTTCCGCGAGAACATACCACGGAGCGAGTGCCAAACCCAGTGATTTGGCCATGGGAATGATCTCACGCTCGAATGAACGATCCAGGATATTCCATTTACCCTGATAGATGATAAACGGCGTTTTTCCATGGTCCATGGCGTACTGGTTAGCTTGAGAAACGACCCAGGCGGGGGTGTCAGAGACCCCGAGGTAGAGAACCTTCTGTGCCGCGACAAGGTTGTGCAGGCTGTCCATGACTTCCGGTATCGACGTCTCGTAATCCCACCAGTGAAGGTAGAGGATGTCAATGTACGATGTACGGAGTTTTTTAAGACTGGCTTCCACGCTGAGGTGCATAGACTTGGTGTTGTTCCCTACGTAGTTGACCTTCTGCGCAATGGTGTCATTTGCGCGCTTGTAGTTCATGCTGTACTGTGTAACGGGTACCGTTAGTCCTTGCATGGAGTAGATTGGCAGTTCCAAACGTACTTTCGTCGCAATGACCAGCTGATCTCGTATTCCTCTCTTCTCGGCCCATTCTCCAACGAACTCTTCCGATGTCTCATCCTGGCTGTAGAACAAGTGAGTTAGAACAGGAACAATGTGAATGGCCCAGTCGCTTACTAGTTGTTCGCAGTATCGATGAAATTTCCGCCCATATCATAATACGCGTCGAGGAGCTTCAAGCTAGACTCCTTGTTCATCGATCCCATACCAAGGGCCTCCCATTTATCACCGACACTCATAGCACCGAAGACGAGGGGAGACACCCTCACTCCTGCGCGAGAGGAAAGGACACGATAGATACCGAGCTTGGTTGGAGGATCGCTAGCGAGCTGGAAGAGAGACATGATGGGTTGGTTGGGATACGACAACAGCTGCGTGCTATATTATATATGCGGAAAAAGTCTCATTTGTAAGCCTTCGGTGGTGGTGAGAACGTGCGAATAGAGGGGAGTATTTAGCAGAGCTCGCGGCCGCTCGTTAGACGAATTGTCCCGGCAGAACCAATGATGACGAAAGCATAAATTGGTCACCCACAGCGTGTTATCTCTCGCAATCAGTGAATGCTTCCTTCCAATCATATGTACCCTGGAAACATCCTGACCGATCCGTGAATCGAAGCTCTTAGATGAGGCGCGAGTATCCATCTGTTGTGACCGAATAAGCAGAGGAATTTTTCCGGGCTTAAAACCATCTCGTCCATCCGATATGAATCGGCAGAGATTCGAGTTAAGTGCGCCAAGATCTCGACGATCACTCTTAACGCTGCAGATAGGAATGCCGTTAAGGACATTCCGACCCATATCTTTAGCCCTCCAGATCCGATAAGCCAGCTATAGGCCCAAGCCTTTGAAAGTGACCCTTTGATTTCCAGACTTCTAACATCCATCAGGTATCGTATCATCATCCTGATAATTCGCAGCATTCATCCCCAACCCACGACTCGCGAAAGCCTTCCAAAGAATACACCCATTAGCCCCGTCATAGCGATTCACGTCTGCCTGGATCCACGCGTCCCGGGCAGTCACCACTACGAAATGAATTCAAGTCAGCCATACGATCAAAGCGAGGCAAAGACAGAACTCACGAGTGGGATTACAAGGCTGGAGAGATAGAGCGTCGATGAACAAATGAAGATAGACTATGTTCCCTTCAGGACCCGAAGGATCGTCCATAGCCGTCGATGACCAGCCGTGTTCTTCGACGAGGGCAGCGTACACGTTGTGCAGCATGTTAGCCCAGACTTCACCGATATCTGAACAGTACGCATGTCAGGATGTGAATCGACAGTCGAGAGGCCGAGCTCACCGTGAACCTCTCGCAGCGTAGCAATAGAGGAATAACGCAGTGGATTGACGGCAGGATCCGTAGAGTAAGGATACGTCCGCACACCAGCGGGACTGTTCACCACCCACGTCCCGGTGACAAAATCAGTGATATTTCCACTCTTCTGCTCTGTCCATCTGAAAAACAAAATGATACGTCAGTAAGCTTCTCCACAAATGACAGACATGACCTACTCAGACATTGCATCAGACCAACCTTCGAGAACTCAGTATCGGACGATCTGGAAGAGTAGCGGGGAACACCCACCCTCGCCCATTCCACTTGCTTCGATTGTCTGCAAACATCGGCCCGTCCCGCCCCCGGTGAGACGATTCGTGATACCATGTGTAAATTCATGTACGACGATATCGTTCTGAACGGCACCGTCCCGATTAGGAGTCGTCAAAGTCCAGATATACATCCGGCATGTACCAGACTGTCCACTAGCCCGAATTTAGTAAAAGCGTATATCAGACGAAAAGATGGCCATACTCTGGAGGGGTAGCAAAATTGGCATTGTTAGTACCCGACGAGTCTTGCACAGACATCAAGACACGGTCTCCCTCCGCTCCTCCCTTCCCAAAATTATCGGTCTGGAAATTATAGCTCGCCTCTGTCCATCCGTATTTGTACACGAAATCGTGAACTTTGTTGATGATGTAGAAGGCGTTCGTTCGCACTGCGTCGATATTACTGCCTTCGGTTGGACCAATAGTCACGTTAAATGGGTAATCAAACGTATTGGTGGACGATTCGGAGGTCGTGGCGGATTGATTGCTTTTATAAGCAACAACGTTGTTCCCACTAACGGAGTGCGAGTGAGTAATTCGAAAGGTACAAAGACGTAAGCCTTACGCAGTCACCCCGTTTTCCACCCAGCCTTCGGGAGAGGAATCAAAATCTTCGGGATCGACCAAGGTCTCTTCGCCTTCAGCGACAGATGCCTTGGTTATAGGGACAACGGTGTACTAGAAGATTACTCAGCGTGACGGCCGAACCGAAAGGGCAAAGACTCATACTGTAGCTTGAGCAACAAAATCCGTCACCGAAAGAATTTCCCCCAAATGGGCATCAACGAATGCCTCATACCAAGCATTCGTTTCTTCGTTCTGAACTTGAACGACATGTGTAAGCGCGATAGAACCATCGGAATGGGCTAGGTATTCCAGCGAGGAGATGCCGTTGTAAGCGGCAATGAAGGAGTCCTCAACTTTGCTGATGATCGAGTCGACAGACACAGACGGCGAAGAAGACGCGATGTTTGCTACGTATAGCGTCAATGCAGGAGGTGAGAAGGCCAAGGAGATTTCTCACTTGTGTCTACGAATGATGAGCCAAGGGCAACCGCTTTCCCATTTTTGAAAGCGACATTGGCTACAGCGTTTGCGAAGGGAACACCATCCTAGGAAAACACAATCATCAATAGAAGCATTGACACGAGGATTTTATGGGCTTACATGATATTGCTTCACGTACGAGTAACTCATGATATCGTTAGAGTGCCCAGATCGATAACCGATAGCAGAGGAATCGACACCGAGCTCTGATGCAATGAAGGATGTCATGGATACTTCCAAATTACCACCCTTGAAAGACAGGGATTCTTCGCCTTTGCCGTAGGTCTGTCCAAGAGAGACGATGAGAGAAGTTGACAGGCGCGTATAACCGGGGTGATTACCTTAAAAGTCGACTTCGGATGGTAAGCCTCGATCTTCAAGTCGCGCCCAATAATCCTGAGTCGATGTGTAGCATGTTTGGCGGAAGCTGGCCATGAAGCAGCACATGAGAACTTCGCGAAGAGTAGTGCTAGGAGGATGGAGGAGAGAGGGCCATTTACAAAAGGATGCATCCTTGAGGACGAAGAACGCTGAGCGAATCCATGGCGAGTTGCGTCTCTTTTTAAGGATAATGATACCAGTAAGGACACCAATCATTCCTACGTCGTTTTCCATGGTGATGGAGATGCTATTACCCCATGCGGTTCAGGCATCGAAGCACAAGACAGCATATGGTCATAGGCCGGTGACGAGAGGAGAGAGATTGGAGAAAGTCGGAAGGAAGATAAGAAGCCTAGTAGTGGAGAACTGTGGTTCGACTTTTGGCAAGGATTCGGGCTAACCGATGCAGCACGGGCGTTAACATGCTTGGAGGCTAGAGACTTGCTTTGCGACAGAGTGTGCGCGATTGACTTCGTTTAGCGTAAGATCCAGGAGTGATACCAGGTTGTGTAACGTTCTGCACCCATACTCAGGATTTCGAGAAGGATGAAAAGGGCGGCAAAGTCGTGAGACGAATACAACGGATGGTCAGGGCGAGATTCCCCGTAGCCAGGTTAGCAAACGGGGCGAACCCTTAGAGCTTGAAATTGTCAGTAACCATATAGCAACGTCTGACCATGCTCATCATTTCATTGTTGTCCTGTCACTCCAGCCATTCTTGAAATGCACAAAACGGTCACCAGCTGAAGTTGTGGAAACCGGTCACCGGTAGGGAGAGAAGGTTAAGAGCGTCATCGTTCATCCTAGTCTGAAGTCCTTGCCTCGTTTCTGACATTGAGTAGGAGAAGGGGTCATTGATGAAAAAATCGGAACAAGAGGTGTGAACGTCGTGGCCGTCAGAGTCTAGAGTTTAGAAAACCGGTATGCGGTCCCAATAAGGAACACCGGGGTTCTGTGCCGCCACGAAACGTGTCACAGACCATAGCAATACCGTGCCGCTGTGATATTCCCCAGCTGCGAACTGGCGAACATCTCACGGGTTTGATACTGCCACAGGGACCGGGGGAGGAATGTAACGTTCAATGTTCTCACAGTATGCCTAACCAAAACCCATGCCCGGTAGAACTGTACTATTACAATTAGCTATGTGACCAAAGCGTCTGAGGAGGAATATACACCGGTGTAGCTCCGAATATCTCCAATACATGATACACATATTGCGCCAATCGAGGCTCCAAGATAGGCAATTGTAAGAGGCATGCCAACCGGTCGTCAACGGCAAGACGTCCCCAAGCATTGGCTAGATTAGGACATAATGCATCGGCATCGGCAAGAAACGCCCGGCGAAGCTCTATCAAACCAGGAGCGATAGTACAACACAGGAGGGCATGTACCTCGTCCTCTACGGTAACCTTGCAGAAACGACATAAACGCCACTCACGCGGGATCTTGGGGCGATAACGTTCTGTCCAGCGCAGGACCTCGACAGCAAGGATATGAGAGGATAAGAATAGACGTGTGAGAGCTTTGCGATGAGCAGGGATCAAGGTTGTGAGATAGGCACGGCGAGCTATGGTCTTTCGACGGGGGTGCAATCCATCAACACCAGAAATGTGTTTCATGGATAGGCGTATGATGGCACCTTTAACCCTAGACTCAATCTCGTTATTAATACCGTTAAGATAGGTAGCCTCTACCGCTTCAATCAACTCTGTGATCCTCCATTCTGAGATGGAGCACCCCTCAATATGAAGGTTGGGGGCGAGACGTGCAAGCACACGTTGAAGGTCACCGAACCAGGAAGGTGCCCGATTTATCCGCAAGTTAATGGCTTCCTCCAATGCAAGACGCGCATAGTGATCTTCCGATAGACCTAAGAGATATCGGAGATAACGAAGGGCAAGGATCAGGCGCCGAAAATACAGCGGGACCACTCCTTCAAAACGGGGGGGTACAAGTTAGCAGTGAAGATACACCCGGCAATTTATGGAATCGAACCTGTCTCAGCATGTATGAATGCCAACACGGTTTTGGAGTGCACGCTAAGCAAGTGTCGCAGAAACGCACTGGAGACGTGTCGAAGTTCTCCTGATACTGCCAAATCGACGTCGAGAACGATCTCGCATCCCGCAATGAGGTAAGGGTCGACTTTTGCCATGTACAGCGACATTCACTGCCACAGGGACCGAGGGAAGAGTGTAAGGTTCAACGTTCTCACAATAGGCCTCACAAGAGTTCTACGCCCAGCAAAAAATGTACTATTACGATTAGCTATGTGACCAAAGCTTCTGTGGAGGAATATATACAGGTGTAGTTCTGAATATCTCCAGTACACAATACACATTGTGCCAATCAAGCCCCCAACACTGGCAATTGTAGGAGGCATGCCAACCAGTCATCGACAGCAAGATATCCCCATGCGTTGCTTAAAATGGGACATAAAGGATGGGTGCCGGCAACAAACGTTCGGCGAAGCTCTATCAAACCAGGAGCGATAGTACAAGACAGGAGGGCATGCACCTCGTCCTCTACGGCAACCTTGTAGACACAACATAAACGCCACTCTCGAGGGATCTTGGGACGATAACATTCCGCCCAGTGCGGGACCTCGACAGCAAGGATATGAGAGGATAAAACAGGCGTCACACGTGCGATGTGAGTTTAGTACGACGAGCTACACTTTTCCGACGGGTGTGCAATCCACAAACTCCATTTCATGGAGAGGCGAATGATGGCACCTTCAGCCCTAGGGTTAATCTCGTCGTTTATGCCATTAAGACAGGAGACGGTTCCTTCCACATAGTGACAAAGAAAAGCCGCAAGGGAAGGACCACCAGACGTAACAACGCTGAATAACGGGTTCCTTCCATAGTGCGGAGCATAGCAGAGAAAAGATTGCAAAAACCGCGAGGGAAGGACCACCAGACGTAACAACGCCGAATAACGGGTTCCTTCCACAGTGCGGAGCATAGCAGAGAAAAGACAAGGAAGGAACACCAGGCATAACAATGTCATATACCGGGTTCCTTCCACAGAATGAAGCAAAATAAAAATAAAAAACACAAGGGTCCAAGGGAAGGACCACCAGGCGTAACAACGCCGCATAATGGGTTCTTCCACAGTTCGGAGTATAGTATTATCAATAGCAAGGGAAGAAACGAGATATCACCCATGATATCAGCGAAATCCAGCGTCATCGCTAGACAGTGCCCCAGTGGTGAATGACAGAGAGTGCGGCTATGAGTATAGGGGCAAACCAAGGAGGGGTACTCCAACATGGAGGCTTCGTGACAGCTCTCCATGGTAGTGCCAGGAAGTTGAACACACCATTTTACAGAGGCTATGGAGCACTAGCGTGTGTCGACGCTTGGAGCAAAGCCACAGAGAAACGATGCAGCCCCTATTTCCACAAGGACATCCCCCACATAGCTCGCACAATATGCGCACCGCCTATCAGAATAAGGGCTCCTTGACGTATGTCTGGCATCGCTCAGAGGCTATTAGCGTGAGAGGGGTCAGAAAACTGCACCAACGAGAATCGATGGTGGTAGGAGAAAAGAGTACCCTAAGTCAAGTCATGATGCACAGCCACCATAAGCTTTCTTCGCCATCCCCACCACCACCACTACCGCCCCGTGTATTTCGGGATTTACTCTGTCAATCCCTGTCGTGCTGCTATAAAGTTGAATGGGTCGAGTTGAGCACCCAAAATCGATGAACGAGGCAGTTAAGGCGCAGTAGTCCCTCTTCTGCCCTTCTTCCTGAACAACACCAAACAAGAAATTTGCCTATTGATAATTAACCAATGAAGTGAAGCAGCAGCCGACGGCAACGACACAGACGGCGACGCCGCAGGCAAAGGCCGAGCTGAACCGAAATCGAGTGTCATCGCAGCGTTCCAACTTCCCAGCAGGCGGCAATTTTGGGCACCAGGACAGTTAACAGTGCTCGAACCCCTCTGGGCTCGCCATCGTCATTGTGGCCCGCCTATATGCGTCTCGAAGCGAGTCGTTCATACCTGTACATGTCTGCGCGCGCGCGTGCAATAGGAAAAGATCAAGGTATGCATGTCATTGCATATATGTGTGGAATAACATCTCAGTAGCGCAGTCCTGTCCTGCGAACAACAATGTCACCATCGGTCCATCTGCGACGACGGCTCGGCTTCTGGGAGCACCCAAATTATATCGTACGCGACGCGAGTGTGAGCTACGAGCACGAGTCCGGGCTTGATTTGTCAATAAAGTGGTGGAATGAGGGCGCTGTCTTTGGTCTCTTGGGTGATGGCGAGTCGCCCGTTGTAATCTCCGTGGCATTTTACTAACAAGAATGCAGATTTATCTGGTTATGCTTATCGATAAACAACCATTTCCATGCGCCTGGACGCATCCTTGGCATGGTCTGTATCCGCGTTCAAACGTCCGCGCGACATGAAGTGTCGAAACACGATATGTAAGCGTAAGTAGCTGCTTAGCGATACCTTTTTATACATTAACAACGTTCTGGCCGTAGGACGAGACGATCGCGCTCCTTTGTGACCAAGAAAAGTCCATCCAGTAACCCTGTATTGCTCCACCAGGGTATGTGAGCCTAGTAAAAATGGTTTTCCAGGACAAGGTATATCGACGGCGCTTGTATTCCTAATATATTACATCAATGATTTCATTGCATCTCATATCGTTAAACGTTCCTAGCAGCCTGCCAGTGGCTCACAAATGTGCGTCCAAAATTTTACTTGTGCCTAGTATTCGTGGATCTTTACAACACACCTAGCATTCATATCCGGCGCTTCTCGCAGCGGCACAAAGGTGTCACGCGACTGCTAGTTTGCCGTCATCACTGCCTTGTAGATAACGACACAAACAGCCGTGCATACACACTGCCCTTCGTCATGTTGCATGGGTTTAGGGTCATCTGATCAGTTTCGAGAAGGGACTCGAGCTAGCTGCTGATGGGGTTTACCGCCGGTTTCACTGGGTTCCCACGCCATGTTACCTGCCAGTTATCTGCCATGCCCATACTGGGCAGGTGGGCCCCACGCATTCAACAATTTATTTTGAGGTCGTTTCTTCATTGACCCTCATAAGTCTTGTATATATAAATTGAATATATTCATATAAACCATGCAGTAAAAATTTGTGGCTCAAAACGCGATGAGGATAACGCTATTCACTCAAGACGCAATTCCCTGCCAAAGTTATCTGCCATCAGCCCCTTCCCGATTCTTTCCGAAGAATGAGGAAACGATAGAGGGTTATTATCGGGCCTCTGCTTTCTTCGCAAGCAATCAAGGGGATAGCCCAAATACCGAGCTTGCATCCGCAAGCTCCATCACATTGCGGGAAGCGGTAGGTGACGTACACAGTACACTAAATGATACACTATAATACACTATAATACACATGATCCGGGAGTGGAGGGAGGGTGAACGAAAAAGCGAAACGGTGAAAACTTCTGATGGCTAGTTAAGATCACCGGATTGAAAGCTAGGGAAGAGGCGGAGCCTCACCAGGCACACGGGGGCTGATTAAAGGCTTGTAGAGTAAGAGGATAAATAAGTAGGCAAAGCCTACTGTGCAACCTGGTATGAAGGGTTTGTAATGAGTGTAAAGCTGAGGGAGCGAGCGAAGCTCAGCTCACCTTGGATTGCGGGGAGAAGAATGGGTGCAAGTGAGACAACTGCCCCGATGTCTCTCAGTTTTTCGACCTCCGCCAGAATTCTGGCACCGAAAACTGAGACAGAGCAAAGGCCTCACTCTCCCGGATGAAGCGGCGCTTCTAGGCGGAGCCTAAAGGTGACGTGGCGATGCCAGTTAGCCTTGACGAGCCTGCAGAGGCCTACGAAAACGCTCCTTACCCTTGGAACCCGCGTTTACGACGACCTCTGCTTTCTTCGCAAGCAATCAAGGGGATAGCCCAAATACCGAGCTTGCATCCGCAAGCTCCATCACATTGCGGGAAGCGGTAGGCTAAGAAAGGATGCTGAGGATGATGTGTGTGGGGGGTGGTGGAGGTTCAGAAGTGATGAGCGAACCGCAAGGTCAGAGAGCAGGTGGTTGAGTACGTCGTAAGGCTGCCAATTCAAATTCGGCACGAATAGCAGGATGTTCCCGCACATATAGAGTCCATGCCTTGGAAGACCACCGACCCAAGGCCTGGATAATGGCCTCTGACAGTCCGAGCGATGCGTAGAATGTAGCTCCACCCGCTCGCAATGAGTGACCACCGAAATCTTTTCCCATAAATGTGAAGAATTTTTTGTCAAACCAAGAGCGAGTTGGGATAGAGCCATCCTCGCAAAGAAACAGAGGAGACCGTGGGCCATGATGGGAGTCCCGTAAGACCACATAATCGTATAGGAGTTTAACGGGGTCAGCAATGTCTTGGTGCGTGAATAAGACATCAGACCCGTGATAGAAAGGGTCTGATTTGTGATAGGGCAGATGATATTGTACGCGGCCATTGTCAAAGAGAAGTGAAGAGCGCTTGATCACCTTGCGATAATCCTGGAGCTGTTTATCGTTATTCCAGACCAGTTCTCCGGATCGATGACAGCCATAGAAGCCACATGAAAGAATAGTGATGAACAGGAGATCGTCGTAAGACCCTGACATTTGAGCCAAGAGTTGAAAAGTAGCGAGATGTGATTGGCGGAGGGGGAGCTTCCTCTGAACGGGGTCCGCCCGGACCTTTTTTGATCCTCGTATCGTCGCTTGTACTAGGGGAGAACGTCGACTGTCGTCAAAGTAGGGATAAATGTCTCGAAGAAAGTGTCGGACTCCTGAAAGATATTTCGGGCTGGAGGCAATGAATTGTGATGTGTATGCGATGTAACGGCTAAGCGTTAAGGGTGTTGGGTCAAGGGGAAGATGGTGGGAAATACAAAAGCGTGCATAGTCCCTTGCACCGGTAGCATAACCTTTAATTGATGCCAATTCGAGAGCATGGAGCTGAAGGAAGAGAGCCCGTTCGTCAATAAATGACAACGAGTGGACTGGGCGAGCTGTGCGTGGAGCACGCTCACCCAGGGCAGTTAAAAGCACTCTCTCCATCGCGCCGGCAGAAGCTCCCTTGGTGGAGTGAACGTGCGGACGCGGTCTGCAGGGAATTTCAGATGGTATTCGTCTATCAAAAGACGAGAGAGAAGATCAGCACGGATATTGTTCTTGCCTTCAATATGCCGAACTCGGATGTCTATTCCTGACTTCAGGATGAGGGACGCAACAGCCTGGAGGGGCGCATTATGCATAGATTGTGCCACCGCTAAGGAATTGAATGCCGCGACGGAGTCCAGGCTATCGGTGAAGAGAAGCAACCGGCGGGGTGGTTTAGGAAGGGAGGTGGCATAGTGAATGGCGGCAAGGATAGCCATGAGCTCCAGGAAAAAGATGTCGATAATGGTACCAGGAGGTGGAGGGTGGAGTTGATACACAAAGCCATTGCCAGCGAACACAAAGGAAAGCCCCAACCTGAGAGCAGCATCAGTCCAGATGATCATCTCGGCTTGACTATCCATCCAATGTGTAGAGTCAACGAAACGAACGCCAACTGCGTCAGGAATTGTCATCGACAACCATGTCAGATCTTCACGGACTGCTGCGTTGATAAAGATCTTCGTAAATCTGAATGATTTTCCTGCCATCTTCCTATATAGCTCGGATAGGGCAGGACGCCCCCAAGGAAAGACATTCAGAGCCCAATTGAGGTAGCCAGCAATGCGTTGCCACTTTATGAGTATAGGAGCACGACCGGGTGTTGCGAGGAAGGACTCGATGTCGGAGACAAGATGGTCGATGGAAGTTTGATCCAAAGAGATGCTTCCTTTATTGGCATCGACCCAGAATCCTATAATTTTCAATGTTCGGCCATGTAGCTGCTTCGGATCGTCAAAGGGGCAGGAGATAAACTCCCAGAAAATCAGTAATTGAACCTGTCGGCTAGGGCGGAGCAGGCCTCGATAGAACACGAGGTTATTTGCGAAGTCCCATCCGAAAAAATCATCCATATAAACATGGAGGTCCGGAATGTTCAACTTATAGATTCCGATCCAGCAAAGCAGACCGGACACTGAGCACCAGATGCGAGGTGATGCCCGGTTACCGAAGACTAGTCGTCGAACAATGTGATACCGGCCGTCGACAATGACAACCTGTCGGATTTGCCAGAGAGGATGTGCTGGCAGATTCAGGAAGGCTTTTGCGACGTCACTCTTGTAAAGGATGAAGTCTGCATCAGGATAACGCTGTCGAGCATTATGCAGTGCATTATGCAGTGCTTCTCCAAAAGGGTGCATGTCGTCGTATTTCACATGAGCTTCTTCAGGAGGAATTCCAGCATTGAGACCAGAGGCGGTATGGTCA